TCTTTGTAAATTATGGTTCTCACCCTTGTAAAGGAACCGGTCAGAAGCCTTCAGGGCGCTCGCAAGCTGCCGAAGATTTTGCAACCTCTATGACGAAACTACACGAACAAACTCGGCAATCATTATTACTCGCGAATCAAAACCTCAAAAAGTACTATGACCGGAAACGCACGGAAGCACGAGAATATCACAAAGGAGATAAGGTGTGGTTAGAGGGAACTTATATCTCCACCGATCGACCGATGAAGAAGTTAGATGACAAGCGATTTGGCCCGTTTACGGTAAAAGCAAAAGTTGGCCCATCCGCTTATCTCCTTGACGTCCCTAGATCCTGGAAGGCGATCCATCCCATATTCAACGAAATCCTCTTATCACCGTATCGCACGCCGGAGTTCCCCAATCAACCTCGTACCTCGAAACCTCCGCCGATCCAAGTTGATGGCGCAGTCGAATACGAAGCCGAAGAAATCATCGCTTCTCGACCCACTAAACTCAAAGGGGCTAAGCTCAATTACTTCGTCCATTGGAAGGGATACCCGATCACGGAGAGGACGTGGGAACCCGATCACCATTTAAAAAATTCCCCCTCGCTTATTGCCACCTTCCACCGCAAACACCCTGCCGCCCCACGTGTCATCGCCTCCGCCGCTTTACGATTTCGTCCTTACGAAAATTTCACTACTACAACCGAAAAACCCCGCCTCTTTGACTGGATCACAAACCGCTTCACGGACTGCGGCGCTAAGATTCTTGGGACAAGAATATAAAAGGGGGGGGTAATGTAAGGACCATTTTATTATTTCTTTATCTTCACTATGTCTTGGTTCTCGAACGCTTTTCCCATTACGCCTCTGGCTCTAGGGCTAGAGGTATCGTTTGCCGTTCTACTTCTCATAGCCCTCACAGGCTTTCTTAACCATCGTTACCATTTTATATCACAGATCAGAGACTGGGCATCGCTCCCAGCCAGCCAGCACACTGGGTAGGGACTGGTAGTAGGCATCTCGCCAACCAGCTCCAAGCCCCAGTAAAGCCTGGTAATACTAATAACGCCTTATCTAGAATCGTACCTCATCATGAGGATACGGTTCCTGACCACGCGTGACAATCTTCTATTATTAGTACAAGTCTCTCACCTGCTGATTAATCAAGCCAGAAGTCGTACGATAGTTACTCTCCCTTTTTCTTATTGGTTGATTAATTCCTCAGACCACTTTTCGTATATTCTCCTTTCGGTCTGAGGAACGGACAGTTCCCTATATAAAGACGTACCTATTCATGTATAGCTCCCTAGCTTTCTATTACTGAATTTACCCGCTTTACTCCTCAACAAGAACCTTTGAAGCTTACCTCTCAAAGTCCTCTACTCGCTATATTTACTAGCGTCTGTCGACCTCAAGCTCATTGGACCCTTACTCCCCGCAAGTGCAGAAGGAGATAGGTTTAGTTTTTGTTATAGTTTATCGTTGCCTCACAGTGTGTGTGGTTGGTAGAATGTTTGGAGTAGTGCAAAAATGATGATGATGGTGATGATGATGATGATGATGATGATAGCTGCTGGTACGTTCATAGACGGTACTTGTTACGAGTTGTTGATTGTGTTAGATCCCTACACCTTATGCTGAACTAATGGAGGTGTAAGTTTTAAAATCAAGCAAGTAGCGTCAAGTATCGATGTTAAGAAGTAATCAACAACTGAGGAAATGTATGTACATGAGTGTTGGTATATATACATTTCTGAAGGTCAGCTATGAGGCACTGACTGATGTTCTACGTCATAGTCTAGGCTTTGTTAGGTGATTGTTACGTGACCAGATATAACTAACTACTTGTTTATGTAATGAGTCATGTGATAGTAATATCACGTGACTATAATAAATAAGGTTTTGAGATTAGATAAGGTTTGATTCAAATTGTGACAACTAAGGCATCTATTTGTGAGGCAACATTAAACTATAACAAAAACAAAACCTGTCTCCACTGCACTTGCAGGGAGTAAGAGGTTCAATGAGCCTGGTTATCAACAGTTGCTAGAGAATATAGCAAGTAGAGGATGTAGGAGTAGGACTCAGAGGTTTCTGATAAGAGGTAAAGCGGATAATTCAAGTAATAGAAAACTAAAGAGCTATACATGTGATGTGTGTAACAACCAAGAGTTAGTTACTCTGGCGCACACAAGAACACACTATAAAGGTAGTGATGAGGGAGTGGTTACCCTTTAAGCTGCAGAGAGTTTGTTGGTATACAACAGGAAGACTCGCTGCGGAGTCTCCTGGATCTATTGGGGTATATATACTAATACAGAGTGTTTGTACTTATATACTGTACAGTTTGATAAAGTTAGTGGCTGGTGATGTCATGGGGCCTAGCCCACATGCCCAGCTCCACTGTGTGAAAGAGTTGTATCTAAAATAAGAAGAAGGCAACGCGGTGTGAGAAAGAGGAGTTTGAACAAAAGGGGAAGTGCCACGTGGCACCATGTGTGAAAGCTAAAGTGTACAAGGTTAAAGTGGAGAATGAAAAAGAAGGAAAGGTCCGAAAATTGTGTTATTGTAACAATGTGTAAGGTTTATATAGCTAACTGTCAGTTCCTCAGACCAAAAGGAGAATAGACGAAAAGTGGTCTAAGGGGAAAATCAACCAATGAGAAAAAGGATAACTATCATATGACTTTGAAGATTAATCAGCAGGTGGGAAAGTGTACTAATAATAAGTGTTGTCACGTGTATTCAGGAACCGTATCCTCATAATGGGGTACAATCCTGACTAGAGTGTTTATTAATATCTCCAGGCACTGATGGGGCTTGGAGCTGGTTGGTGAGATGCTTACCACCAGTCCTTACCCATTGTGCTGGCTGGCTGGGAGTGATACCCAGTCTCTGATCTGGGATATAAAGTGGTAGTGGTGGTTAAGAAAGCCTGTGAGGGCTATGAGAAGTAAGATAGCAAACGATACCTCTAGCCCTAGAGCCAGAGGTGTAATGGGAAAAGTGTTCGAGAACCAAGACATAGAGAAGATAAGAAAATAGTAAAATAGTCCTTACACTATTAATATATCCAAGCACCTACACAGCTTGGAGCTGGTTAGTGAAATCTCTACTACCAGTCCCTACCTGTTGTGCTGGCTAGCTGGGAGTGCCTGAGACCCAAGGCATAGAGTGGAAAGATAAAGAAAAGTAAATAGTCCTTACATAGATAGATATAGATAAAGGCCTAGAAAAAAGACAGTTTGACATTTGTGAGCGTAACTAGTGAGACACATACATGAATACCAATATGACCACAGAAAAGTCCTTTGAATAGATCTTCTGGGTTGTAAGGAGCACCATCTGTTACAACTAAAGTTTTTATACTCTGGTGCACAATAAGGAGCAAACAAAGAGGGTTGGATGAGAGAGTGGATAAGCTCCCTTAGGATTAGGATTGAGTTAGTTGTGGGTAAACAACAGGAGGACTTGCTGAGGAGTCTCCTGGATCTATTAGGGTATTTATACTAATATACTAATACAAGGTGTTTGTACTTACATACTATACAGTTGATTAAGGCAGTGCCTGATGATGTCATAGTGTAAATTGGGGAGTGTTTTGCTAAGAGATAGTGATTCACTCTGCTTATCTTTTTCACTCACTTCCTCACATAGTACTGGATTTAACCTGGGTTATATTCAATAATATGTAAGAGTCTGTGATTTGATTGTCCTAATCTAATCACAAACTTGGACTAAATATCTATGTGGCTTGTAAGTACATAGTTTTAACTATCTAATTTTGACGCAAGGTATGGCTAATAGCCAATATCTTACACCCTCCCCCAGAAAAAAAAAGGTTTAGTGTTCTTACATACAAAGAGAGGGAAAGTAAAGAAGAAAGGGAAATATATTCAAGATATATATGTATATGCTGTGTGTAAAGTATATTGTATGTACAATAGGGTGTACAAACATGTATATGTAAGGACCATTTATTATTTTCTCTATGTCTTGGTTTTCGAACACTTTCCCCGTTACACCTCTGGCCCTAGGGCTAGAGGTATCATTTGCTATTCTACTTCTCATAGCCCTCACAGGCTTTCTCAACCATCATTACCACTTTATATTGCAGATCAGAGACTGGGTATCACTCCCAGCCAGCCAGCACAATGGGTAAGGACTGGTGGTAAGCATCTCACCAACCAGCTCCAAGCCCCATCAGTGCCTGGAGATATTAATAAACACTCTAGTCAGGATTGTACCCCATTATGAGGATACGGTTCCTGAATACACGTGACAACACTTATTATTAGTACACTTTCCCACCTGCTGATTAATCTTCAAAGTCATATGATAGTTATCCTTTTTCTCATTGGTTGATTTTCCCCTTAGACCACTTTCCTTTTATTCCTCTTTCGGTCTGAGGAATAGACGGTTAGCTATAAAAACCCTACATATTCATGTATTGTTCTTTAGCTTTCTATTACTTGAATTACCCGCTTTACTCCTCATCAGAAACCTCTGAGTCTACTCTCATATCCTCTACTTGCTATATTAACTAGCATCTGTTGATCTTCAAGACTCACTGTACCTCTTACTCCCTGCAAGTGCAATCAGAGATGGGTAGTGTTTTTGTTATAGTTTATCATTGCCTCACAAAATAGAAAACTCACTCTACAATCCGTTCACAGTGCACCATCTTGCTTGAACCCATTATAGCCCTAAACCAACTTTTCCTTCATCCCTTGGACATGCTGTTGTTCACTGTCCTCTTACCAAAACTTCCACTTGCCTTCTAGCTAAGCTAGCTAGTTGTCCTCTCCAACATTCCTACCCACCTCAAAGTAATACTTCTACTCATTCTTGCTCAGGTCCTCACCATAGCCGTTATCTTCGATCACTTCCACAATCACCAAAGTGTTGAACATCAGAGAGAGTCTGGTAACGGAAGAAGAACACCGTTCCCTCGAAGAATTCCACCGCGCCCTCAACAACAGAGACCTACACATTGCAGTACCTGTCAACGCTGCCATGGACCCCCTACCTACCCACAGCGATGCTGAAACTGAGTACTACAAAGACTCGTCAGCCGCATCCTCTCTCATCTCTGAACTAGAAGAACTAGTTCTAGCTGTCGACAATTTAGCATTTGAAATCTCCCAACTTTGTCAATACGTTGCACTCACTCGTGGACGCATTTGCAGCTGCTTGAACTTGCTTCTGGGAATCAGATCAAGCATCCAGAGAATTGTTCAGGTTCAATTCAATACACCTGAAGCACCTACCAATCAAAGTCTACGAACAGAGAATTCTAGAACCCCCTCGCTGGAGCGACAGTGAAGAAAGACGGGCTCTCAGACAACGAGTCGCGGATCATAAAACAGCTCTCTTAGTATTATCAGACGGAATCTCCCCACACCTCTATCATCTTCAAAACTACGTCAAAACTCCTCAACTTGTGTTTACACCAGAACAAGACGGGAGAGAAATCCATTACTTACTCCATTGTGGAATCATCATCCACTGACGACCCTACTCCGCACCTTATCTAGAAATCCTCAAAGCTTCTCAAACCATCCAGAATTAACATATACGTCATAGCGTCTTTCAATCCTATCCCTCTTGAAAGACTTTTTAACAGAATCAGAATTTACGAAACCGACCTTATCAAATTCTACCAAGAAATACCCTTCTTTTTCGACCTTCCTCTCGCACCTGAACAGAACAACGCCTTTAACCCACAAGACTATCTTAAAACAGGAGTCCACGTACTAGTTGTTACTCCTTTCTGCCGCAACGCAATACAAAGGATAGTAGCCTGCATCTCACAATTTTGCAGACTAGTGTTTAAAATTGGACACGAAATCCTCGAAGGAAGAGATTGGGAACAAGAACAAAGACAGATTAGGAATGTCTGCCAATTGTTCAGAGAGTATCAAAACTATGCAAAAGAAGTCTTCAACTTAGCCATTCGCCACCCCACAGATCGTTTCATCGTCACCGAAATCAACACCAAGTTCTGGGGAGTACTTATTCGAGATAATAACAGTACAGACCAAGATATCATCTGACTAGAAGAAACTTCTCTTATATTCCTCCCGTCTCGTTGTTGATCCAAGGAAACATTCTCATTGAAAGATCTCCCTCACCAGACGAAGCAACCTCCAACTTAGACAGTAATTTTACCACAAGCTCACAGGTAGAAAGAGATTTGGAAGAAGAAGAGAATATTTTTGGGTTCACTTCTACAGATTGGAGTGACGAGTTTGATTACAATTCAAATTAAATAAACCTTGTTTCTATCTTCAAAAGTGTTTTCTGAATATCAAAACCCAAAGCCGTCCATAGAACCAGAAGCTCCACCCAGACAAACCCTACCACTACCACCTACATGCCCACCTCCACCTCCACCTCCTATTCCTCCGAAACCCTCATCCATGTCTAATCCCACGCAGTTACACGGCAAAGTAACTCTAGCAGCAGAGCCTTTCGAATTCAAAGGAGAAAAGGAACAGTTTATAGCATGGCACCAAGCACTACAGTTGTACTTAACCGCCTATGCATCCTACTTTCCAGACGAGAAGATGAAGCTCATCTACCTCCTGTCCAAAATCAGCAACCAAGGAACATCGACAGTAAAAGCTTGGAAAGAGAATGTTCTTACCAAAGCTCTCAACACAACTACCCCTGTATGGCCGACTCTCTCGGCCGTCCTAACCGATCTAGCCCAAGTATTTGGGAATCCAAACAAAAGATCACAGGCGGTAAACGGGATCGAAACGTACAAACAGGAAAATAAACACTGCAACAAATTCTTCAGCCACTTCATGACACTCATGGATAAGGCAGATATGATGCGACCACTCAATCACATTCTCAAAAAGAATCTTCACTCTTGTATCTGTGACTTTGTCATCATCCAGAAAGACCTACCAAAGATGTTCGCTGAATGGAAGACACAAGCTTATGCATGGGAGGCAAGAAGAGAAGAGTTCCAATAAGACAAAAGACAAAAGAGAGAAGTCACGCAGCCGTCGCAACCTATCTACAGACCACAAACGAATACGCACCAGTATGTGCAACAGCCGCAGCCACAGCAGATGGCAAAACCCCAGATAAATCAATATGCAAGAAGGTTTGAGGATCAACCTCAGAGAGGTGTATTCCCCGGACAAGGTGTACCTATGGATACGAACCAACAGCATCGGTTTAGATTGTGTTATGGTTGATGGAGATAGCTGCCACCCCAACACCAATGCCCTAGAAACAGTTTGTAAGCCCCAGTATGGTGTGTTATTGTTTGTTTATTCTGAATTACTATTCTGCTGAAGGCCATTTTTTGCTAATGACAACTTCTCCATCACCACCTCCTTCAACCTTCAACCCAGCCTAGACAGCCCCAGCAATGTCAATTCCAAAATAAAAAGATCTTTCTTATTTATTTTACACTGATACATTACTATTTACGATTCCTAGGCTACTTCTGGAAGACCTAATATAAGAAAGGTGATATGATTCTAGCTCTAGTAGCATGCACAGTAAGTGTTCATTTGTTCGTTTATCTACAAAATAAACTAACAATCAAAATTGTCTACCAGCTTGAATATGTTTTACTAGGTGCTGTCAATAATGCTATAATAGAATTCTCAGACACAGCATTTTCTGCCAGGTACATCACCTTAATCACCATAGATCTCTACTTATTATACTTTTACAAGATGGGATCATGATATGAAATGCTCTCCTACATACTTGGCAGAATATTTGATAATTTGATGAATATGTTTGGTAAGAGCTCACTACATATATCTTGTAACATTTTTGTAACTTCAAGTATTTTTATAGGAATAGTTGTAGGAATAATTGTACAAAATTGGGGCAATCTGATGTTGTTTTATAGATGTTACTGCAGCAGCATTTTTTGAATTCAATATAATTTGCTTTAATATTGTTTTTTTTCAATATAATTGAGTATGGATCAATATAATTCATTTAGAGTGAATTAGAGTGAATTATAGTCAAAAAGTGCAAGGTCATTTTTGTTTTGACAACTGTGCTATAAACCACTTTTTACGATATAGCAATACTCTAAACTGATATTTATTGATATTTATGCATTTAGAGTAGGGGACTGTGCAAGAATTGCACTTATAGATATAACAGATATAAATGCAATAAATTGCATTTATATCCAAGTCATGTTTTCCTGATGGAGCATTGCTGCCTTAGGATAGCTTCTGAGGTCTGCTATTTCCTGGGCCAGCCGGGAATCAGTGTACACCTAGGCATCATCAGCTTCTGTGTACATCACTCTGCTAATAGTGTAGTGATGCACCACATCAGGAAAACGTGATTTTGCTATAGTTGGATATAATTGGAACTTTTACCAACTATAGCAAAATATGCATTATATGATTTATATTGATAATGACTTATAGTGATCTATACATGTAATAAAAAATGATATTTTATCCACTACTAATACTACATTGTTTGGTATGCAAACTTGCTAGTCCAATTGTTAAGTAAAAATGTGGAACATATGTCTAGTACATTTTCTGTATGCCAAGTTTTTGGCTGAGTTAGCCAGCTTGAATTCATTCTTGAAGCCAAATCTGAACCGCTTTTTGAGACATTTAAACTCCGATTTAAATGTCTTAAAAAGCAGTTAGATCTCTCTATAATGCCTATAGTGTTGAGCAAAATGTGTTGTCAACTGTGGGAAAGTGCTACTGTGCTGCAGCGCACTCCCGCCCTCTATTATGGCTCACCACTGTGGCACACAGTGTCAAAATGTGGGAATTTTATTTACCTTTTCACATTGTCATTTCAATACTATACCAAACCAAAATAAAAACTCAAATGGGTTCAAGCCATTCGGGCTGCAAATAGGCCCGTCTTTCTCAGTACTTGTAAAGAAGGGCCTCTGTGCATTGGACTTGGTATATTTTCACTGTTGTATTCTCCCTATATTGGTGCGCAAGAATTTTCCACCTGCTGAAACTATTGTTTTAGATTTGTACTTGTTTGTATCATTTGTATTTTTTATTTTTGCCACATATACTAAACTTGTATCATTGGCTTGGTTTTCAGAACTCCAATACCTAGGATTATACATTCTAAATGATGCAGTTATCTGATGGCCAGGGGCAGAGCTGCAATAAGTAGTCCTTCTCCATCATCACCACCTTCAAACTAAAACAGTGACATTATTAAATTCATTTATGTGAGCGTTATTTGATATTACTATTCACAATTTCTAGGCTACTTCTGAAAGACCTTTGGCTCTAGTTGTAACAACCAAGAGTTAGTTACTCTGGCGCACACAGAACACACTATAAGGAAGATGATGAGGGAGTGGTTACCCCTTAGGATGCAGAGAGTTAGTTGGTATACAACAGGAGGACTCGCTGAGGAGTCTCCTGGATCTATTGGGGTATATATACTACTACAGGGTTATTTGTACATATGTACTATACAGTTGATAGCGACAGTGGCTGATGATGTCATGGGGCCTAGCCCGCATGGCCAGCTCCACTGTGTGAGAGAATTGTGTCTATAATAAGAAGAAAGGCAACGCGGCGCGAGAAAGAGGAGTTTGGACAAAAGGGGAAGTGCCGCGTGGCACCATGTGTGAAAGCTAAAGTATAAGGTTAAAGCGGAGAATAAAAGTAAAGGGAAGGTCCAAAAATTGTGTGATTGTAACACTAGTAGCATGCTCTGTAAGTGTTCATATCTTTTTTTAAATAAAACTAACAATCAATATTGTTTACCAGATTGAATGTGCTTTGCTAGGTGCTATCAACAATGCCACAATAGAATTCTCAGAGACAGTATTTTCTGCCAGGTACATCGCCTCAATCACTATAAATCTGTACTACTTATTATACTTTTACAAGGTGGGATCATCATATGAGGTTGCTGGAAAAATTTCAGAAATGTTCTCCTATATACCTGGTGGTGTAACAACCAAGAGTTAGTTACTCTGGCGCACAACTCAGACAAGCAAAAGAGTAATGAGAGGGAGGGGTTTCCCCTCAAGGTAGGACCAAGTTAGTTGTGGGTAAACAACAGGAGGACTCACTGAGGAGTCTCCTGAATCTGTTGAGGTTTATATACTACTACAGGGTGTTTGTACTTATGTACTATACAGTTGTTGAAAGCAGTGGCTGATAGTGTCAGAGGGCGCAGCCCGTGTGACCAGCTCCACTGTGTGAGATACTTGTATCTAAAAATAAAAGGAACACAGTGCAGCGCGAGAAGGTAGAGTTTGAACAAAAGGAAAGTGCTGCTTGGCACCGTGTGTGAAAACTATAGAATAAAGTTAGATAGGAGAATGAAAGTTAAAGGTCCGAAAATTGTGTATCGTAACAGTATACCAGGGAGAAAGAACTGAAACTCGCAAACTCATCTAGAAGAGAATTCAGGATACGAGACAGGCAGAATGCATTAATTTTACCTGACAAATGCATGTGCAATTTCAGAGATGGCCATCAAACACTATGGTAGTTAACATTGATATTTGTAAAACAACCTTTGATGATAATGTTCTGTAAGTATGTAATTACAACAAGGGGTACGCAAGCAGGAAATTTCCAATGTCAGGCTAGGTTAGCCAGGTAAGGACCTGTATACACCCCCCCTCCCCATGGAAACGTCCTAATATGGTAATATTTACTCACAGGTCCGCTCAATCTGGGAAGTAGAAGTTGTTGCAGGTTATTGCATGCGCTGCTTTGGGAAGTGTAAATTACATAATCAATCAACCCCAGCCAAAAGCCAAAATTTATGGATTGATATGTAGTGATAGAAAATGAAAATTTCGTTTAAATTCGTGAAAGTGCCTTGAGTTCGAGTCACCTGATTGAAAATGCAGATCCATAGCGTCGTATATCACTCATATCAAAATATAAACATGTTTACAACTTTTTTGAGATGGATGGCCAAATTTAAGATTTTTATTGATAGATATCTGCATGCAAAGTAAAAAAATCTTGAACTATATCAATCTGAATAGACTTACATAGATCTCAATAGAATGATTTATTCACGATTTTATTCCACAATAATGAACTTTTATTTTGCCATATGAATACAGTGATATACATTGATACACACAGCCAGACATACTACATTAAAAAAAACATCAAAAAGCGGTAAAAAATGTTACAAAAAAGCCCAGAAAACACTACGAAAGCACATATTGATGGGAGAAAGCATGCATGGGGTATGGAAAAGAGTCAAGGTAGGAATTCATGTCACAGTAGCTGCTGGAAGAACAATTGAGGAAGCCTGTGCATAGAATACAGTTAGCATATGTACAAAACAATTTAGAATAGCTTACCTTTTTGATGGCGAGAACTTGTTCTTCGAAAGACTGTGATAAATAGTCAGAGAGATAGCAACATAATGAGAAAAAATAACACTTACTAAGATAACAGAGGGATTGAGAGCTTTGTAGTATGACCTGAAATCATCTCTTGGTCCGGAGTTTGTTTTTAACCAATCTTTAGCACATAGATTACTAAATATAAGGTCAGTAGCATCCGATAAATGAGAATTATACTACTCACTACGCTGTCAAAGCTTTGCTAGGTCGGAACTTCTTAGCCTTGGTCATCTTCTCCTCAACATTTTGCTGCTCTGTACTAGTTACCCATTTGGTAGGAACAAGTTAGTCGTTGGTAAACAACAGGAGGACTTGCTGAGTCCTTCCCCAAGATCTATTGGGGTTTATATACTAATACAGGTTGGTTTGTACATATGTACTGTACAGTTGCTAGAGGCAGTGGCTGCTGATGTCATGGGGCCTAGCCCGTGTGACCAGCTCCACTGCGTGGGATACTTGTAGCTAAAATAAGTATAGGGCAGTGCCGCGCGAGAAAGGTGGAGTTTGAACTAAAAGGGGAAGTGCCACATGGCACAATGTGAAAACTACAGTACAAGGTTAAAGCGGAGAATGTAAATTAAAGGAAAGGTCCGAAAATGAAAAGTAAGGTAAATGGTCACATGACTGGTCATGTGACTTGGAAAAAGTAAAAGTAAAAGTATGAAAAGTGGAGTGTGAGTAGGTACTGGTACGTCAATTGTAACACCAGGAATGATGGCACCAGGAAAGACATGTTTCTTCTTGTATCAGTTGTCTGGTGAGATGTCAAACGGGACCCATATGTAAATCTAACAGTTGGAAGCCTTGTTTCGATACAGTTAAGCTCCGTCTAGTAATAACATTAGTACTGAGTCCCCAGACTTAATTTGACCATCCTGTACAGCGTTGAGATAGTCTTGTCCTGTTAGGAGGTCGTCATAGACATCTAGGATGCCGTTGTCATGCACCAAAGTTGATTAGTAGCATGGACAGGTGTCAATAACAAAGTGAATATTCAAAAAGACTTGCCTTTGCGCCACACAGGCACAGTGCCACGTGGAATAGTAATTAATATTGCCTTTTTCAATCTTGTGGCTGATCAGCACCACCTCTATTAGGCAATCCAGTCACACTCACCTTTGCTTTCCATTTAGTACTTTCTGTGTTTCAGCATTTTGGCAAATTTTTGTGTTGCCACTGGCTACACATTGCATTGCGCCCTCGCCTTCATTGTTTGCCTTACTCCCCTTCCTTTGCCTAGCCCCACCATGGGCCCCTTCCTCTCCTTTTTATTCTCACACAATGGTCGTTTCTGGATCCCCATTTTAATCCACCTCTTTGTCACCTCCAGCCTCCTCCTCCTCATTTTCTTTGCTCCCCCACCATTTCTGATGTCACCGCTTCCTATCCGCTTCCATCGCCAATCTGTCAACTACCACATGCCACTGCTGATATCAGCAAAGCCCCGGCGGCCGGTCCAAATAGGGCAACAGGTCCATCTTCATGACGTCGATCTGCCATCATATACTATCAAAACATCAGTCGCTCGTCTTGCCTGGTTGGAGCGTGGGTGGGTAGTTTTTGAGCTGGAGAAGGTTCATCCCCTTGCATCACCCATGTTTATCGCTGTCCCATTCACTTGGGTACACTTATCTTTTATCCATTGTCTTCGCTACAGCTACACCTACCACATGCTGCCTGGGACTCACTTGTTCCAAATTGGAACTACTCCTCTCCCTCCCTCATTTGACTAGGTGGTCCAACACAACCAGTTCATTGGTAAGGCCATGGAACTGTCGGATTTGGACTAGGTGGTGGACTGGTGGCTCCAGTTTCTTTTTTTTCACCAGAACATTCATTTGCAGTGCGATTATTTTTGATTTTTGAATCATTTTTATGGACACATATTTTTTTAGAATGCCTGACTGACAATAAAGGAACTGTGTTGATACTGATAGTGTTTTTCCTTGCCCCTTTTTTTACTGCATCTTCCCATGACATCATGATTTTCCTGCTCTCTTTTTGCTATTGGACTTTACTTTATGGCTGTACAAACCTGTGACATTACTCACAGCATTCATTGTTCTATCCCTTTCTTTTCCTTTTTTTGACAACCTTATCCTGTACTACCTACGCAGGATTCATCAGCATACATTCCTTCCTTCATGTTCTTTCTCATTCTTTTTGCACAGCTATACTGTGCATAGCCTACTTTTCTTTTACTATATAAACCCCTGTATTCTACCTTGTAAAAAAAAGGAACAAGAACTCAAATCCAGACTTCTTCTCTAAATCTCAAGTTCACTACTCTGCTACTTGTGATCCAGTGTGGTCACAATACTTCCCACTGCTACCACTGTTAACTGCTGTCATTGTCACTCGTCGCTTTTTGAAAGTAATTGTCATCCCTTTCGATTAGAGTCCTTCTGAGCACTACAGTCTGTGCGTCAGGAGCCTGCTATCACTGGGAACTTTGTCACCTTGTCACTTTGTCATTCTCAAACCTACCTTGTGCTACAATTAGCAAGGTAGTGCTTGTCTATACTCGCCACAAAGCCCCTATCTTCTACATTCCAACTATCCCTCCTCCTCAAAACCCACACCCATACATCTCTGGGTTTTAGTTTGAAGGATCGTCATATGTACCACCCCATGAACAACCAGAGCACCCACTGTTTTAGGAGGCAAAGCCCATAAACAAGTTCCGTGGAATCTGGGAGGATTGTGTGTTAGTTTGTTTTGTGTGTGGTTTTCTAACAACAATTTGGCACTAATAGGATCACGCCAGAGTGCTTGAAGCTGTGGGCCAATAGGAATGGTATGGAAGGTCTGCCTCGGTACTTTCTTCTTGCCTCAACTTTGAGTCAATTGGTACTGATTGTATCAATGTTCGTTGCACATAGGGCAGACCTCAAATTTTGCAAAAGGGCCGGTGTATTCTAGGCAGCTGTTGAGACACATATCATTGGTGATACTATCTACTCCACTTGCTTCAGTTACATATTGTTTCACTTGATAGAAAGACATGATTCTGTCGCAGTGTTCTAGATGAAGCCTGTAGTACGCGTCCCGAGCTTTGTTGTAGGTTTCCTCGGATGCATTTGTGGTCATGAGGAATAAATCGAGAGCATAGCGGGTGTATGGATTGTCAAGAGATAGTATATGTTGAGGGGGGTTGTGGAGTCAAAAGGTGAAATCTGCCATGTCACTGGCGATGTCGTCGTCCAAAGAAGCCTCTTTAATCGCGTTGATGAATGCCATTGTCGTTTGTAGTTGTTCAAGTTGAGCGAGGTTAGTCATGTGCCGAAGATTGTGGTTAATTTCTTGCGGTTGGAGATCAGAATGATCAGGTTGAAGACTTTGATCCTAAATTAAGAGATCAGAATGAGTGTGCATTATAGCGAGGATAAGAAACATACCTGTAGATATAATGATTTCGGTCCACTAGGCCCTGCTACTGCATTGACTTGAATGGGTTATTTTCTGATCCTACTCTCGAGGTATTGATCGACTTTGGCTGATAAGTTTGAATCGCTTCGAAATTGAGCGTGTTGAGACCATGAGCGAGCAGATATTGACGAGCCTCCATTGCAGTACTGGTTGCAATCACACCATCGCCTTCCTTCCGTTGAATAACTGGACTCATCCATAGACCAGGTTCGCAGACACTGCTACGAGTGCACACGACACCACTGTGATCGTGATATCGCGGTGACATGGAGTGCACTCGAGGCAGCGCTCTGTGGTATCGCGGATCGTTGCGATCATAGATTGACAGAGTGATCTCGACACGATAGCGTGAGAACTTGTCGACAAAATTTCACGACGTATATCTACTTCTAAATAATTTTACAGATTTATATCTCCTTATTTCAATCTATAAATCTGGGCTTTTGGCTGGGAATCAACACTTACACTGGCAGCAACCGTGGTGCCAGCTAGTCACAGCTCAGAACACTGAAGGGACTGGTGGCATATATCAACAGGCTACTGCTATTGGTAATTGTATGGCTTTGAATGCTCAAAATGATGTATGGTCAACCTCCAACTCACATTTTTACCCATCCAGGTTAGCCGGTTAAGGCCCATGTTAGTCAGATAAGACCCTCAAAGGACCCCCCGCCCTCCAGCCTGACGTCTCGGAATTCGCCGGTGCGTACCCCTTGAATTACAACCAAACTACAAATTGTCTATCGCATCAGTCATGGAGATGGTTATGATACCAACATGCCTACTTCATATCCATATCCATAGTTAGATCATCTCTGTCACTTGTCTCCGACTGCCGAGAACGCCACCATGACTTTCCGTATGAAACCAAGATTTCCTCTCCCTTTTTGATAGGTGCAGCCGAGCTCCAGATGCTCATTCGTAGTTCTCCAGAAGATGTTCGGCGATCAACGAAGACAACATTAGGTTTACTTTTTACTCCGCGATAATCATTGATAAATCTGGCCTCGTTTCCAACTTTGCTTGCATCCACCCCGACACTCACGCCATCTTGAGAGCGGTAAAGAGAGAGATCGTAATCCGAGGTGGGTCTGTCATCGCAATGCACTTCGCCAATGTAGTCAAGTATATGGATTTTCGGAGCAATGTTCTTCGCAGCAAACAACCCGAATTGGCCTTTAGCAGGGTGAGAGCTGTCCGAGATGGCTTTTATGCGAACAAGAGTTTGAGACCTACTACAATGGCAAGATGAGACTGCACTCGAGGATGGGCTATCGGCAGGGACTTTGACCTTCGTCAGGAAAGACCGCATAACAGAAGTGACAGATGTATGATATTGTGGTACTGCGATGAACTGGACATTTGGTGGCCAAGAGGAGGGCTCAGTGTTGGTTCGCATGTAGAGGCAAACTGCGAATATTTGGCGAGCTGGGTGTAAACAAGTGTACATCGTACATACCGTTGACCATGGAAGTTGCCGACTCGGATGTGACCCCTCTTTCGTTCAAGTCTGTTTGCATGAAATCCATCGATATGTCAAGGCTTGAGTTATAATTGCAATGAGCTCTCAAGAGCCTACGCTTCAGGTGCAAATCAACCAGATAGACTATACGTTGGCGCAGCCTGGCCTTCTCGACAATGCGTCTTTACCCCGCGTACCCATAATCCGAATATACGGCCCCTCATCTACAAACCAAAAGGCTTGCGTCCACATTCATCAAGTGTATCCTTATTTCTTCATTGAATACAACGGAACCATCAATCCAGACTCTGGTTAGTTAAGGATTAATCATAGGGTACAAGATCTATGACACTGATCCCTCATATAGTAAATCGTTATATCGCGCAACTCACTGTATCTTTAAATCACGCTATTGCAATCTCTACTAAGCGTAATCCGACCAGTACAAATTCTCAGTATGTCCGTGCGATCATTCTTGTCAAAGGTGTCCATTTTTATGGATTTCACTCTTCCTATACGCCTTTCCTCAAAGTCCTCATGGCTGACCCGTCTATTGTCAATCGCGCAGTGACTATAATGCAGTCTGGGACAGTCATGCGGACGAGATTTCGAGTCTATGAAAGTCATCTGAGTTATATACTACAGTTTATGTGCGATTTCGGTCTTTATGGCTGTGGTTGGATTAACTTGGGCGAGGTTCATCAACGCGGACATGACGACGACGCCGAAGTCAGACAACAAGCCAGTTCCTTTTCTTCTCCCAAGGTGTCTCCTCATTTTCGTCAATCTCGCATGTCTCTCGAGGTAGACGTCATATCACATCAAATTTTGAACCGCCATCTGCTTACGGCTCTCAATGTGCATCACAAACTCACTATTCCCGGGCCTTCTCTTCCCAAGGAACCCTTCGTGATGAGCGTCCGAGAGCTTTGGGAAGACGAGCGGCGGCGACGGATAGCCAGCGGTCTCACTCCATCTCCGAATATACCAGTAGATCCTAGTGAAAATTCAAGAGGAAAAGGTGGTGAATGGGTCGCCGAGGCGAGATGGTGGGACGAACTCAGAAAGAAAATTGAACAAGAAAAGGATGTCCCTACTGCCATAGTGGGTGGCAACAAACGATGGGAGAAATGGGTGATGACTACGTTTGAAAGTGTTGAAGCGCTCTGGGAGGCTGAATACAAGACATGGAAACCTGGACAACACGAGACGGATACGAATCATATTACCCCAATCCATCAGGTTCAAGATGAAAACCCGTTCGAAAGTGCGACAGCTCCTGGACCTTGGAAACAACAAAGTACGATTCCGCAGAACATGGATCTTGATATCGACGAAAAAATGCTGTCTAGCCAGGAGATGAGCCAACTTGTAGAAAAAGAGGAACGGGCCTGGGAAAAACGATTTGGTGAAAACGATATTGTTGGTCATGAAGAAGTAGAAGATACGATTGGCGACGAGGACGGCCCTCGTGCTGAAGTTGAATTGTTTGCAGAATCAGAAGTCAACGATTTTACCAACGTCACGCAGAGGGGCACCTCCAGGTCAGTTTTACTAGTCTAACACTTTATGTGATATATAGTGACACTGACACCTTCCGAAGTTCCCCTCGCAAACCCATCGAAACAAATCATTCAAACCCTTTCCAAGATGCTTGGCTGAAGTTAGCGGGGTATGTTTCCAGGGCACGGAATATCTTGCTTGTTAATTGGAAATTTGTAGGAGAAAAAGACCTCGTCGCTCTGAGAGTCCTGAGCAGAAAACACCTACGAAGTAAATTTTTGAATCATATTGCTTTTTCCATTTCTCATTATCTTCTATGGCAAGGTCACGCAAAGTATTACCATATCCTGAATCCCCCACGAAGTAAGTTTCCATTATATAGTATCCGCTGTTATCCCTGAAGGTGGACTTCCTTTGCAGGAAAAAGGGAAGTCACCCCGACCTTTCTCTAGTATACGATGTCATCATGGACGATAAGTTCCACAGTAATTCATTGAGCAAATTGAGGTCTGCCTTAATTTCGTGTGCTGCGCTGTCCTGACTGGATTCACAATAGGGAGCTTGATGCCAGTTCTCAAGGTATTGGTGTAACCCATAAGGCTAATCAGGTCACATTGCAGTCGGATATTAATTGTCCACTGCCAACTATTGTACCCATCGTTACGATCACCAGTAGCGAAAGTAGTGTGTCGCAAGCAAATTCGTCACATGAAGGTCATGCAAACGTCTCTCAAAGTTCATCGTCCCTGTCAATGTGGGTCTCCCCGACTGTGAAGCCGCCCAGTTATGTTTATTCAAGCCCAGCCTCAATGCGCTCAAGCACAAACATTTATGTCTATTCAGTAATACCCCCGTCCGTATCCGAGCTTTTGAGCAGTTGTGAACAATACGGCATCCCTAGCAAGGTTTATCGCGATCCTTTCTACTCCAAGAATAGTGATGCGCCCGATCATCCCAGAGAATATGCTGGTCTCATCTACCGTCTTAAAGGTGGAGAGGGTGTGCAAAATTTGGAAGAGTGGCGTGATGGTGGACTTCCGCTCATGAACAGAAGCAAGTTATCAAGATATTCCAGTCGAATCAGCACGTCAGGATGGGAATATGCAAGCTGTCCCCCAAGTGTGAGAGAAGTGAAGAGATGGCTTCATGCCAACCCTCATCACGTAGTCTATAGAGAAAGGCCACAGTCACAGGTATGTTGTCAGGTTCCTTTGGATATCAACAGTCGTTTACATATCCTTGAGATCGAGGGACCAACGCCAGCCAATCCCTCTGGAGCGAGACTGGATGCAGGAGCGCGGTCTGAGTATAGTGTCCGCGAAAGCCAGAACATGACCATGTTGTCTCTTGAAGTTTTCGGTGAGTAAGTGTCCACCAATAGACCCACTTACCCCTCTCCTCATCACTCCTGTTAACAGCACCTTCTCGTGGTGATCGTGTGCCAGATGCGAATGTAGACGAAATCGTTGCAGTCTTCTATACGTTCTCTATTGATGGCCGCTCAGAGAACTACGAGAAAGGTATGGTTGTTGTCAAAAACGAACGTCTTGACCCACGTAGACTACGCAACTTCTGTGTGGAGGTTGTCCCGGACGAACTGGAGTTGCTGAACAAGGTCATTGATATTGTGATAGACGTCGACCCTGATATTGTCGTTGGATGGGAGGTGCAAACAGCATCCTGGGGATACGTGAATTCTAGAGGTCGACATTATGGTACGTGAATCAGTTTCATCATCTTTACATTAACCAAAGTGGATGCGAACGCTTCGAATCAGGCTTTGAAATCGGAGAGTTAATTGCACGTGCCCCTAGTAGAAATAATACTGGTGGTAATGACCAGTGGGGATTGAGAACATCCTCTACCTTTCAAGTCATTGGTCGACATGTTTTCAACGTATGGAGAATCATGCAAGTTGAGCAGAACCTTGGAATATATACATTTGAGAATGTAGCTTTTCATATACTTAAGCGGAGGTCTGTCCCACATGTTTTCATTTTGGCTTAGCTGATCGTCGTCGTCTACAGGATACCACGCTATAGCTTCTCGACACTGACAGAATGGTACAAAAGTTCCGATCCTGTGCACACATCGCGTTTGTTACGACATTTATCAGAACGCACCTCGACTGTACTTGACATATTGGACGAGGCCGAAACTGTCACGAAGAACGCGTAAGCAGATTTCTTCTCCTCACTTTGCTCTTTATTCGAACATATGGCTGGATTCACAGGGAATTTGCGCGCGTATTCGGAGTAGATTTTTTCTCCGTTATAAGTCGTGGCTCTCAGTTCAAAGTGGAATCGTTCATGTTCCGAATTGCTAAGCCCGAGAGCTTTGTACTTTTGTCTCCTAGTAAAGAAGATGTTAGTATAACTGACTATTCTATTTCTCTCCCCCACGATACTCAATAGCATCCCAGGTCGGCAAGCAGAACGCTGCTGAATGCATGCCTTTAATTATGGAACCTCTGTCAGCATTTTACAATGGACCACTAGTCGTTTTGGACTTTCAGTCATTGTATCCTTCTATCATGATTGCATATAATTATTGTTATTCTACCTGTCTCGGCCGTGTCGGAGAATTCCAAGGTCAAAATAAATTCGGTGTTACAGAGCTTCACCATCCAGCAGGCCTGCTTCAGAAGCTGCAAGACCACATTACAGGTGAAGTTCAGATTCATGCATGCTGTCACCATCCTAAGCTAAGGCATTTCCCTGTTTATAGTGGCTCCGAATGGCATTATGTATGTTAAGTCGGATGTGCGTAAAGGTCTTTTGGGTAGAATGTTGACAGAGCTCTTGGAAACGCGAGTTATGGTAAAACAGGCCATGAAGAGCGCTAGAGGGAACAAGGTAGACTATCTTTTATTCCGACGGATGCTTGTTGACTTAAATTCTTCGCTGTAGGCTCTGGGCAGAATTCTGGATGCTCGACAGCTGAGTCTGAAGTACATCGCGAATGTCACTTATGGCTACACTAGTGCTACCTATTCCGGTCGTATGCCTGCGGTTGAGATCGCGGATAGCATTGTTCAGAGCGGTCGCGAAACTCTAGAAAAGGTTAGTTCTGTCTGCGTATTGGTGTATGTAATCTGAGGGGTCCTAGGCTGTGCGGATCATCAATGCAACCAAAAAGTGGGGGGGAAAAGTGGTCTATGGAGATACAGACTCGCTATTCATTTATCTTCCAGGGAAAACTAAAGAACAAGCCTTTAGAATTGGACAAGATATGGCAGATACGATAACTGCCATGAATCCTGCTCCGGTGAAACTTAAGTTTGAAAAGGTCAGCTAACTCGATGAACAAAGGGCGAATATTGTTGACAAGCTTTGAAGGTGTATCTTCCTTGCGTCCTAATGGCTAAGAAACGATATGTGGGATTCAAGTATGAAAACCCTGATGATTCTGTGCCTGTATTCGACGCCAAAGGCATTGAAACAGTACGTCGCGACGGCGTAGCTGCACAACAGAAAATGACCGAGACTTGTTTAAAGTGGGTTCGCTCTGAAACTCTATATTGACATTGACAATTCACATCATTTTAGAATTCTATTTCGAACCCAAAACCTCAGTGAAGTCAAGGATTACTGTACCCGATCATGGTTGAAGATTTTACGGAACAAGGTATCGATACAAGACTTCGTTTTTGCCAAAGAAGTCAAACTGGGTACCTACAGGTATGCTACTCAGGGAATTTATCCTTGTGAAATTAATGCATCATCCTTCGAATCCAGCGATAAGGTACCACCTCCCCCAGGGGCCACTGTGGCAGCTAGGCGAATAATGCAAGATGAGAATGACGAACCTCAGTACGGGGAGCGCGTGCCATATGTCATCGTTAAAGGAGAGCCTCAATCACGACTGGTAGACAGAGCGGTCTCCCCAGAGGAATGTCTACGCAATCGGTACCTGCATTCCCGACCTCATTTGTATGGGCAGTGACTTACAGTTGTTCTGGGTGATAGCCGTTTAAGTCTGGACGGAGCATATTATATTTCTAGAGTGCTGATTCCACCACTGGAACGCATCTTCAATCTCGTCGGTGCTGATGTTAGGGCCTGGTACGACGAGATGCCAAAAACCATGAAAGTCGATCAAGTTGATCCTCTTTCATTGTCGCCCAGAAAAAACAAAGGCAATACAACCAACAAGTTCAAGATCGACGAACATTTTCAGAGTTCCCAATGTCTCCATTGCGGTGCACTGGCCCAGGAAGGTAAGCTCTTGGAGGGGATCAATTGCTTGAAATCTCGTAAACTATCTGTACTTCTTAGGCATATGCGATGCCTGTCGAAGGGACCCGCAAACGGTTATTCCAGCTCTTCTCGGACGCATATACAAAGCTGAAAGTAGAATGCTCAACACCCAACAAATCTGCGTATCTTGTACTGCCTCAGCTGCTGCGGAGCCCATCCGATGCGAGAACTATGACTGTCCCTGGTTTTTCGAGAGGACGAAAGCAGTATCGAAAAGCGAATTTTTGGAAGGTTTATGGGGTTTAATGGACGATATCGAGTTTAGTCAAGAATATTCCTACGAACGAACAGACGACCTTTTGTAGCTCGGAAACATACAATGAGAATACTCAAACGCGCTAAATTATACGTAGGATGAGAAACTGTCTAGAGTGGTAGACGCTTATCCTTATACAGATTGGTAGGCGCCAGCCATGGAAGGGTTGGCGGGAGTGCTGGGCTGGGTTGGGGGTGCAGTAGCTTTGGGCTGAGGCGCGCGAGGCTCGTCGTCGACTACTTGGTATCCGTCTCGACTGCTTGAAGTGAATCCGCCAGGCATCGACCACACTAGATAACGTTGGCGTTAGAATGAAAAGAAAAGATCTAGTGCGAGACTCACCAGTGGGGCCGGAAAGATTTGCTCCCAGACCAGAGAACTGGGCTCCCCTCTGACGGAGAGCAACAGCGAAAGCAGCCATGGTAGGAAGCTGAAGAAGAATCCAATAATTCGTCAACAAAAAACCACACTATGGATGAGACTGAGTTCTAGGGCGCTGACCTTGAGAATCAGTATCACGATAGTGATGAATCTGATGAACCCATGTTGATGGTTCCTAACCATCCAGATGATGTCGAATATAGTGGAGATGCTGAGAATACCAGTGAACTGCAAACATTGGGGTTTGAGTACACGTACAGGAATTAGAAACTTTTTGGGAACACACTGTTTTTAAAGACTGGACTGCCTCGGCGCTTTCTTGGGCATACATGCCGAAGAGAAATATAGGCAGGTTATATACTGGAGCTGCAAATGGGCTGATGGCGAAAGACAACACCTGTGAAACATTCACTCCCATGTTAGAGTTACTGGTGAAATGTTCGAAAAACGCAGGCACGAACGGTCTGAACGAGAACCAGTTTCGAAGGGTCGAGTCCCTGGATAAACTCTGCCATTGTCAAATGTCAAACGTTGGTTTCCTAGATATTAAAAATGAGGGACGATAGCTAGCGAGTGCTGGCTACTGAATATGCTGGATATGAAGATAAAAGACGTGAACAAGGGTAAGTAGTAAACTGTGACTGCAGCGCAGCGTTCACGGCATTAGCCGAACATCAGTCCCACACACCGCCATCGTGGTACTTGGTAACTTATCAGATCAGCGCGCCCACCACGGTTCTGGACACTGACAGTCACTAGTCACAGCTTGGACATCGTGGTCGACATCGAGCACAAGGATTGGCGCATATAGCTTATAACTATGGCACCGTTCGACACAGTCTACCCCGCTGATTCCATCGAGTTCTGCCCAAACGATGATGCCCGTGACATTTTCGTATGCGGGACTTACAAGTTAGAACAGCCTGAGCCAGATCCATCCGCAATATTAAAGTCTACAGAAGAAGTACTAGAGTCTAACGATGTGGAACAAGTAAAGCGTAAACAGATCAGACGCGGAAAATGTCTAGTATTTGAAGTGATTTCGCGCGATGGCAAGGAGTTGTGCGTTCCCTCTTTTCTAGTCTTTATTTTCGCATCCAAACTTACCTTCTATTTACCGTCGTTCATGTATTTTTGCAGCCAACAAATTCAAGAATTTTCACTTCCAGCTGTGCTCGATATGAAGTGGTGAATGCACTCCGTTTGGTAGTGTACCTGTCGAGTTGACGAATGATAGATAGGTGTCATAGACCTGCGGGAGCTAGCCCACTTCTTGGTATCGCAGATGCAGAAGGGAATATCACACTGCATGAATGGCGAGCCGACGAGGTAAGAGCACTATCTGGTTCTCGATGCCCAAAAAGAAATATGCCAACTGCTTTTTGACAGCGAAGACTCTCGCAGACCGTTCGCATACCATGCGTACCAGACGCGGAAGACGTTCTGTGCCTCTCACTTGATTGGTCGAACCGCCGTTATGCTACAACGTACGTCTATTTACACTCACAGCCCATTCAGGCTAAAATACGTGCCCCCCTTTTATTTTGCGTTTTCCAGCAGCGATATCAGCTCGTTAGTCGTATCCCTATCCAATGGCTCTCTCTGCATCTTACGCCCTGCCGAGTCTACAATGGCCATGAGCGACTCATGGCATGCACATGACTACGAGCCTTGGATCGCAGCATGGGATTATTGGAATACCAACGTTATATACTCTGGCAAGTCGTATATAGCCTCTTATTCTCGCGTGTGATGAGGCTTCTACTCATTTTATTGGACTTGTAGGTGGAGACGATTTGAAAATGAAAGGATGGGACGTGCGGCAGGGCTTTGATAGGCCCACGTTTGTCAATAAACGGTACGTCCCACATTCATTCAAACCCTTTTAGGGATTGCTCAATTCGAAGAATACCCTAGTTTCGACGCCGGAATTACGACTATCCAGTCCCATCCACACGTTGAGCACCTCGTAGCTGTAGGCAGGTGCGCAGTCTCGTCCTCATTTTCTCCTCAACAAACCCACTCCTATCTGTTGCCGCTCATTCATCTATGGCGTTGTATTGTTTGTCTGATGTATGTGAATCGACTAGCTACGATAACACGGTACGCCTGTTCGACGTCCGTAAGCCACTCGTGCCGGTTGTAGAAGCGGATGTGGGCGGTGGTGCTTGGCGCGTGAAGTGGCACCCATCTCCAAGGCGGAAGGATGATTTGTTAGTGGCATGTATGCATGACGGGTTCAAGATCGTTCGATTTAGCATGGACCTTGTAGGCATTGTGAAAGAAGAAGAATTTGTAAAAGGAGGAGAAGGATGGGAGGTAGTGAAGAGGTTTGATGAGCATGAGAGTTTGGCGTATGGTGTGGATTGGTGTTTTGATGATGCTGCAGTTGGACGTGGGAACGAGAGTGGGGAAAGCGAGAGTTTGATTGCTAGCTGTTCGTTTTACGATCACGTTTTGCATCTGTGGAGCGGGTGAGATCATGAGTCTATAAAGCTTGCGATCAGGTGAGTCTCAAACAAAAACAATATTGCTTGATATGATTGAGCAGCGATGAATAAGTTGATGTTGTAGCTGTACACGAATGCAGCAGGACGATTATGGTAGAAATACACGATGTAGTGGGCCTCACTCGCGGATCTCGCAAAAAGTAAATGATACACCAAGACGACCAGATCTACTGAGATAATCTAGGAGAAGAGATGCTGCCCCTTGAGGACAGCCATAAAAGGTGGAGGGCGGAGAGGCGGTATCTTTCCTGATAGGTGAGCCGGGCGGCCCGTATACTCGACTTTTATACGGTGCCGCTTGCCTCTCCTAAAGAGTGTAAGCTGCCAGCTGGATACAGTATGGTTAACGAATGCCATGAACATGAGATAGGGGTGATGACAGAGGGAAAGAAAAGTACTCACCCTTCGAGAAGCAGAACATGATAGTTCCCTCTCGCCACCTCGTGCAAGAGCTGCTGCTGAGCGAAGAGCACTGCATTAGCAAGCTGGGCTTTACTGGGGAAGTGCTTCAGATTGTCGAAGACGTATGTCCCACACGTGTCCATCTCCCTGACATAACTGATGTCGAGGTCTGCGTGTATTTGGTGATGAGTTGATTACGGCGAAGGTAGGCAAGCGAAGCACTTACCGTCGTCGTCGTCGTACACGGGCACGGGATCGATGGCTATACAACCGACTACCTCCCAAGAGGTTTCTTTGTCACTCTTTTTCCGACGGAAGAACGCGAACTTCATAGCGGGCAGCTCGGTGGGACGAAAGAAAGGCTAGCACGACTTTCAGACAGAGAAACAGACTGCGGAGGAGGGAGAGCGTGCTGACATTATAAACATGCTGTTCGGGAAGAGTCATTATAAACGACGACGACACCCAGACTACAACACCGCCACCCGGGATCTAACGCTAGGGGCACTGCGTATCTTCGGCTGTACACCTCACCCCTATTCTAACCCCAAATCGTAATCATGATGATCAATGCGGAAGATTTTATTGAAGATGCCGGGAATAAGTTGCGGCGCTGAATATGAATTTGAACATTATGAATGGACGGAAGCCTTGAATGAAGCATGTGCGTAGATGGGTCATTGATATCTTTGCATATGATTGATATGGATCCCGGCTTCCACTGACTGATACTGAATTAGCAGTGTCGATGTTGTTCCAAGTGATAGCTCGACAGATATAGGTCACTTGCCATAAGCTACCGCAGCTCTACTGGGTTAGAGAGGGGGGCGTGGACGACAACCGAGAGGTGACTCACCATCATTACGTTCTTCCTAATCTTGCCATAGATGCCATAGACGCGGCACCGACATATGTTTACCTTCAATCCCAGTATTTGCACAGCTCCGAGTATTGATCGGCCGGAAATGTGCTGATACATTTCAACCAGTGCAGAAATCAGAAAGACACCTGTTTGGTAGTCGTCTTCTATTAATATCTGCCATATTACTCTCTGCTCCTTGCATTCGCTTGTTTTCCTGAACAAATAACTAGATACCACTTGCGTCGATGATGTAGACTCGCTGTGATATCGTGTTTCGTAGATTGTAAGCGGGACCGCCCTTGTCCGAGTTACATCCTACTTTGCGGCACGTAGTAGCCCAACAATATCAATGGGTAGATAGTCAAACCGAACACTACAGAGTGTTCCGTGGGTATAGAATTCGTTGCTAGTTTTATGTAACGCAAGAGAATATGCATGGACTATGCATGGATTATGATTGTCGTCGTCCGCGTCAAGTCTCGTGAGGACTTATTCGACGATTATTTATTGTGGCAACTGACGCCACAGATGTAAGGTGCAATTGCTGCTGAACATAAGAGTGGCCCATGGTCAGGGTCACGAGGGTCAACTGGTATAAATATCTATTATGGGTGTCTATATCAAACGATAGCTTTCTCAGCCTACTGACAACGATAACTAGCAAATATGAAGAATATGAAGGAAAATAATAACAAATGAATGGTGCGCTTGAGTTTGTCGAAAGGAGTGTGGTGGTCAGTCACATGGTGAGAGACAATATTCAAGAAATGATATGAATATGGTGAATAATGAAGCTGAGAGAAGATCCGGTACGTTTCAAGCGGTTACGGTGCTGCAATAGCAGTTACATCGCGTTATGGCTGCGACTAAACTTCGTCGGTCGAGGTTGAGGCACTTTCAAGCACAAGTTCTGGCGAATTTTCTCCATGTCCTTGCTTCCTAACTGCATATACTCCTTGCAGTAATTCTCTGCTCCACCAAACTTTTCTCTTATCAACACCAGTGTCGCAGCCATTGCCTCAGGACTGGAAGGAATAGTGAGTACAATAGCCAGGCTAAAATGATGACAGACTCACGGTGCACTAAGGAAATTCGTTAACCCTTTAGGATTGTTCTGATATGCTACGTCACGTGCTTCAAACTCCTCTATCAACCTCGGCATTGCAGACTGTAAGCCAACGCCCGACAATGCATAATCTGCAATGATGTCGTCATACTGAATACCCAAAACCTAAAATTGGGGAGGGTAAGTCTATCGCACACTCTATGAGAGAGCTTTTCGTACCATTAGAAGTAGAGCAATTGCTATTCCTGTCCGGTCCTTTCCAGCTGAATTCAAAGTCAATGACAAGGTTTAGATTGGATAGTTGGAAACGACTCACCAGAGCAATGGACTAAAACCGGCTTGTCGGGATTGTCCCTAAGATAAGTAAAGAAACGTTTGAAGCCCTCTCCATTTGTATGCAGTGTCTCGGCGTATGCTTGGATAAAAGCCTACCACAGCTATCTGTTAGCATATTGACTCTTTGCTTGACTAAAACGAACTTACTTGTAGTGGGTGCTTTTCGTAGACCTCAAGTCTAATGCGAACAGTCGGTTAGTTATACGCCAATGCAGAAATATACTGAACAGACTCACGTCTCAGCAACATCCGAACCATCATCAGAGCCATCCTCTAAGCGCACATCAACGATGGTTTCAATTCGACGTTCGAAAAGTTGTCCTTTCCCATATTGCGTTATCCCTACGGTATCGGCGCCCCGATAAATGATGCCTGGCTTGACCTTGACAAATGGAGACCTCGCAGAGACATCCACAGTGCGGACATTGTCTACGCCGTCGATGAAAACAAACGGAGGAGGCAAAGGCTGAAGCACGTTCTGCCGAATTTTGTCTATATCTGCAATTTCTAACCCCATATACTCCTTGCAATAGTTCTCTGCTCCGCCAAATACCTCCCTTATTAACACCAATGTCGCAGCCATGGTCTCAGGACTTGACCGGATGATAAGCAACAGTCCGATTAACGGTCAAAGCCAACTCACAATGCACCAAGGAAATTCTTCAATCCTTCGGGATTGTCTTTATACGCCTGGTTACGATCTTCAAACCCTGCCATCATGCTCGGCATCGCAGACCCTAAGCCAATGCCTGACAGAGCATAATCTTCAATTACGTTATTGTCGTGGACACCGAGGATCTAAAAATGGCAAGTGTGAAATTGCATAGAGTGGGAAAGAAGGTATCTGTACCATTAGAAGCAGAGCAATTGCTAACCCTGTCCGGTCCTTTCCAGCTGAATTCAAAGTCAATGACAAGGTTTCAATTGGATGGTTGGAAGTGATTCACCAGAACAGTGGACTAGAACCGGCTTGTTAGGATTGTCCCTAAGGTGAGTGAATAAACGTTTGAAGCCCTCTCCATTTGTTTGCAGTGTCTCGGCGTATGTTTGGACAAAAGCCTACCACAGCTATTGGTTAGCATATTTACTCTCTGCTTGACTAGAAAGAACTTACTTGTAGTGGGTGCTTTTCGTAGACCTCAAGCCTAATGCAAACAGTCGAATGGTTATATGTCAATACATAAACATAGCCAAAAAAAAAACCCACATCTCAGCAATCGTCGAATCAGTTGTTTCAGAGTCATCAGGTAAGCGAACATCGATGATAGTGTCGACTCCGCGTTTATCAAGCTCTGCTTTCCCAATATCTGTCATCCCTATGGTGTCGGCACCGCGATAGATCAAGCCTGATTTGATATTGACAGAGGAAGATCCAGCAAAAGCGTCTATGCTGCGGACGTTGTCCACGCCCTCGATGAAAACGAACGGCGAGAGCACATTCTCGCGAATTTTGTTGATGTCCGCGCTTTCCAGTTGCATATACTTCTTGCAATAATTCTCTGCTCCGCCAAATATTTCTCGCACCATCATCAGTGTCGCAACCATGGTCTCAGGGCTTGAGCGGTTAATAAGCAAACCAGCCTGAGTTATGGTCAATGCAAACTCACAATGCACCAAGGAAGTTCTTCAACCCTATAGGATTGTCCTTATATGCCTGATTATTAGCTTCAAACTGTGCCACCAACTTTGGCATTGCAGATTTCAAGCCAATAGTCGACAGAGCATAATCTTCAATGATGACTTCATCGCGGACGCCCAGAATCTAAAGTCGGGATATATCAACTTATGGCATACAGAGAGAAAAAAATACCGTACCATTAATAGCAGAGCTATCACTACTCCTGTCCTGTCCTTTCCAGCTGAATCCAAAGTTAATACCTATAGTTTGATTAGTTGCCAGCGATTGTACGCGACTCACCCGAGCAATGGACTAGGACTGGCTCGTTGGGCTTGTCCCTGAGATGCATGAAGAAAAGTTTGAAGCCCTCTCCATTTGTTTGCAGTATATTCGCATATGCAGTGATGAAAGCCTACCACAATTATTCGTGAGTACACTGGCTTTCTGCTTGACTAGAAAGAACTTACTTGTATCGGTTGTTTTTGATAGACCTCAAGCCTAATGCAAACGGGCGGTTTATTATGCGTCAATATAGAAAACATGCAGAAGATGCTCACATGTCAGCAATCTCTGAATAGGTTGATGCTTCAGAGTCATCGGGTAAGCGTATATCAATGATAGTGTTGACTCCGAGTGTAGCGAGTTCTGCTTTTCCTATATCTGTGATATTTATGGGGTCGGCACCACGATAGATCAAGCCAGGTTTGATATTAACAGAGGGAGATCGAGAAAACGCATCTATCCTGCGGACGCTGTCCACGCCGTTGACAACGACAAAGGGTGGGGGCAATACGACGAGAGACTCCTTGGGTTGAGCCATGGCTGGTAGATGGGCGTGCAGAGCTCGATGCGAATGAATGAGTATAGGATAATGGTGCACCCCTTCAGAGTCTCGTCCTTAAATACCTGTTTCGACATGAGCGCCAGCTGTCTGAGGAACAAGCCAGCTGTCGTTCCTCAGACACAGACCATGCACACAGAACACGGCATCAAGGTCTAGACAAGTTCCGAATATTTCATTGTTGTAGTTATTATTGCCATGTCCTTCTTGCTTCGTCCACTAGTCAAATGTTCAGAAGGCAGAAGATGAAGATTTCACCAAACTTGGCAAGGAAACGGACAGTATTAGCACTAGTACTGTGTTTCGAAAAGCCGCTGTACCACCTTCCAGATCTGTTTGAATTTTGGATTCCCTTATGAGGGTCCGTGGTTGAAGGCGTGTTCCTGGCGCTGGTTGTCTCCGGTAATTGACACAGTGCAAATGTCTAGTTTGAATGGTCCCGACCTATGTATCACCGATGCTCTCGTGAAGTAAAGACCTTCTGCCATTGGAACGTATAATGTTTAGCTGATATAGGAAACAACTAGGAATTCAGTACGAGTTCTTTCGTGATGAAGATCAGAAGAAACCTCTTGTTAGCTAAGAGTAGATCGCCGCAGCTCTGAGTCATGGCACACACCGGTAGCGTCTATGGGACGAATGTATAATACTTACCTTCCCATTTGCTTGCCCATATATAAGCGAATACCCAAATACGCAAAAACAGCTTGAACCGGAAAGCGGGGGGATGTCATATCCATATGGCTATAACGTGTTGACGCTTGGCGGCGACATTATTATGATGAGAATCACAGGAAGAAATGCCTGCAATCAAGTCAGATAACGGTACACCATACATGCTGCCACTTGACATACCATGCCTGTTCAAGCGAGCCAATTCCTTCCCTGGCTGACAGGAGAGCTTCAAATACAGGAGGGACTGTTTTTATGTACCCATCATCCAGCTGCCAACAGCAAAAAAGCTCCTTCTCGTAATTGTGTAACTCAGTGTAATACGAGCTGGCAACTTGAAATGCTTTGTGAGTTAAGAGACAAAACTTTAATAATTAGTTCCACCATCAATATCTGAGCATCCTTGCAATGTGTTACTGTTTTCCAGCCAGACCTTCCCTGCGACCATTATAACCGATTTCAAGTTTTCGTGGCTCGTGACCAGGTGCGACTATGTCTATCGCGGGGTCGCGGAGCGTTGATCTGAGTTATAATCCTACCTACAGGTTTGTCGCAAAAATCCATTTTTCCTGATTCGTCCGAATTTGGCCTGATAAGGTTGTCAGAAATTTAAACAGCAGATTGAATACAAAACACTGCGGACAGGTCAGATCAGAGACCTGTCAGAATGATAAAAGTAACAACTGAGATGGGTGAATATGCCATCATGACCCGGCTGACCCAGCTGATCACTATGAAGTTCCAGAGTCTGATGATTGGGCTCACCAGGTTGACTTGTCAGTTCAGACTGAGCACTGTGATTGAGCTAATCACGCTATTCCAAGCTATACTGCCATATTAGTGCAAGAAATTGTGTAGAGTAATGGGAAAGTAGTGGTGCAATTATATTGATAATCATCAGGTAGTGGTAATTCATCAGGAAACTGGGGAGAACCCGCTATACCCAGGCGGAGTTGATAATCAGTCACCAACATGCCATGCTGGAATAACAGCCTATAAGCTATTATCTGGACTTATCACGATGCTGAGTATACTATACCTTTGAAATATGGCAGAATTGTGCCAATATTAACCTGGTAATTGATAATATGTGTTTTAACAGCTGGGAATAAAGGTAGCCTATACAGCATTCATGTCTGGTGTAGATATGACCTTATTATTTGTTAGCAGCTGGTGTACTAGGTCTTAGCAAGGTGTTGAGTACATTGTAAACATCTAACTAGTGATATATTCATCAGAGGCTCTTATAAAGTAGAAGTAGAAACTAGAGGTAGCATTGATGGCCAACAAAATCTAATTTAGTATGGTAACACTGATATCATAGACAAGTCTCGGACTTGGAGTACTACTTAGTCCCAAACAAAAGCACCATCATCGTCCACCGCATATATTTGGTTCATTGCTATTAAGGTTTCATCATCAGTGTCCAAGTTGTTGTCTGAGTCTTTATCTGAGAAGTAGCCCAACCATTGGATGCTGGATGCACAATGTAACAACCAAAGTTTTGATACTCTGGCGCACAACTCAGACAAAGCTATAAAGGTAGTGAGGGGAGTGGTTACCCTTAGGATAGGACCGAGTTAGTTGTGGGTAAACAACAGGAGGACTCACTGAGGAGTCTCCTTGATCTATTGGGGTATATATACTACTACAGATTGTTTGTACATGTGTACTGTACAGTTTATGGAGGCAGTGGCTGATGATATCATGGGGCACAGCCCGTGTGACCAGCTCCACTGCATGAGATACTTGTATCTAAAAATAGAAAAAGGCAGTGCAGCGCGAGAAGTGGAGTTTGAACAATAATAGAAAGTGCCGCATGGCACAGGGTGTGAAAACTACAAAAGAAAGTTGAAGAGGAGAATAAAATTTAAAGGCACAAAAATTGTGTTATTGTAACACACAGGTTTGTACCACCTTACAAATAAAAATGCTACTCGGCGTGATTGATAGTCAGTGGTTCTGAAATCAACATATACAATATTAGCATGATAGATTCCCAGTACACGGACATAGCAGAATGGATGAGACTGGGTGCCAGTATCATCACAAGGAGACAATAACATGACATTGCAATGCGAGGTTCGGGGATTGATGATGTCTTGTACTCTGTGGACATCATAAGTAGTATAATTGAAATTGGGGACCCCTATTGGAGATAACCATTTCTGGTAATCTGTGGGTAGACCATACAGAATCTTTAAATAAATCTGCTGTACCAGCAGCAGTAACAGTTTTGTTGGTGGGAATGAACACCACTTCTTTGGAGAAGCAATCTACTACCACCATTACTGAATCATACCCATTTGATTCAGGTAGATCCGTTATGAAATCAACCAATATGTCCTGCCAGTGACCAGTTGGTATCGGATTTGGCATAAGTTTACCGGCCGGGGGTTGATGCGAGTTCTTTGCCATGGCACATCTTAGACAGGATTTTATATATTCCTGTACGTCTTTGACCATGCCAGGCCATATATAATTTCTGTAGATCAACTCCATTGTTCATTGCCACCCAGGGTGCCCAGCCACTGGAGTGTTGTCATGTCTATCTATTGCTTTGATCCTTGCAGACTCAAGCACATAGATTTTGTCTTTGTAATGAAAGAGCCAGTCTTCCCATAAATAATGTTCATTGCCATCAAGGCACACCTTCTCTTCTGAGGAGATGTCTTTCTTAAGACTTCCAGAAGATCAGAGTCCTGCCCGGTTCAAACATTAGCAACCCTAGATTGATCTATCAGGGTGACACCTTTGTTGTCATCTTTGATGCTGTTGGCATGATCCCCTCTTCTAGATAAAGTGTCCGCTTTCCCCATAGACGTTCCAGGCTTATGAATTAACTTATAATTAAACCCTGACAAGTACACCGCATAGTGGGCCTGTCTTTGGTTCAAGTCTTGGGTCGTCATAAAATACTCCAGATTCTTATGATTGGTCCAGATGTTAAACTGGTGCCTAGCACCTTCTAAGTAGTGCCGTCAGTGCTCTGAAGCTCTAATGATGGTTAGCATCTTCTTATCATAGAATTGATAGTTGCACTCTGTAGGTGACAAACTATGCAATAAATAGGCACAAGGCCTCCAAAGATTGTCAGGGCATTTAATTAATAAAACAGCCCCAGTAGCAAAATCAGAAGAGTCAGTTTCTAGCCGGAACTCTTTGTCTAATTTTGGAAATGCTAATATGGGCGCCGTTGTAAACACCTGTTTAAGCTTATCACAAGCTTCTTGTCCTTTGACAACCCAGTGCCAGACAATGCCCTTTTTAGCGAGATTGTTTAATGGTCTTGTTATCTTTGCGAGGTTTTCAACAAACCTTTGGTAGAAATTGTCTAAGCCAAGGAAGGCCCTCCTTTGACGCAAGTAGGTTCAGGCCAATCCAAAATAGCTTGAACTTTCTCAGGATCCATCCTGATTCTGTTCTGGCCATTTATCATACTGAGGAAGTCTACTTCCTTTACTTTAAAGTTACATTTTTCAGGTTTGACGAATAGGTCCTGTTCCTGTAAGTGTCGAAGGACTTCTTGCACAATCCTGTCATGCTCAGCCTCATTATCTGACTTCGTAAATATCAACAAATTGTCAATGTAAATGACGACACAGTTTTCCATATCCACAAAGATTTTATTCATCATGCTCTGGAAGGTTGCCGGTGAATTGGTCAACCCAAAGAACATAACAAGGGGTTTGAAGAATCCTCGGTGGCACGTGAACACGGCCTTCCAAGCATCTTCTTCTTTGATTTGTACATTATTGTACCCCCACCTGAGATCCATTTTCATTAAGATCTTGGCACCAGCCAACTTGTCTACTAGCTGACTGATCAAAGGCAGCGGATATGTATTTTTAACCGTGTACTCATTCAAGTAACGATAGTCCATAATCATACGCTTCTTACCATCCTTTTTAGGAATGAAGAACACCGGGGATGTCATAGGGCTTTTGGAAGATCTGATGTAACCCTTCCTAAGCTGTTCATCTATGAAACTTGAAACCTCATCTCTTTCTGGAGCAGAGAGGGGAATCATGTGTCCTTTTCTTGGTTTGAACGTATCCTTCAAATCTATAGCATGGTCCCAAGGCTTAGCCTCTGGGAAGCGCTCTGATTTATGTTTTGAAAAGACTTTCCAGAAGTCATGGTACTCTGGAGGTACCAGCCTCTTAATCTCTTCCTCAGGTTTTACTTCATCATTGTCATTGTCAATCTTATCTAAAGATCCAAGCTTGGCATAAATGTGACCAGTGTTTAACCTTTCATCAAGCTCAGTTTGATAAACATGACTCGACTTACCCAAGTCATCACACTCCTGAGGGCAACGTGACAATGTGACAACTCCTGTCTGCCAGTTGATCTCAGGATTGTGTTTAAATAGCCAGGTCCAGCCTAAGATTAAATTAATCTTCCATAGTTGGGTAGCTTCGGCGGTGACTCTGTGACCTTGGTACTCGACAACAAAAAAACATTTGTGTGTAATGCAGCCACCCACATTAACCGTACTGTCAATGTTATAGTCAGGAATAGATACATCTAATTTTACAAGGGGGAGTCCAATTTGCTCCGCCAAGACCTGATCTATAAATATTCCGTTAGCACCTTAATCAAGCAGTGTGCTGGTTGGGTGTACTATGCCTCGGGCGAGGTTTTCCACACCAACATCTAAACAGATCTCCTTTTGGAATAAATATGTGTGCATCAACACATGCCTTGGGATTTCTGTGGAAAGTGGCTCCGAAGAAAAAGGAGAAATATGAAGAGAAACATGTTTTTCTACTTTATGATTTTCTAGATTTTTATTTTTATTTTTACCAGAATCAAGCACCCTAGTGTTTGATAAAATTGGATAATGACAAGGCCAGGGATTGAACCTGGAACCTTCTGGATACATGCCAGCTGCTCTACCAATTGAGCTATATGGCCAAGGTTATACAATGTAGGATCTTAAACATGACATGCAACCACGGACGTCTTACACAGAATAGCTGCTGCATACTGGGCTGGCTTACAAATCAGAGGTATTATCCTATGGGGTATTGGTATGTCAGAGTATATTCTAACAGTGTTTGTCTCACCGGGGCCACGCTCCAAGGGAGACACTGGTGCAGCGGTAGTATCATAAATATTACATTTACAGTTTTGCATACAAGTACATACTTCTGATAACAAGTTGAGAAATTTATTTATGAATTGGGGGGCCACCCCCGTATTTCCTTTATTGCTCGTGCAACACCCCGGAGCAGGGGCCACTTTGTTGTGGTTTACTTCATTGTTTCAAGGAGCAAAGGCACCCAAGTGACCTAAGCTCTGAACTCCTTTCCCTGAGCTTTCATTTTGTTGACCTGCTGGTCATAGAAGAAAGCCCGGATTTTGTTGTACAAACGACCGGCCAGAGTATTGAGCTGATCATCTGTTGTCGATGATGAGAACTGCTGTTAGAAAACCACACACAAAAACAAATTAACACACAATCCTCCCAGATTCCACGGAACTTGTTTATGGGCTTTGCCTCCTAGAACAGTGGAGTGGTCTGGTTGTTTGTGGGGTGGTACGTATAAAGATCCTTCAAAGTAAAACCCAGAGGTGTATGAGTGTGGGTTTTGAGGAGGAGGGATAGTTGAATTTATAGAAGATAGGGGCTTAGTGACGAGTATAGATGAGCACTACCTTGCTAATTGTAGCACAAGGTAGGTTTGAGAACGATGAGGATGACGAGGTGACGAGGTTCCCAGTGATAGCAGGCTCCTGACGCACAAACTGTAGTGCTCAGAAGGACTCTAATCGAAATGGATAACAATGACTTCAAAAGTGGGAAGTGACGATGACAGCAATTAACAGTGGTAGCAGTGGGAAGTGTTGTGACCACACTGGATCACAAGTAGCAGAGAGTAGTGAACTTGAGATTAGAGAAGAAGTCTGGATTGGAGTTCTTGTTTTTTTTTTTTACAAGGTAAAATACAGGGGTTTATATAGTGAAAGAAAAGTAGGCTATGCACAGTATAGCTGTGCAAAAGAATGAGAAAGAACATGAAGGAAGGAATGTACGCTGATGAATCCTGCGTAGGTAGTACAGGATAAGATTGTCAAAAAAGGAAAAGAAAGGAATAGAACAATGAATGCTGTGAGTAATGTCACAGGTTTGTACAGCCATAAAGTAAAGTCCAATAGCAAAAAAAGAGCAGGAAAATCATGATGTCATGGGAAGATGCAGTAAAAAAAAGGCAAGGCAAAACACTATCAGTATCAACACAGTTCTTTTATTGTCAGTCAGGCATTCTAAAAAATATGTGTCCATAAAAATGATTCAAAAATCAAAAATAATTGCACTGTAAATGAATGTTCTGCTGAAAAAAAAGAAACTGGAGCCACCGGTCCACCACCTAGTCCAAATCCGACAGTTCCATGGCCTTACCAATGGACTGGTTGTGTTGGACCACCTGATTAAACGAGGGAGGGAGAGGAGTAGTTCCAATTTGGAACAAGTGAGTCCCAGGCAGCGTGTGGTAGGTGTAGCTGTAGCGAAGACAATGGACAAAAGATAAGTGTACCCAAGTGAATGGGACAGCGATGAACATGGGCGACGCAAGGGGATGAACCTTCTCCAGCTCAAAAACTACCCACCCACGCTCCAACCAGGCAAGACGAGCGACCAATGTTTTGATAGTATACGATGGTAGATCAATGTCTTAAAGATGGACCTGTTGCCCTATTTGAACCGGCCACCGGGGCTTTGCTAATATCAGCAGTGGCACGTGGTAGTCGACGGATGGGCGACGGAAGCGGATAGGAAGTGGTGACATCAGAAATGGTGGGGGAGCAAAGAAGATGAGGAGGAGGAGGCTGGAGGTGACAAGGAGGTGAACTAAAATGGGGATCCAGAAACGACTGTCGGGTGAGAATAAAAACGAGAGTAAGGGACCCATGGTGGGGCTAGGCAAAGGAAGGGAAGTGAAGGAAACGACAAAAACGAGGGCGCAATGCAATGTGTAGCCAGTGGCAATGCGAAAATTTGCCGAAATGCCGAAATGCGGAAAGTACCGAATGGAAAAGCAAAGGTGAGCGTGACTGGATTGCCTAATAGAGGTGGTGCTGATCAGCCACAAGTTCAAAAAAGGCAATATTAATTACTATTCCACGTGGCACTGTGCCTGTGTGGCGCAAAGGCGAGTCTTTTTGAATATTCGCTTCATTATTGACACCTGTCCATGCTACCAATCAACTTTGGTGCATGACACCGTCTTTTCAGTTTCTAATTGGCATGCCTGGCGGCCTTTCTGCAATCTCGGGATATGTGTCCCTCTTGGCCGCAATTATAGCAGTTCTCTTTGAATCTGCGCATTTGTCCTCCCTGGACCGCACTGATATCCATAGGGGCTCCCTGCCCTGGCTGCAGCCCAAACAGCTTGAACCTGTGAGAATGATTATGATGGTTTGATGACCCAGGGTGCCTCTGGGATTGGTTGTTTTTGGTGGTGGTCCCGCTGTAAGTTGCTAAAGGCGTCTGGGAGAGAACTGAGTATAGTCCTTATGTCCAAACACCTATGCATTGTTCAACCCACAGGGATCAACCAAGGGATTCAGAAGAAAGTGCTGAAGACTACAATAGAGTGGGTCCGCAGGTGAGTCTGCAGGTCCGCAGGTTTGCAAATAAGTCTGCAGGTTGGCAGGTCAGTTCGCAGAGTCCGCACTTTAAAGCCTAAACGGAGTGGATACGTCACAGCAAGTTGTGATCTTGCTTAATATGAGCTGAGGGTGAATATAGAATGGAGGATACGACACTGGAATGACTCCTGAGAGTCCGCATTTTGGGTCTATACGAGCAGGGCGTCACAACAAGCTCGGCACTTTGTTGGAAATTTTGGTAATATGGCTGTGGGACGTCTACAATGATTCTGAAGCGACTATGGCGACTTATTCAGACAAATTCTGAGTATATGGGGGATCAAAAGATAGTATTCCTTCCTTTTGGAAGTACAGTTTTATAGCAGTACCAAAAAGGAAATAGCAAAAATAGTGTAAAACATATGAGAATCAATGGGAGAAATGAAGGATAAACATTAGAAAGTGTCCATATGAAAATGTAAGAAAAAGCGGGTCATATCCTGCTAGTCAGACGTCCAGACAGTTCCATACCATGAGGGACAACTCCTATATTCCATACAAGGAAAGGGGTAGTTGATCCGTGGACAGTCGTAATGCTCTGGAGTCCATGTGGAGTCTTGCACGTGCATAGAGTGCTGAGTTAGCTCCTTGTCCGACGGGTCCGAAGTCCGAAAAGTGTGGACCCTATATGTCTGCAAACGCGGACTCTATATGTCTGCAAATGCGGACTCTATGTATCCGCAAACATGGACTCTGCGGACTGTTGCGTATTGATGCATGGTTTGCCATAGAACTGGATTGATATGTTGGGAAATAAAGGGATTACTATGCCAGCATCTAAGTCAACTCTACACCGCCACCTTGGTGCATAGCGTAGAGCTCCATGGCTCTACTGACCTGTCAGACTTCCTCAGCCGCCAGGGCCAGGTTGTCACTCCGTGTATCTTTCAGATAGATCTGCTTGGCAATGCGGGGGTTCACATTGTGTTCTAGTAGCTCTACTGCATGTTCATTTTCAAGCCCTCCTTGGATAGAGAGAGCCAGGAACCGGGTGACATAATTATCCGTCCTCATGCTTCCTTGTTGGAAAAAACGGATTTGCTGACGCACCCAATCACGCTCAGCTTGCGGTTTAAAGTATTTTTCAATCTCTACTTTGAGATCGTCCCAGGTGGGCCACACTCCCGCCGTGTAGCACTCCTGCAGTCTTACTTGGGCATATTGACCCGCCACAGGTCCTTTTAATCAAGATAGCACAGCAGCTGCTATCTCAAAATTGTCGGCAAATGCGTCCCAATTTGCCTTGATCCAAACTTGTAGCTTGATCCACCATTCAGCAAATCGAGCCCTGTGTCCTTCGAAAGCACCGGGGTCAGCAACAATCTCAACTTTCTTGTTGAACTTTCGCTCAACCGTAGCTTCCACTGCTGGGGCAGCCTGAATCTTGGCGAGCTGATTTATCAATGCCTGAATCTGTGCACACATGTTGTGCAGCAGACTGTTCATATCCGGTTGCAACAACATGTCAACTGGGGGTCCCAGCTTGCTATCTGCGGATCAACCTCTTCCCAGCTGAGTATCAAATCTCAATCTCTGACTACCCACACTATAGTATTTAAAATGTATATAAAAGATAAACATAATAAACCCTGGTCCGAACAGTTGTCATGGGGTGGTCCACTTGTTAAGCTGTCAACCCTTCTCCAGACTGGCGGAGGCAAGTGCCCGGCCTGGTCAGAGGAAAGAGAAAGAGAAGATTTGTATGTAAATTCTAATCAACATTGGTTCCACACCAACTGCTGAGCTAAAGTACTCCCCTTGACACTGGGGGCTGTGTGTAGATAATTATCCTTTCTCCTTGAGCACTACAGGGCCATCGCTAGGAGCACACACTTCTGCTATACAGGATATTCCAAAACAATAACCCCTTAACCCTGAGGACCAGGTTTGCACAAAGTGTGAGAGAGTAAGAACAGCGAGTCCTAATGTTACAACCAAAGTTTTGATACTCTGGCGCACAACTCAGACAAAGCTTATAGTGGTAGTGAGGGGAGTGGTTACCCTTTAGATAGGACCGAGTTAGTTGTGGGTAAACAACAGGAGGACTTGCTGAGCAGTCTCCTTGATATTGGGGTATATATACTACTACAGGTCATTTGTACATGTGTACTGTACAGTTTATGGAGGCAGTGGCTGATGATGTCATGGGGCACAGCCCATGTGACCGGCTCCACTGTGTGAGATGCTTATATCTAAAAATAAGAAAAAGGCAGCGCAGCGCAAGAAGTGGAGTTTAAACAATAATAGAAAGTGCCGCATGGCACAGGGTGTGAAAACTACAAAAGAAAGTTGAAGAGGAGAATAAATTTTAAAGGTCCAAAAATTGTGTTATTGTAACATTTAGAGTGGATCCTTGGATAATTTTATAAATATTATCTACAAAATATTCTCTTTATGTTGCCTGCCTTGAGCATGATCATTTCGTAAATATTTTCTATATAGTATATGAGATAGTAGTACAATGATTTTACTAAAAATTCCAGACTCAAAGCTGTAAGGACAGGCAAATGATATCAGGGATTATATTTTACAAAAAAATCACTTTAAAATCACACTGCAAGTCTAGCTATTATAAGTCAATCCCCACAGTATGAGCAGAAGGGCAGATCATCCTAAAGGCACCAATGACAACAAAAATCAGACACTTCTCCCAGATGTACATTTTGCTATCAATGAAGGATACATACCGGATATACAAACAAGCTTCAAAAGCCAGGACAAAGTAGTAAAGAGAAACTTGAAGTAAAAGGCAGATACCTAGAATGTAGTAGATAGGATCATCTGGATTAAAAGCGAGTCAGAGACAAATTCCTACCCAATCAAACCAGTTGACTGGGTTTAATATAGATGCCATATTAATAGACAGACCAGCATGGCTAAGGACATCAATAACCCTCTCCGGGACACAAGTTAAATGGTAGAAAATACCAAGGATGCCTTGTAAGTATTTGCATTATTGGTTAACACTCTGCAAGAGGATGCTGATGCACACCACAGTTTGCTGATTAACATATTCAATATATTATCAGGTATGATCTAGCTATCATTCTGGCTTACTATTAATAAAACTAAGTGAAACTCAGCCGCTGCCCGAGAGGCTATAGAAACAACTTTATTATTTACCTAAGTGAAACTATAATAGATGTTAGTTTAAGGTGATCTCTAATAAATTTAATGTAACATACCTCAGCCGCTGCCCGAGAGGCTATAGAAACGACTGAGGTATTCCTATACTAAACCCCCTACTACTTATAGTCGGAGGTGCTACTCGCTACAGTATAATGACTCCTAGGAGAACAATGGTGACTCCATGGAGTGGTGGCTAAACTCCATGGAGAACAATGGCTGCTTTGGCAGAGACCAGGTTTATCCGGTTTTGTCACTCCCACTCAAGTGCAACCGTAGTCCCATAGCTTTAGAGAATTTCCAGTGTTTTTTGTGAGTGAGGGGTTTAGTGAGAATGTCGGCAACCATATCTCCTGTAGGAACGTATCTGATTACTGCCTCTCCCTTTGATACTAAGTCATCTTGGATAAAATGATATTTCCGTTGAATGTGTTTTGTGCGAGCACGGAGCTGTGGATCTTGTGTAAGAATAATGGCTGCTTGATTGTCACAGTGCAATGTTGTAAGTCCATTTTGAGCATGTTCAATTTCTTCAAAAAATGTCCGAAGCCATGCAAGGTGTTGTCCAGCATTGCTCAATCCAATGTACTCTGACTCCGTGGAGGATAAAGCTACCACACTTTGTCTTTTGCTTGTCCAGGAAATTGCTCCTCGGATGGTGATAAAGACAAACCCTGATGTTGATCGAGACGTGTCTGGGTCTCCAGACCAATCTGCATCTGAATATCCATAGAAATCCATGTCCATGGAGACATCTGTGCCATCATATCGTAGTTCCATGTCCCTGGTTGCTTTCAGATATCGGAGGACACATTTTGCAGCTTCCCAGTGATGGCTCCTTGGAGCTGAGCTATGTCTGCTTAGTATTCCAACGACGTAGGCAATGTCTGGGCGGGTTCCAAGCATGGCATACATGAGGGAGCCTACAATTGAGAGGTATGACACTTGACGCCCTTCAATATGCATCTCGTGTTGCACAATATCTTCCCCTGGAGCATTTGCAAGGAGTTTTGATCTATGGGCCATTGGTGTCCATACTGGTTTGCAGTTTTTCATTCCAGTACGCTCCAGGACTGTGTCAATGTATTGGCGTTGCAATAGGGATATTGTTTTGTTTGAACGATCACGTTGGATTTCTATTCCGAGGATGTATTTTGCTTCTCCAAGGTCCCGCATTTTGAATATGGATTCGAGTTTGGCTTTTGTGATATCCATGAATTTTCGGGATGAAGCTCCTAGGAGAAGGTCATCTACATAGACAACAACAAAGCATATTTGTTTGTTGTCCCGGAATACATAGAGACATGTTTCTGCATTTAGTCTTGTGAAACTGAGCTCCTGGAGCTTGCAATCAAAAGTTTTGTTCCATGTACGACCAGCTTGTTTTAACCCGTAGATGGATTTCTTCAATCTCCAGCAGTATCCAGGTTGGATAGGAATACCCCCTGGAGGAAGCATGTACAGTTCTTCTTCAAGTTCTCCATTGAGATAAGCTGTGGATACGTCCATTTGATCAAGTTCTAGGTCGTACTTTGCTGCCAGGGCTAGAATAATTCGGATTGACTCTAAGTTTGCAACCGGAGCAAAAACCTCCTGGTAATCAATCCCCTCCCTTTGAGTAAAACCTCGTGCAACAATCCGGAGTTTGTATCTCTCAATGTTTCCGTTTTGATCAAACTTGATCCGGAACACAGGTTTTGATGTGATGGGTTTTACTCCCTTCGGAAGTGGAACAGTGTCATATACTGCATTAGTATTGAGACTTAGGAGTTCCTCCTCCAAGGCAGACTTCCATAATTCTCCATCCGGACGTGATAAGGCTTCCTTTAGTGTCCTTGGAAGGTCTGTGTTAGATGGACCGGTACTTGCTATTCCAGCAAAGAATGTCTCCTCTGTATCAGATGTTTCTTCATGAACCTCAGGAGTGTTAGGTTTCTCCATGGAGTTGTTATGCTGCTCTTTTTGAGACTGTTCCTCATCTAGAGTCCTTTGATAATCTCGGTTTTTGTCTGCAGGACGGGTCTGGCGACTGCTTTTGCATACTCCTAGGACTTCAGCAGGCATGACTGCTCTTTTGAGAACCTGTGCAGGTACTCCAGGGAGTAGACGCATTTGTGTGTGTGTTGCCCCACTCACTCCTGAAGGTGTTGAATCACTCCTCGGAGGTGTTGGATGCCTTCCAGAAGCTGATCCAATGGACAGGCTGTTTAGCTGTATCCGGACTTTTTCCACATCAGCTGGCTGTATGTTGAGGAGCTGTCCTCCCACTGACTGTGACTCTACTTTGGCTTTCCGTTCTGAAGATGGCCAGTGTTCAGGTCTTGGTTGTAGAGACTGTTGTGGAGGGTGTCTTAGCTGATTAGGTGCTCCCACTGCTCTCGGAACATCTTCATGCTGATATGGTTCCATTTGCAATTCATTTGGATCTCGGATCCGAGGGTCAGGATCATCCTCCTCCAATGTATTTTAGTCTGGATAGTGAGAATTCTCCGGAATGAGTTCCTCCCACTGATCTGTGCTAGTGTCTGTGTTCCAGGAAGCAGTGTCGTCCTTTTGTACCTTTCCGGATTCATTGAATATGACATGCCGACTGGAAAACACAGTCCGTTTTTCAGTGTCTAGGAGTTTGTAGGCTTGCTTTCCATGTGTGTAGCCAATCATTATGGCTTTGCGCCCCTTGGAGTAAAACTTCCCTTGCCTTTTGTCTTTCGGAATCAAGGCATATGCTTGGCATCCGAAAGGGCGAAATAAAGTTGGATCAACTCTCCTTTTAAACAGTATTTCATATGGGGTCTTTCCATGGAGTCCTGATGCTGGGCTGCGTGCTGTGATATATGCAGCTGTTTGCATGGCATCTACCCAAAATGACTTTGGGAGCTTGGAATCATGGAGCATAGTGGTTGCTAATGTAGCCAATGTCTGATTCATGCGTTCTGCAATGCCATTTTGTTCTGGAGTATCTGCAGCTGTAGTTTCTTGGATGACACCATCTCCTCAGAGTTGATTTTTGAATGCATTGCCAGTATATTCTCCTCCCCCATCGCTTCGGAGGAATTCTGTGTATAGTGGAGTGAAGTTTTCTTCTCCCAAATGAGTCCGGAAGAATGTTTGGACATCTTCTTTCCATTGCTTGTATCGTTCCAGTGCTTCACTTTTATGTTTAAGGAAATATATCCATGGAAATTTGGAGAAATCATCTACAATGATAATCCCAGTACCGAAAACCCTCCCTGGAAGTTGGTTTGATTGGTCCTCCAACATCTGTGTGCACAATTTGTATGGGGTGCTTGGCTCAGTTTCCTCCAGTGGACTTGAAAGGTAATTTCTTCATCTTTCCTAAAGTACAAGGTTCACAAAACTCCGGGGTTCCGGTAAGAATGTCTATGTCCTGGAGCTGTCCTTTTATAACCATTCGTTGCAAGCGGTCCATTCCAATGTGTCCTATTCTCCTGTGCAATAAATTTACATCTACTGCTGCAAAAGCTGACTCCGGGTTGATTTTGGGTTTTGCTTGGATGTGATAAAGTCCTCGCTTGTGTAAGGCAGTGAGGATAAGTTCCTCCTTTTTCCGAACTTCACAAGCATTTGACCCTGCTGGAAAAAGTGTTGATAACCCCGTTTTGGGCAATTTGTGGACAGAAACAAGTGCTAACGTGAAGTTTGGCACAAGTAAGACATTTGACAGTGCAATATTGTAGTCCTTATTGCCAACAGTTGCTTGTAGGATTACTGTTCCAATGCCAATGGCATTTACAGAGGATTCATCCCCAAAACTGATTGTCCTCGGAGGATGCAGAACATGGTATGTTCCTGGCTCAAACCAGGAGCGGTGAGGGACCATATGGGATGTTTCTCCAGAGTCAATAATAATTGTTGTTTTGGTCTTATCGGGTTCCGACACAAGGTAAGCTTGAATGCGTTTAGCAAGGGGCTTGGAAATATGTACATGTTCCAATGCAATATGACTTTGTTCCTCCTCGGAGTCAGATCCAGATGATTGCTCCGCTGTATTTGCCTTTTCCTTCTCTTTTCCTTTATCCTTGTGTCTTTCCTTTTCCTTCTTCCTTTGACCTTTTTCAGCTGACTGAAGTGTTCGACACTCCGAGGTGTTGTGTGATTTGGCTTTGTGGAAGTTACACCATTTCTCCTCGGATTTGAGTGCTGATTCAGAACCTCCAGGGGCCTTCCCTGACTGTCGTGCAACTTCTGCAGTGATCCGGATCTCAACTGCATCAAAGGTAAGTTTATTTTTTTCAATCGTGTTGATTACTGATGACTGAAATATTTGCCATTCAGGAGTGCATGGGAGAGATTGGAGAAGAGCAAAAGCCATGAGTTTGGTATCAACTCCTAGTTTCATTCCGGAGAGGTGTGAATCAATTGTCTGGATTTTTGCAATGTGGTCCTGGATAGGTGATGTCCCATCCCAGGACAATTTGGTGAGTTGCTGGAATGAATAGAAGGCCGAGGCAATGTTGGACGTTTGATGGAGTGAGACAAGTTTATCAAATAACTCCTTGGAGCTGGTGAGGTCTCCAGTCCTCATTAGGAGGGCATCAGAGATGTGGTCCTGGATGATTCCATGTGCCTTCTCATCCTTAAGTATCCAGGTGATCTCTGGATCCTCTGAGGAGGTAGGTTTTCCTGGTGAGGGCTTAAGCTCCTCTCCAGTAACTGTGAGGCAACGATAAACTATAACAAAGAACAAAACCTGTCTCCTTCTGCACTTGCAGGGAGTAAAGGGTTCAATGAGCTTGAGGTCGACAGACGCTAGAGAATATAGCGAGTAGAGGACAATGAGAGGTAAGCTTCAAAGGTTCTTGTTGAGGAGTAAAGCGGGTAAATTCAGTAATAGAAAACTAAGGAGCCATACATGAATAGGTAAGGCTTTATATAGTGAACTGTTCGTTCCTCAGACTGAAAGGAGAATATACAAAAAGTGGTCTGAGGAATAAATCGACCAATAAGAAAAAGGGAGAGTAACTATCATACGACTTTTGACTTGATTAATCAGCAGGTGAGAGACTTGTACTAATAATAGAGGATTTGTCACGCGTGTCCAGGAACCGTATCCTCATAATGAGGTACGATCCTGAATAAGGCGTTATTAGTATAACCAGGCTTTACTGGGGCTTGGAGCTGGTTGGCGAGATGCCTACTACCAGTCCCTACCCAGTGTGCTGGCTGGCTGGGAGCGATACCCAGTCTCTGATCTGTGATATAAAATGGTAGCGATGGTTAAAAAAGCCTGTGAGGGCTATGAGAAGTAAAACTGCAAAGGATACCTCTAGCCCTAGAGCCAGAGGTGTAACGGGTAAAGCGTTCAAGAACCAAGACATAGCGAAGATAAGAAAATAATGAAATGGTCCTTACAGTAACAACCCGGAGAACTTTTTCCCGATGTAGCTTTGAAATGATCCGGAGTTTCCATATCTGAAAATTGTTGGGTCCAGTGAGAACTGGACATGCGGATGTATCGCGTGCTGTGGTCATGGTTCCAAGGTTGCCGTTTCAAATAAGAATTATTTCCTGCGTAGCTTTTGCGCACCAGGGCTCATAACCTAATAAAACTAAGTGAAACTCAGCCGCTGCCCGAGAGGCTATAGAAACAACTTTACTATTTACCTAAGCGAAACTCAGCCGCTGCCCGAGAGGCTATAGAAACGACTGAGGTATTCCTATACTAAACCCCCTACTACTTATAGTCGGAGGTGCTACTCGCTACAGTATAATGACTCCTAGGAGTACAATTGTGCTCCTAGGAGAACAATGGTTACTCCATGGAGTGGTGGCTATGCTCCATGGAGAACAATGGCTGCTTCGGCAGAGACCGGGTTTATCTGGTTTTGTCACACTGGACTTTCAGCCAATTCCCAAGCTTCACAAATAAATCTGAGCTAAAGATACAGGGTAAGCCTCTCATTTTCCACTGAAACATTACTAGTTGATTGAAGGAGAAATAGTTGTCATCTTTTGTATGGCCACATAATCTGAATAAAATTGCACCTCACAAGGTGATGGATATTGAAATACACAAAGAGCGAAGTGTGCATAGCTATTCCGACTTACAAGTCATGGATTTCGACTACATATTCAAGTCGCCACCTATGCCACTCTGGGCCAATTCAAATGTGATCTATAATTTCATTGATTGTCACAAAAAAAAAGGTCAATATTACGACTTAAAGGATTACCTTTACGTGTTCCTTTCTGAGCAGCTCCAGAAACCCCACAAGATCCCAGATGTATCCTACCTTTTGAAACAATGGATAGAAGATGGCCAATTTCTTGAGGCATTTGCCAGCGAGCTAGATTCTCATGTTATTAATACTGCGACATGGCATGCTCATGCTCACCCTCAGTCAAAGATGCCACAGCCAACTTACTCACCATCCCACACCATGCAAGAATGGATCCTTGCCCAAGATACCAGGCTTTCTGACAGCCTGTTGAAGGAGACTGTGGTGTCTATTGTGGAAGAACTTGTCAATTTTTTGGGTACCAAAGGCCCTGGACCTGGTGGATATATTATGCGTGGTTGGTGTCAGGAGTATTCCCCATAATTTTACATAGAATACAGGAAAAGGCAGGAGGACAAAATAGCGTCATTCTTTAACAAGGTGAGTGATTTATCTGCAGAGTGATTCTTACACTTCAGTCGACCTCTTTCCATAGCCTCTTAGGTTGATCAGTTTCTGTTATTTGATGTGCCTAAGAGGCCTTTATCCTGGGATTATCCCATAGGCAGGTAATCCATGCAGGGCTCCCTTGAGCTAATGTTATCCAGGAGCAATTTGAGAACCCTGGGAGTCCCAGTTGGTGCCAGGGGTCCTAGCACTAATTAATTCCAAAAATCCTATACCCTATATCAATATAAAGCAGGACTATCCTGGAATAACCCAAAATCAAAGTGTTTCACTTTAAGGTGTGTATTGACTGATCTAATTATGTTATAGAATATCCTGTGGGAGTACTTTTAAATGTTATCCATATAGAAATAGTAGTTTTACCTGGTATTTTGAATAACATGTAGGTACTCCCAAAGGATATCCATGGTACAATAAAGAAATCCTAATGTAGTATAAGTAGTACCCAGAGTAGTCTCATTGGATACTATGGGCAGCTTGCAGGTACTTCTAATGAATATCTGGGTATAATAGGGGTATTATGGATAATTGTTAGGATACTAACAGTAAATATAGTAGTCTCATTTGGTGTTCTAGACATCTCAGTGGTAATTCCCAAGGACATACAAGTATAAGGAGGATGTTCTAGATGTCTTGGCTAGTTATGGAGACCCCCAAAGGACTTCCATATAAAATAGGAACATTCTACTGGGGCATCTGAGACAGCTAGTGGGACATAAGTAGTAATGCCATTGGATGTTGTGGATACTGTACAGGTACTCCAAAAGATATCCATGTATAATAGAGACATTCTGGATGACCATCATGATACTAACAGTACAAATATTAGCCTCATTCAATATTCTGTGTTGCCCATTGGGATATAATTAGTACTTTCAGTAGTTACATTTGATACTTTGGACATCATGTGGTACTCCCAAAGGATATCCAGGTACAATAAAAACATTTTAGGTGACCATTGGGACACCAACAGTATAAATAACAGTCTCATTAGATGTTTTGAACAATGTGTGGGTGTCCTCATAGGACATCCAGGGTATAATAAAAACATCCTACTAGAGTATCTGTAGTACCCAGTGAGACACAAGTAATACTCAAAGTAGTCACATTAGATATTCTGACTTTATTTTGTACTCCCAAAGGATATCCAGGTATAGTACAGATATTTTGGATGAAAATTGGGACTCCTGCAGTACAAATAGTAGTCTCATTGGATATTTTGGACATCTTGTGGGTAATGGTAAAGAATATCCAGATATAACAAAGACATTAGAAATGCCCACAAGGACACCAGTAGTTTTATTGGATATTCTATATAATTGTGAGTACTCCTAAAGGGTATCCATGTATAATAAGGAGATCCCAGATACTCCAATAGGATATAAGTAATACCCATGGTAGTCTAATTGGATGTTATGGACACTATACAAGTACCCCAAAGGACATCTGGGGTATAATAGGGACCTGGATGACCATTTGGAAACCACCAGCACAAATATTAGCTTCTTTGGATCTCCCAGTTAGTATTTGGGTATAAATAAGAATGTTTTGGAGGACCATTAGGATATCAGCAGTAGTTTCATTGGATCTCTTGGACAATATCTGAGTGCTGTTAAAGGACATCTATGGCAACGTAGGGACATTCTACTGGAGGACCTGGGATACTTGGTAGAATATAAGATGTACCCAAGGTAGTCACATTGGATGTTGTGGACGCCATACAAGTACTCCAAAAGATATCTTACATAACTAGTGGGAATACCAACAGTATATATATCAATCTCATTGAATCTTCTTGATACCACATGGATACAATAAAAACATCCTACTAGACCTTCTGGGATACCCAGTGGGACTTGAGTAGTACCCAAAAGTAGTCAAAGTAGTCCCATTGGATGCTTTGGACACCACTTGATACTCACAGAACATATCTATTTAGTAGGAATATTTTAGATAGCCATTGAAGTAGTACAAATATTAGTTTTGAGTACATCCTAAAATAGTCCTACTTTGTATTTGTTACGATAACACAATTTTCAGACCTTTCCTTTAATTTTCATTCTCCGCTTTAACCTTTTACTATAGTTCACACTCCGTGCCATGCAGCACCTTCCTTTTTCGTTCTAACTCCACCTTCTCACACAGCACTGCCTTTATTCTTCTTTTAGACACAAACTCTCTCATGCAGTGGAGCTGGTCACACGGGCTGCGCCCTCTGACATCATCAGCCACTGCTTTTATCAACTGTACAGTACATAGGTACAAACACTCTGTATTAGTATAAATACCCCAATAGATCAAGGAGACTCCTCAGCGAGTCCTCCTGTTGTTAACCAACAAACTCTCTGCAGCCTAAGGGGTAACCACTCTCCATTCACTACCCTTATAGTGTGTTCTTGTGTGCGCCAGAGTAACTAACTCTTGGTTGTTACAGTATTAGTATAGGATGGACATTTTTCAGATTCTTAATTAATGCTAGGACCCCTGCCACCAATTGAAACTCCCAGGATTCTCAAATTGTTCCTGGATGACCTTAGCTCAAGGGAGTCCTGTATGGATTACCTGCTTATGGGCTAATCCCAGGATAAAGGCCTTTTAGGCACATCAAATAACAGAAACTGATCAACCTAAGAGGCTATGGAAAGAGGTTGACTGAAGTGATTACTACTTATGTCCCACTAGCTGTCTCAGATGCCCCAGTAGAATGTTCCTATTTTATATGGAAGTCCTTTGGGGGTCTCCATAACTAGCCAAGACATCTAGAACATCCTCCTTATACTTGTATGTCCTTGGGAATTACCACTGAGATGTCTAGAACACCAAATGAGACTACTATATTTACTGTTAGTATCCTAACAATTATCCATAATACCCCTATTATACCCAGATATTCATTAGAAGTACCTGCAAGCTGCCCATAGTATCCAATGAGACTACTCTGGGTACTACTTATACTACATTAGGATTTCTTTATTGTACCATGGATATCCTTTGGGAGTACCTACATGTTATTCAAAATACCAGGTAAAACTACTATTTCTATATGGATAACATTTAAAAGTACTCCCACAGGATATTCTATAACATAATTAGATCAGTCAATACACACCTTAAAGTGAAACACTTTGATTTTGGGTTATTCCAGGATAGTCCTGCTTTATATTGATATAGGGTATAGGATTTTTGGAATTAATTAGTGCTAGGACCCCTGGCACCAACTGGGACTCCCAGGGTTCTCAAATTGCTCCTGGATAACATTAGCTCAAGGGAGCCCTGCATGGATTACCTGCCTATGGGATAATCCCAGGATAAAGGCCTCTTAGGCACATCAAATAACAGAAACTGATCAACCTAAGAGGCTATGGAAAGAGGTCGACTGAAGTGTGTTGAAACCTAAAGGGTAACCACTCCCTCATCATTCTCTCTATAGTTGGTTCTAGTTGTGTGCCAAAGTAACAAACTCTTGGTTGTTATAGCCACATCCACAGTGCAATTGAACCATCCAAACTGATGGATTATTGCTGACTTTGAGAGGCCAGGTACTCATTTTCTTGAATGGGACATGGGTAGATGCAGCAGTACAGCAGGGTAGGGTGCTTAATGTTGGTGGTGGGTGGCTGCAAAAAAACAGCAGTAGAACGGCAGTGTGGAGTTGTGGACAATGGTGGTGGTAGTGAGCAATGAGCATTTTATTATATTAGTCATTCTATCGGAGACAGGAGGTTGCCAACGATGCCACTGGTGCGGTACTTACTTTTCTCAAGTCCCAGCCTACCAATTTGGGGCAGGGTTTAATGCTAGTGTCAGAAAACGTCAGAACTGAGCCTTGCATGACTGGGAGAAATGTGTGGTCTCCCAGCCTTGTAAGGCTTGGTAACCAGGCAGGTGTTGGTTGTGGATGATGCCTACCTTACTTAATCTACAATCCTGAAATGTGTGTAACATGGTGTGACATAGTGTGAGAAATATTGTTTGCGCTGAGAGTCGTTCAAAACGAGCGCGTTTGCAAATGGCTCTCATTTTGAAACAGAGGCTGCCGAACAGGCCCATGAGTCTCTTCTGAATTACTTCAAGAACATCAGCAATCAATAGCGTGGTCAAGTGGCAAAGTACCTTCCGGCATTGAGTGCTAAATTGAGCGGTCACGTGCATTGATTGTTATTTGGTTATTTCCCAGTATGGTAGTGCGAACCTACTAGCACTTTCGACTCTCGTCTCGACCAAGCGGTGAGTAAGTTGTGGATTACACTGTAACAATTCAGATGTTAACGTTGGATAGTCTTCGAAACCAAGGTACGTCATCCCTGGTGTCATTTGAATGTAACCGCAGTGTATATAAGGGCGAACCTCTTTGCATCCTCCCCTCCAAATCGTCAGTAACTGTCTCAGCGGATATATCATCGACTCTCCTCATCGCGTGTACCTTCACTCGCGTCTTATTCAAATAACCTAAATGTCTATCACTCGCGTATTTTATGATCCCTTCAGCGAGTTTGACCGCCTCTTCGACGATGCCTTCAACTCCCGTTTCGCCCGTCCCAATCCTAATCAAATCATCAACAGAGATCAGACTATTCAAGATAAATTGAACTTCAGACCAAAGTACGCAGATTCCTTTGTTAGACTCGTATGACACTATACTAACATAACTTACAGAATGGACCTCCACGAGAGTGCAGAGCACAACGCTATCACCGCGACGTTCGAGCTGCCCGGCTTAACCAAAGAGAATGTCAATATCGACCTACACAATGGTCGACTCACTGTTTCTGGAAAGGTCGAAACTCAAGTAGCTCGTGAGGAGAATGATTTTGCCGTCCGCGAAAGGTCCTTTGGAAATTTTTCTAGGACACTGCGGGTCTCTGAGGGTGTAAAGGTACGTAATTCTGAAAGCCCTATTCGCATTTTCGCGGGTAATGACCACAGTACTTCTTGCAGCCTGAAGAGATCAAAGCCAGCATGGAAAACGGTGTCTTGACTGTGACATTCCCGAAAGGTAGCGCGGACCAGGCTCCTAAACGTATAACTGTTTCTTGAAGCAATCGGGGTCATTGGTCTGTTGTGGTGATGGAGAAAGAAAGTAGAGTTCAAGTAGAGTTTGGATATGCCATTTTGATAACTTTAGTTGTAAAAGTAGTGTCATGCATCACATGTATCGCATATAGGAGATATATGAATGTACTCACCAGTTTCATTTTGTTAGTTTCACAAAATACATTTAGACTGTACTCTCACCAATATATTTCGAAAGGGCAGGAGAACGATAACTTGACAACATCATAGATTACCATTTGAGGCCTGCGTGTTACTGACACCTTGTTATATAACAGATGACTTCAAGAAACTAGAATTATATCGCAAAAGTTAATTGGGTTTTGAACACGTCAAAAGTTGAAAATCTTGTTACATTCTAACGCTTATCAGAGATAATAGAGAGACAAGACGATAGCGCAATGCAGAGAATGAAGCGGCTCAGCTTGGCGTATCTCTGCTCTCAAATATTAGATACCTCCCAGCAGCCTAGGAAAATGTCACTACGATGCCAGAACCAACGTCATTAATGATGGATAGCACATACACTTCGTGCGAGATGTTCAAGTTCACTCCAACTCCTGAGGAATTGATTGTTTATTCGCGTCCTGGAAAAACCTCTGGAACTAAGTCAGCTTTACATACCGATCAGACGGACGGCGACTAACCCTTGTACTCTCTTGAAAATGATTCGTTGTTAGGCGGAGGAAAATGCCAGCGAAAAGAAACTTAAGAGATACTCGAGATCAGATTTGGCGGGAACGTAGAGTTGGGACATTGGAAATTCAAGGACCCGGATAGCAGATACAGAGTAGCCGCTCTCTTGTCATTGCAGAGTGAACTATGCCTACGCGTTAACTAAAACTAGTTTGGGAAATTTGTCAATATTTCCCAGGACTTGACTGAGGTTAACTATCGCAGATAAAGTAGAAGAAAGGCCGTCCGCCACCATCAGAGAAAGTTTTCTCGGGTCAAACTCACCAATGGCAGATATCTCGAACGATGTTCAGTCCGGGGTTACTATTGACAGTACTTCTTCCGTGGTTTCGAAATGTGTTATTCGGTAACCGACAAGAAAAATGGAAGTGTAAAAGTTGCCTGACAGGAGGAAAGTGAACAGGGCCCTTTTAGCATCAGCATCGGTACAATGCAGTCGGGGCAGAAAACGAGACGTGATCCGGAACAGCCCTCCAAAGAGGTAAGTAAGATTCGGAGTCCGAAGCTTGTAGCAATGCCTTCGAAGACTTGACGAGCAGGTAAGTCGCTATGCAAAAAAGTTCCAATCCCGAGACATATCCTTCTGTGGCGTCATATTTCGTTGCTGGAATGTATTCAAGCCAAATATAACAGGGTCGCCGCCTCATGACTGGGAAGCTTCAAATGGTACCAGTCATGGTAAACATGGACTGTGTACATGTACTCTCCCTTCCGCACCCCCGCGATTGGCTAAGCTTCCTCCGTTGTTCGGATTCGAAAGTATCGAGCAGTTTGAAAACTAAAAGGCATTGGTCCCACTGGGCGGCTGACCGGAATATGTTTGCACCGACACCGCGTCCGAGCTCGATTACCGGCCAGCCTGAGTAACGCCCCGAAGAGAGCACCTTTCCCCCATAAATCGAGCTGAGATAACGCTGAGCTTTGGCAATTTCAAATTTACATGCCGATAACGACTACAGCCTAAGTATCGTCAGCTATCATAATTGTCGTTGGGGTAAGTAAATGGAGCAACTAAAACAACTTACTCCACGGACTGCATTGAATTCTGCCAGCATACCTTTTTTGGCGATCCAGGTAATGATGCGATCACCACGCAATGCGTCGATACAGTGTCGTATCAGCCACGATAGGTACACTGTTGAGCTCGTCGACGGGAAAAAGGTGCCATCGAATATAGAAAGGCTCTTCCACACGATTGGACCGTCGGTAGGTCGTCGGAACCTTTCTCTTCGAAGTGCATTCTTCTAGTTCCACCATCACCTCCGCGACTCTGAATAAGCAGTCATGATATTCAACAAATTCTTTTCAAAGCTTCTCCATACTTATACTTACAAGTATGTAATCACAGACAAGAACCTTTGCGAGGTAAGCCTGAGAAGAACATTAATAATGGCGTCCGACGAGTATTTCCGTTGAATCAACGGAAATACTCAGTGGGTCGCAGTACAGAAGGAATTGACGCGCTTCGAAAGTTAATTCCTTGATCCTCATTGCCAAGTTCCTTTCATTCCTAGTGAGATAGGCAACTCAGTCGATCGGAACGTGGCTGCGATTGTTGACATCGCAAGGTGTGCCTGTAGGACTCGGGGTGGGACTTGGACAATCCAAATCCTTCAAGTGATGACATGATAAGCTAAGACCCTGGGAAGCTAACCACATGTACGAAGATTGACGAGAAATCCCCCACACGAGGCTGTGGGCGATGGGAAAATCAGACAGCCAAGCAACTTGGTTCTGCCCACTGCTGGGTAAATACTCTAAGAGACTCGGGACCGGCCCCATCAGCGCCTCTAGAAGGAAGAAGGAAGAAGGCCCTTGTATTTTTTCAACAGAAACCGGCCGGCGCATGAAAGAGGACGATGGAATCGGATATCTGCTGCTGACAAGTTTGTAGGTCCATGACAGTCGAATCAGCAAATCTCAGAAGTGGGTTAGTTACAGTAAGCACTGTATTAATAGTAGCGCAAAAGAGAACACTCGTGCGAAGAGGCACGCAGAGTCGAGCTCTTCGATAGAGCAGCACGAAGTCGGGCGGGTAGACTAATCTGCTATTAGTTTGTTATTGACGCGATTATATGCTACAAAGATGACAAGATACTGGAGCTGACCTTTCAGAATTGAAGGAAGCAAGCTAGTCTACACGAGTAAAGCCAGCTGATCTTTAATTATACCAATAGAAGCCCAACCCCTACGCTGGTGTTAATAACCTGCAAGAAGCAGTAACTTGAAGCACACCGCGGTACCGCGTAAATAACACTATCTTTCGACATGACATGAATCTCGAGACTAACCACAAAAAAGCAAGTCGAAGCAAATCGGGGGTTCCTATCGCAAATTTGCATTTGAGCTGGCTTGAAAATCGTGATACGTACGTTATAGGCTATGGCCGGCTTCTGCAACGCCCGGGTGTGATGCGAGCCTTCCAAACTTGTACGATGAACCCCGCATGTGTTGATAGATTCCGTTCGCGTAAAGCACCGAAAGCGACAAGCGTTGTCTCTAACAAGATCATGTTGGCAGATGGCGCATCAAGATTCTAATTAGAAAATGCACGAGAAACGCAGAGCAAGACATGACTGCAAGTTTGCAAGTGTGTTTACAGGGTATGCTTGGTCTGAGGAGAACCGGGTCTGTGAGACTGATAGGCTGTTGCAGTTCTGACACTGAGACGATCAAGTAGGCTGGTTACCCAAACACGAGCGATCAAGTGAAGGGAACTCTTGCACGTGGCCAATCCATATGCAAGCGGTTCCTTGGCCAAAATCCACCAAAGTCCAGCCGTCTTTTGAGGGTACAGTCCATTAATCAGACCACGCTGACTGTTTGTCTTAAGGTACATCGAGCGCAGTAACATACATCTCGGCTCATATAACCCACATTCCATAAAGGCGTGAAAATCGTACCTTCAGGTGCCCCATTCCTATACAAAAGCCTTGTTGCAACAGCCAAAAGCCCATCCGGAAGCAAAACACCCACAGAAGCTCTGCCGACGGGTATTCTCGATTCTGGTCAGTCTATTTTTCCACCTTCATTTCCCGAGGCACAGACCAATAACGTCGCCGTCGCCTTTTTAATGAAAAAGCAAAAGAATACGAATACATGACCAAATAGTATCAGCATCCTTTGGCCCTTGACTTTATATGGTACGCGGAGAAAATCTGCTATTTATCCCAACCCTTCAAGCTGTCTCACTTCAGTAAGGTCCTCCCTTCCACATCTCCAGCCATTCATCCTGCCGCTATCAGACCGTATCGAAACATGAGCGGGAAGGTATGTCCACCTAGTCTTCCAATATGATCATTGCCTCACTTGCAGCTCAGTCGCCGTCAGTACCAACACAAGCCAGCCTCTCGATAGACTTTCTCGTAGTAGGCGGTGGAATTGGAGGTCTTGCATGTGCAATCGCACTAAGACGAGTCGGACATCGTGTCCTTGTTCTCGAAAAAGCTGCTTCAGCAGGATCACAAGTACGTTCCTCTGACCACACGTCCATATCACAGTGAGCCGAACTTGCACACGTAGATATCTGGCGGAATACGACTCCCACCAAACGTCTCCAAAATATTATTCCATTGGGGTCTCGAAGCTGAACTCAGAAAGATATCGCTGACATCGGAAGCAATCCAATTAAACATATGTAAGCCTTCTTCACTATAGCTCTCTGTAGTTATATTAATAGTTCTGCCAGACGAATCAGGCGAAATACTCGGCACACACTTCTGGGAAGAGGAAGTCTTGAAGGAAACAGGCGGTGAATATCTCTTCCTGCACGTACGTTCCAATCCAGCATCTGCAAATTCATCGAGCTCATCGTTTTCATCAGCATGCCGATCTACAGCGACTGCTTCATAATACAGCGCTTTCATTCGGTGCTAAGATCCGTAACAATGCCACAGTTGCGTTGGTTGATGGCGACGATTGTCATGTAACTCTATCAACAGGCGAAATACTACGAGCAGATGCTATCATCGGCGCTGATGGCCGATCAAGCATTATACAAAGAGAGATCGTTGGACACGACGTTTACAATGACACGCCACATCGTTTTGTGATGTACAAGTGCGTGTGATTACCCCGTGTCAGTCTCGCTAGTTTCTGACTATTCATTCTAGTACTGTAGTTCCAGGGCATGTCATGCGCGCAAATCCGGATCTGATTCCATTATATGAAGAGAAACATGTATGCCATGGTTTACTGGGCTCGTATCGTGACATCTGACTTGCGTCTCCTTTAGACAACCCTGTTTTGTTGGTTCGGTGATGGTCGTGCAGCAATGGGCTTCCGGATAGTGAGTTCTCGGCTTCATCATCGCATGATTTTGGCTAATTAAACAGAAGGGTGGAACGGATGACTATGCATTACATTTCTGGGTGCCACCAGGCACGCAGGAGGGAGGCGAAGATGTAGATAGTTGGGGTTCAAAAGTTTCTGTTGAGGAGATGTTGAAACAAATACAACCCTGCGAACCGCGGTCAGTTTATAGTTGAGCCTTAACTTCTGTCCATGCTTATCTTTCATATACCCAGCCTCAAAAAAATGGTCCTAAAGGCTGCTCCACCAGCACTGATCAAGGTTAAAGCATTACCAGCACTGGAGGACTGGGTACACGATGAGGGGCGTCTAGCATTAATCGGCGAAGCAGCACATCCCATCCCAGTTCGTCTTCTCCTTTTTCTTTTCTTCCCAGCGGCTTAGACTAATCACTTCACTCTCAGGTGGGTGCAATCCAAGCTGCCGCGATGGCTGTGGAAGACGGCGCTGTCCTCGCCAAGCTTTTCTCTCACCTCGGGAGCCAAGACCAAATCTCTTCCTTCCTTTACGCCTACCAAGACTTGCGCGAAGTGCGCTGCGCCTCCGTCGTTACGTCTGAGCAGGAAAATCTCGCTTTCCAAACGCTACCCAAGGGAGAGATGCAGGAGGCGAGAGACAATGGTATGCGTGCGAAATATGCGGCAGGGCAGAGTGTGTTGGGTGGTGGGGAGGCAGCAGACCAGTGGGAGTCACTGAAGGATCTATTTGGATACGATGCGGAGGACCAGGCTGATGATTGGTGGGTGAAGTGGGGGATTTTGAGGGAGAGGGCGAAGCAGAGTTCGATAGACCAGGGCTTGCATTCGGGGATGAATAACCTTGCACTGTGAGATTGGGAGCGCATTGTCCATTTTGTTTGGAGTGTTTTTTTATACGGTATACCCTGCATCTAGTACTCATGATATTCCACTATCTTTGATTTCTTTATTTTTCTTTCTTTCATTCATTCAATCATCTCTTTTCGTTTTGATCTTGTTTCTTTAGTTGCATTTGAGGTACATGCACGAGAGAGGAGTACGGACAAAGTTTCTCGTGTTATCGTTACTATTGGGTGGATCGTTCGGGGTTGCATCTCTTTTCTTCTACATTACTACATACGAGCTCACCTTGGCTTGCGATAAACAGACTGACGCAATACACACTTACTTTCTTTTTCTTATCAGTTCTGTACTGTATACCATGGGTGTTGATATTGTTATTGTTTGCCATCAACAACACTATCGTGATAGAGCTTTAGCGATGAAATTTCTTATCAGCGAGGAGTTCAGGTTCGAATGGACGTGAGCCCCATTGACAGCGCGGTACGCGACGAGTGTGCCGTACATGGAACGGAGACAACTTACGGAAGGCATGCAACAACGATGTCATCGCCATATATTGACATATAACAGGGACAACCGCGTCTGATAGGTTCTCGTAAGAAGATTGGTGGATGTTGCCGCCGAGAACGTTCCGTGTTCTGATCCTTTGGGAGCATTGGACTTGTGCACTCGTGATGGAAACATATATAATACATTTGACGCCCCAGGCGCCGCAGAAATCGGACAACTCATGAGCCGGTGTCCATGTCCGGGATGGAGTAAGAGAAACGGTCAAAGATTTTATTTTTTCTCTCTCGGAAATCCAAACCTATTATGTACGACCATTCGTTGCCACCATTCAAGATAACAGTATCAAAGAAAAATACCCATTGTACAGAAAGCAAAAAGGCACCGTTCAGTGATGTGTCCTTAGCACCTGCGATAGATACCCCTCCGCATCTCTTCTTCCCTGCAGTCGCAACATAAAAAAAATTGAGCACACCATCCGCGTATGCTACAGAACCACTCACCGGTATTCAAACATCAGCTGGACTCCCACGAAGATGCAACAACATGCTCCCACGAGGAAACGAAGACCTGAAGCGCATAATTTAGACATAGAAGAACAAAGGTGAGTTAATTGCATCCTGCGCCCTTCAACTATGACGGGATAATCACCTTCCAAGCTTCCGAAGATCTTTTTTACCATATACAACATGCCGTCCGTCCCGATGACAAACCCAACGAGATTGGCGGAAACCATCATAAGAATGTTTAGAACTCCACCTGCGGCGCAGACATGTCGGTACCACCAATTTTGGCCATACTAAAAGATTGGCGGAAATGAAAATCAGGGTAAGGCGAAAAGGATGGAAGCGAACCTTCGACACGGGGAAGAGGAAGCTGGCAAAAAGTTCCGGAAGAATGAACAAGCTAACCAGCCAGCCCCATGCAAGCAGCTTGAAGGACAAGTCATGCCACAGTGCAACGAATGAGAAAATCAAAACTGTGGTAACCGTCGCATTCTTGGTGCCTCCAAGAGGGATATAAATATATCTAGCGATACATGTAAATAAAATGCGGGTCCGAGATTGGTGGGCACGTACCGGATGATCCATAAGTTGTAGCTGCGATGCCAGCTCCTCCAGAAACCGAGAGTAGAGTAGTTATTGACCATGCACCGCACCATATTCTCTGGGGGGTCGATGCCGCTGGCGAGAGACCACAGGCGGAAGAATCGCCATGGCAAGAGCAGCTTATCAACGCAAGGGATGATGTCAATCTTAAGCTCAAGCAACGAACAACAATGCATACCTTCAGCCACATAATCATTAGATTCCAGAAGCCGATCATGCTCAACTCGAATGGTGTATCGCCAGGCCAAGCTTTAGCATCTTTGATTGCGACGACATGCATAAAGTGAAGGATGAACTCCATGGTGAGGAGGCTGATGACGAATCGAACGAGATAGCGTATGATCGTTCGACCTGGTATGTCAATGGGGCGCCGAAGCTACGAATGGTTTTTTTTGAGAAATCAAAAAGGCTAGTTGATCGACACCCCCCACAAACCTGCCACATAAAGTTATTGAACGTCATGATAGGTCCTGCTATATATAATGGCGAATAGAGAACATAGGCAACATAGTTTTGATAAGAGTAAACGTCGATGGGGTGTGCAATGTTGCTCCGTTGTTTTTCTGTTAGATATGCTCCAGACTTGTTTACAGCATCAATCGCAATAAGACGAAATTATACAAAATATAGCTCGAAACTCACATCCTCCTCGCTCACTCTATTACAAGCCCAATAGTAATCCATGTTGAATGACACGAGTCTTAGCATAGTAATGTTGAAGCTGACATGCCATCTAGGATATACTCCTTGTATGAAATCCTGTACCACGTCGATGTAAATCAAGGTGTTGACCGCAAACGCTCAATGAACCTACCAGTATCTCGAGTGATGGATGCAGACTACTAAATCTATATCCTGAGTTCCTTTCATTTGTGAATAGAACCGCGCCATTGAACACCCATGTTAAAAGCGGGCCTAACTTGGATCCTTTACAGCTTGAACCAATGGCATAGTTCATTGTAAGGATGATGAATATTTTGATAATGCTGGCGCCATGTAGGACGCTCAACATGAGAATGGAAAAGGTTACGAAAAACGGTATAAGATAAAGGCGGTGTGACGGCGGCTCTGGAAGGGAGCGTAGAACAGATTTGGTGTATATGAACTTCAAAATTAGGAAGAGTGCCGCGAGGATAGAGAGTGCTGGTATATTGTTGCGAAAAGAGCGATATTGGCTGTCGCTATTATCCTAAGAAGAAATGTCAGTATTATTACTACAGGGTCCTCGAGCACAAAGCGAGTGAAATCGTTGACTCATTGACTACAGTGTAAGCGTTATCCGAATCACGAAGTATTTGGATTACAGCAAATCGTCTTACAAATAAATAAGTAGTACTCACTAACTCACGGCCGAAAAGCCAGCCAGGGTATAGCCTTGAATGATAAAATGGATAATTTACATGAGATGCTGCGAAAACAGTCAGGATATTATAGAAACTCCAACAGAGCAAATACACATACATGTACTCAAGCTAATAGGCACCCAAATCATCCACGGTAACACAATTATTGCGATTAAATAATAAACCAAGAACTCTGTGGTTCTCCATCTTGCAGGCGGCCTCGATTCCTCTGGGCCTTGGCTACGATGCGAGCTGGGGATATCTACTGTCAGGCTAGCAATTCCCCTTGATTTCCCAGACACATTGTCCAGCTGAAAAGCCCCAAGTTTGTCTTTGCTGCGCAAGTCGGTGGGCATCTGAACTTGTAGTGCGATGTCCTCTGGCATGAGATTAGACAGATAATATTCTGGATTTTTGTGGTCGACTAGAAAGATAGACAAACTTGAAAGTTAAAAGATGGTTACAGAGCTGGCATTGATGAAAATAGAGAAAGATAGCCTGAACGAATCCCCACAAGATACATTCACAGGCAAACCCGCAGCATGCCAGCTGTAAGATATTGCTAGCCGAACATTTAGATAACCGTGGGAATAAAGTGCAGCAGGGCCCATTGTGGCTATCGAGACTTGTAAATCTCAGTCTTTTCCAATACACCTTCACTGCAAAAGTCGTCTGGGACTGGCTTACTGCCAAGAAATCACCGGGTTTATTGTTTGTCTTGTTCAGTCTAAAGCTTTATAAGTCAGTCTCTCTGGAATACACCACCATCCTGGACCAAAAACACTGATAGATAATGCTCGGTCGTGCAGTGGAAGATATATCGACCGGTTCAGATTCCGACTATTCCAAGTGAGCAATCCTGTGGTTGCCCAGTGTGCTCATGCTCACATGATTATTTACTATCCAGCTCGGTAGGACTTGTTCAGATAAACTGTACTTGATCTAAATTAATTGTGTTAAAGTGGATATCTTGGTTCCTTTCTTCAAAGGGCAACGAGTACTTTTGTGAAGTCGATGAAGACTACATTCTCGACAGATTCAATCTCACAGGGCTCAACAGCGACGTCTCGAACTACTCCCAGGCTCTAGAACTCATAACAGACAATTTGGGTACGTGCTTCCCGGGCTGTCTTGTCTTCAGTTTGGTGTATCATGAACTATTCGCATCAAGATGATGAAATTCAGGATGAATTGCGGGGCGCTCTCGATGTCCAAGCTCGTTTGCTATATGGCTTGATTCATGCTAGGTGGATCGTAACAGCCAGAGGACTCGCGAAAATGGTACCAATCATAACACACCTCTCTCTTCACACATATCCTAACTCACCGCATATTCAGCTCGAAAAATTCAAAAGAGTCGATTTCGGTCGCTGCCCACGTGTTCTCTGCCAATCCCAACCCCTTCTCCCCGTCGGACTGACCGACACTCCGTACGAGAAATCTGTAAAGCTATATTGCGGACGGTGCGAGGACATCTACTCACCAAAATCCTCGCGCCACGGATCCATCGACGGCGCCTACTTTGGCACATCCTTTCCTCACCTGCTCTTCCTCGTATACCCCAACCTAATACCTCCAAAATCAGGCTCTCCTGACCTCTCATTTGGCTCGCGCAGCACTGATGCAGAGAGTGGGAAGAGAAATAGGAGAATGCGAGAGGAGCAGGAGGTTACGGAGGGAGTTGGAGAGTTGATTAGTACCGCTTCTGTGGCAATGAAGGCGGACAGGTATCGGCCACGGATTTACGGATTCCAGTTGAATGAAACGGCGAAATTGCAGAGATGGCAGGAGGCCATTAGAGACCGGTAAGTGACTCTTAATACATCATTTTTTCTTCCTATGTATCTTCTCTTACGTTCGCCCTCTTACAGACAAGTGGCACACCTCGAAGAATTGGAGGAACGTGGTTGATGCGTGGAGTATCGTCTGTACTTTGATTGTCTTCGATATACAATGCGATTTTTGACAGGCCTTTTTTTTTGGATTTCTGGATGGATTGAATGTAACTACAATTTCCTGTTATCAGCTGTGAAGATTTGATCCTCTTCAGGGTCAATGGCGTGATTTCCTTATTATACTCATGATTGGTCACAGTGAACTTAGTGGAAGCTGGTTTGTTCCGAAGGCATGTATTGAGCATAAACAGCATAATCTAAAGTGAAAATAAATTGACACAGATGGCATAGGGCACAAGCGCGAAAGATACATCGATGTATTCAATTAAATCGGCATCTCCGCTCGTCAAATTCAACTGTGTCCCTAGCGCGATTAGCAGGTAAGGTCAGCTCTAACATTACAAGCGTCGTAGTGAGGGTGGCAATAGTAATGGAGAAAGCTGGCCAGGACTGTCAGGAGCACGGTTATTGCCAACTTCTGAATTCGAAGGTCCGTTCTGATCAAAGATTAACGGACATCCTTGCCCGTGTTCATAGGGGTCTGCGTGTGATCGAGAAGGGGATTGTATTTGTAGGGGTCGAAGCCATCCCGACGATTGGTAGGAACAGCCAGCCCCATTTGCATTACCGAGATTGATATACGCTTTGTTGATGTAAACACCACCTTGGCGAATCACCGAGGCTGATATAGCCTCGTGCCCATTGCGATGGTGAACTAAGTTGTCATCGATATTCATGTGGGCTGGCCTGGGAGGAAGTACCCTCCGTGCTGGAGTATCAATGCTGGTATAATGGTGTGGGCTGGGATGCGGAACTCTGGGGACTAGAAATGGAAATCTCTTTGTAAAAAGCGTTGAAATACGGGAGCACTATGACCCACTATACGGAGACCGGTATTGATCTTGTTCTGGAGGAGTTAACTGGAGGTTATAAGGCCCCGTGCGGGCTTCGAGAGTCTAAAAGTAAGATAAGGGGAAATTTTGACTAAACAAAGATCGACAAGGATAGCATACCAATTTCTCGTGAAGAGATTCTGCTTGCTCACTGCATATTCTAGCAGCCAGAGTGGTGCCAGATCTTACCATTCCCATGACTATGAATTGTGATATATGTTCGCACTTGCAGCGAAGACTGCAGACAGACAACGATAATCAGTTCTGACGAAAAAAGGTGATACAAAGACGTATACCCACTCGTGATAGACATCACTGTGCTTGAGATTACAACCATCCAGCATAAGATGGCACTTCTCAAGCAGACTTGTGGCCTTCTGAAGATAGAAGGCAACGGTATCTTCTTCAGAATATTTCTGCATTGCAGCTGCTGGGAAAGCGGGCGAGTCGTTTCGATACGAGTAAGGCATGGATAAAAGAAGGGATATTATAAGGTAGCGAGGAGAGAATGGCGAGGTTATATAAAAGTATACAGGATCACATAATGATGAAGGGAGTGGGTGTTGATGATGGTGCAAACTGCTGCATTTCAGCGTGCGGTGTCATCTCTGAGCCTCCTAAGGAGCTGTTCAGCAATACGAACTTGGTAGGATTCCCAGTGCGTAGTAGAAGCCATTCAATAGCGCGTTCAAACGGCAAGCGCTGCGGAGTGACTTGAATGTGCAGCAACACTGGCAGGTGCGGGTAAAATTAACTAGTACGTGTAGTATCTATTCAACGAGAAAAAGTTAGGGTCCAAAGCTGTGTTTAATGTTTACAGAGAGAAATATTTACGTGGTGACTTGCGGCATACCCACAGTTTGCACTGGCAGTTCAGTGGCCATCTTTGCAGCGCAGTCGAGGCTGTAGCGCTAAAGCTATCCGAACTTAAAGACCTGCCAAAATGAGCGTAAGCGCGAGTAGACCGGCCCTGATGCAAATACCCATCACGTGCTCTCCGCCGAAACCGTGACCGCGGTATAGCGACTCGACCATTATTTCTACCACTGAGGATGCGACGGAGCAACAAATCTCACAGAGTACGCGTGTTCTCCCTGTTCATCAACTTTCTATGACTGATAGTATAACAGGTTCCAAATGTCAAGCTTCGACCTGCTCAACGCCAATCAGTTCCTCAGAATGAATCATGGGACCATGGTTCAGACACAGAACCTGCCCCAAACGCGAGCATGCAGGATTTGTGCCCAAGGCCTTTCAAAGGGTTCACACTGTGTGCAACTGGAATAGTCGACAAAGTAATATATTTACTATGTTCGTATCGCCAGTACTCACTCGTGTGACGTGCAGTCAACATTGTTCAAACAGGCCTTTGAGCTCGGTGCTACATCCAACAGCGATTTCACGGACAAAGTCACCCATTTGATTGCTAGTGATCATGGAGGGGCAAAGTATATGGTACGTAAGCCACACCGCCAGTTTGATTTCTCTGTGGCTCTTAAAACGTGTCACGTATATAGTGTGCAATAGAACGGAAGATCCCCATAATGCGGCCAGAGTGGATTCACGATGCCTATGAAGTATGGCTGCGTGGAGATGATGTTGAGCTTCAAGACGTATGTCCCATTCTCATATCATCACTTCCATCGCCTCGTATGATTATCAACAGAACCTAGAGAAGTATAGACTGCCCGTTTTCTCAGGCGTTATTCTCTCGCTCTCCGGGATCGACGACATACCCCGCCGAACTCAGATCAATCAGCTAGTGACGCAACAAGGTGGAATGTACCTCAAAAACCTTGAAAGACCTGTCAAGGTCACACATTTATTGTGTTCCGGAGATGTAGAGACAGAGAAGATGAAGTACGCCGAGAAGTTCAACAAACGGCGAGAAGCTAAGATTCAACTCGTGTGGGAAGAGTGGTTTTGGGATTCGTTGGAGTTCGGAGGTGATTGGCTTTTCTTACCTGCTTAGTACATCGTTGACTCATTTCCTTGCTTCTTATCGGCTGAAGGTAGGGTCGACGAACGCAGGTACCAAGTCAATCGGCCTCGACCAGAACGGAAATCATTTTCATTTCATGAAGGTGCGCAAGTGGTTTTTCTTGTCATTTTTACAATCGCCAATCTTAGCTCGGTCCTTTAGATCCGACAACATTATCATACTCAGCGCCTGGTTCTCGTCCCGAAACCGCCATTCCAGTCGATCCTCCACCTGCGAAGAAACCTGCACGAGAAGTTGGTCCTTCGAACCAGGATGAAGATGAAGAAGAAACTGGACAGATCAAACGTGTCCCCACTGTCACGCTCCAACTATGGGAGAGTCTTCTGAAACCCCGCGGATTCGAGGTCACAGAAGGAAAGCTTATCCGCAGTCCCTCCAAATCTCAAGCTGGCCAAGGCAGGTCATCACCACAGGGCCATCCCACCAAACCTCCAGCTCGCGCCGCCAATCCAGCGCCACTCGCGGCTGGCAGCGTCATCTCCTCATTCAGACGTACAAACTCATTCGCGCCGGTGGCTAAAGAGTCATCTGCACGGCAGCCATTCAGGCGAACGTCAACTCTTTCAAGTACAAACTTTTTACCTGTGAATGGTCCTGCAGACGCGGAAGGTAGCAGTCGAGCAGGTAATCGTATACTACAGCCCCCTGCGCTGCCCTTAGAAGTCCCTCCACAAAGTCAGAATGCCTTGACCAGTGACGAGATGGTACCAGCTACTTTAGACTTGTTCTCAGGACGGAAATTTCGTTTGCTTGGGGAAGCTAGGTCCGCAAGTGTGCGTTCTGCAATCGAGCAGTGTGGGGGGATCTTAGTCTCAGAGGAGGACATGGGTGGCGTGGATTTCATCATTGTTAGGCTCATCAGGTCAGCTCTGTTCCAAGTTCGATGAAATGTACGTACTGACCAAATTAGTGGGAGTAAGCTGTATCAACGTGAAGCCGACGAGCAAGAGCGTTCTAAATACAGGACAGAATGTTGGCTGGAGCACTCTGTTTTTAAAGAGTACATCTGCCCTCCTGAGGAGAACGTGTCATTCACCCCACTTAAAGTGGCAACACCTATTCCATGTAAGCCGGTTATCAAAAATGCCAATCTAAAATACCAAAGTAACATGATTTAAATCCCACAGCCGCAGAACTAGTAAACCTAAGCGTATCTGGTTTAGACGAGGCCCAACTATGTTGGGTGAGAAGATTGCTTCGTGCGCTAGGTCGAAGGCATCTCTTCTATCTCTTTCCCTTGTTATGCTGACAAAATACCTTATTTGCACAGGGATACATTTGATGCCGAATTTCTCCCGCCGTTCTACGCACCTACTCTGTCCATCCGGTACTGGCGCTAAATTCGATAAGGCAAAGGAGTGGAGTATTCCAGTCGTGTCACTAGATTGGCTCGTCCATATGGCAACGAAGGGAGTAGTTCCGGATGTGGGGATGTACATGGTGGGATCTCATTATCTTGAGGTGGAGGATGGTTTGTGGATGGAGGATGATGTGGGGCATGTGGCAAAACAAGATAAAGGAAAGGAAAAGGCAGTTGACGTCCAGATGGAAGATAGCACCAACAGTAAGCACTATACTATGGAATTATTCCAATCATTCTGCTAACACCCTACTACAATTCCCTATCTACAGATTTCCATGCCGAACAAGCTTTATTTACCAAAAAACCCAACCTCCTTGAAGATAAACATGTCGGAAGATCTCTTTCTCTGCTCGATTTCGATCCAGCTGCAGAACATGATATGTTCGGAAAACCAAATGGCTTTCTGGGCTCTCCACCATCAGACGTGCCTCCGTCCTCTCCTCCCGCAGCCCCGCCACTGAGCAGTTCACCCGGTTTAGAATACCTTGATGTACTAAACCCACCTCCACCTCCCCCACGAGGTCATTCACGTCATATGATCAGCCAAGCGCCGACGTTGCCTTCAATTGACATCGACGCTGAAGCGCGTATTCCATCGTCGAAGTCGCCATCGCCGATGAAGCTGCCTCCGAGCTCTGACCCTGCAGCCAATTCCAGCTTTAATGCAGGCGCGCATGCACCATCCCCGATAAAGTTTGAGAACCAGGTGACGAGGGCACTTCAAGAAAGTATAACGACGTTGTTGGGCAAGAGGCAAATATCAGAGGAAGATATGGCTGTACCCGTTGGGAGGGGAAAGCGGGTGAGGCCGCATTCAAGGACGAAGGTGCGGTAGATTTTCTTTCCCATCTGCTCGCTAGACTGTTCTTTGACCAACATACTTATCTCATGGGCCCCTTGCAGCCTCAATCTCGACAGGGTACTCGTGAAACTATTGACATACTTCGTGCACCTGACCTGCTGCACCAAGAACCAGTGTACGACGAGGATGCTTACAACGAGATGAACATCTTGGAGAGGGAAGGGGAGGGTGTGGAAGAAAGTTTGAGGGTGACTTATGAGGATCCCGAACAGCGTCTTGTAAGGCAACGCCTATTGAGCCTATTTGGCGATCAGGCGCAGGCACGAGGAGGGAACAATGGCGACAAAAACAGCCATGGCAATATTAATATTAATACTAATAAAGGTGCTGAGGGTTCAAAGGCGAATGGAATGGGAGTGACGAGGAGGAGTACGCGTGTAGCGGGGTTTTGAGATATTTGACCATATGTAACTTCATTGCTGTATTTTGCCGTATGTTTTCGATGTTTTAGAAGTTACCTTTCGAAGATATGTCGTCGGAGAGCAGTGATCCGGTGCCTAATAGGAACAAACACAAAATTTTGGTCTGGTCGAGGTCTGGCTCAGGCTGAAGCATTTATTGGCAGAATCCAAACATTGTAGATCTATTGCTTATCTTTTTGGAACAAGCTGAAGACATTGTGCCGAAAAACCTAACTGCCCTATTGACATGGATGTACGTGTTCAAATCGTCATCTATAAACAACAGCACGCTCAGACACTTGCTCAGATAGGGATCCAATGCATTGAACAAGTCCATGCAGAGCTTATGGTCGAGCCATAGGAAGGCAAAATTGAATCTTAATTCCATTCCCGTGTTACCTGCTGAGAATACACCAATCGCAACTCCTCCAGCAACAGATGAAATAGCACAAGCCACTGTTCCTTTGGGTGCCTCAGAAGAGCCGTCAAATCCGACTAGTATACCAACTACTTCATCCCCTAACGCTACACCAGCCATCGTAGATACACAGACGACACCCGTTAGTACGAAGAGGAAGCTTCGAAGCTCTCGTACCGGTGAAGACAGTAGCAAGCGCACGAAGCTTACCAGCAGCAGTGTATCGAAGGACCACTCTCCACCAACCACCAGATTGGCAGACCTTGGAGGGGTAGAAGCATGCGTGGAGAAGATGCTGGAACTGGTGGCGATGCCGCTGTGTCATCCTGAGATCTATTTGCATACAGGCGTGCAACCCCCACGAGGTGTGTTGTTGCACGGTCCTCCGGGATGTGGAAAGACGTTACTGGCGAATGCCATAGCAGGGGTATGTGTTCGTTGACGATACTATGGAATCAAGTCTCTAACTAGCCTTGGTAGGAGCTAGGGGTCCCGTTTATCAGCATATCAGCTCCATCGGTTGTTTCAGGGATGTCTGGCGAGTCAGAGAAGACTTTGCGCGATACATTTGACGAGGCAAAGGTTTGGCGCTACATATACTTTCCGATAAACTCAATATTGACTGACTGACAGCGTGCAGCACCATGTTTGTTATTTATTGACGAAATCGATGCTATCACACCGAAGAGAGAAAGCGCACAGAGAGAAATGGAGAGACGTATAGTTGCTCAATTTCTTACCTGCATGGACGGTATGTTTGTGTATACAGTTAGTCATCGATACAGCTCAGATCTGACGCAGTTTTTGTTAGATATATCATGGGAGAAGACGGACAATAAGCCGGTAATCGTCATCGGGGCAACAAATAGGCCGGATTCACTTGATGCCGCACTTCGTCGAGCAGGACGTTTTGATCATGAGATTAGTATGGGCGTACCGGATGAAGAGGGACGTGCAAAGTACGTTTTCTTAACTTTCCTGGCCTCACAATGCAAATTCGATTCACAGAATACTGCGGGTGTTGTCGGCAAAGCTGCGACTGGAAGGAGACTTCAATTTTGCTGTCCTTGCTAAAGCTACACCCGGATATGTAGGAGCTGATTTATCCGCTCTTACTGGAGCCGCTGGTATCATAGCCGTCAAACGAATATTTAAGCAGTTATCGGACGGAACCCTCATTCTTCCCGAGACACCTGAAAAAGGTAATGCGGACGTTTTAATGATTATAGATCCACCACTCGAGGGAATAGAGCAACCGTTAGAATCTCCACCGAATCAAAATCTATCGCCGTTTGCTGGACTTGCCGCCCAGTTTTCCTCCAGCTCCATAGCACATTTTCTTAGCGCTCACCCAGATCCGCTGACAGAAGCGCAGCTCGCACCCCTCTGCATCACTTCTGCCGATTTTACGCTCGCGCTGAAGCAAGTTCAGCCGTCTTCGAAGCGTGAAGGCTTTGCGACTGTGCCTGATGTGACCTGGGCGGATATCGGTGCACTGCACGGAATCAGAGACGAGTTGCATATGGCAATAGTGCAGCCCATACGTAGACCGGAGCTGTTTAGTGCTGTAGGTATCGAGGCTGCCTGTGGAGTTCTACTCTGGGGACCGCCTGGATGTGGCAAGACGCTATTAGCCAAGGCAGTCGCAAACGAATCCCGAGCGAACTTCATTAGCGTAAAGGGTCCCGAGTTGCTGAATAAGGTAAATTATCCGTACATTCATGCTTCTATTTTACTAACGACGTGGAATGGTAGTACGTCGGCGAAAGCGAAAGGGCGGTGAGGCAAGTATTCTCTCGGGCCCGAGCATCATCTCCTTGCGTAATTTTCTTCGATGAGCTGGATGCGTTGGTACCACGGAGAGATGACAATTTGGTAAATTTTATCTTTCACCTAACGTAGTCTGTCATACTCACTTAAACGGATGTATATAGTCAGAATCTTCTGCCAGAGTAGTCAACACGTTGCTCACAGAACTTGACGGGCTCGATGCTAGGAAGAGTGTATATGTCATCGCAGCAACTAATCGTCCAGACATGATCGACCCAGCTATGGTGCGCCCGGGACGCTTGGACAAACTGCTATACGTCGATCTGCCATCCCCCGAAGAGCGAGCAGAAATCATCCGCACGATGACCCGAAAACTTCCTTTGGGTGCTGAAGATGCTGCTCGCGAGCTCGTGCTCCATCGTGTGGAAGAAATCGTGAAGGAGCGATGTGACGGATACAGTGGTGCAGACTTGGCATCGTTAGTGAGGGAGGCTGGTGTAGTAGCATTAAGGCGCACGATGGGAGCTCTAGACCAGCTGGAGGACAGTATAGAACGCAAAGCTCCTCCTGTTCTAGTCGGAACTCCTGATTTTTTGGGAGCTTTAATCAAAGTTGGGCCCAGTGTTTCTGCTGCGCAACGCAGGAAATACGAAGCCCTGAGGAACAAATTCGCAGGATTGCCCGTGCGTACAGGGAGGGAAGAAGACGAAAAACGTGTAGAGGAGAAAACGAATTAGATTACACTGTTGCTAGTTTTACATTCTGTTTATGCTACACCAGACCAAACTGCTTCTATCGTACCGCTCAATTCTCACCAACCTTCTTGATGTTCTTCACGCCGATGATGACTCTGTCATTTCTTTTCCAGAACTCGACGAGTATTTCAGCTAGCCTAGTAGGATCATCCTGTGGACGACATGGCATATCAGAATTGTAAAATGATAGAGTTAACGAAACATGAACCTCATGTAGCATGTGTCCAACATTGGCCAAAACTTCCATTTGGAACTTGCCTTGCATCTGTCCAATCATCAGTTCTTTATCAAGCCTATCGGTTCCAGCTAGTATAAGAATGCGAGCAGCTTTTGCAGCAAGGAACTTGTTCGACAACCCAGTGAACCAACCTGGGACGGCTAAGTCAGACTCTCTCTCAACAAGTTTAAAAATATGGGCGATGCTCACTCGACCAGTAAGATGCAGTCGAGCGTAAAGGTGTCCGCCACTGATAAGCAGGTACAAGAGAAGAGTCTGATGACGATGGCACAAACACGGCAGGGATAGACACCCTAGCCGAGTTCGGATTGCGGATTAGATTCGTGTTGACGCTGGCGGTAGTATAAAAATCTCATCTAGGGTGGTATTGTAAAGCAAAATACTCACTGCCATTCTACAGCTTCTTCTAAACTATCAAATCCATCTGGCCTAGAATTGAGGAGACTGTGCATATGAGGAAGGGCCTCAACTGCGGAACCTATATGACAACGTTTGGTTCACGGTATTGCGTTTATTGATGTACATTGAAACTCACCCTCTACCACGTCCAACACAGCGACACCCGCCACTTTGTACTTTAGCTCGAGCAACATAGGGCACGTCCTGACTACAACAGAACCTCCCATACTATGGCCAAGTAACTAGTCGGGGATCAGGCCCACTAGTGATCACTTAATCTGAGGGAGCTCACTAGAAATGTAGGAGCAGATGCAGGATCGGGGTAAAGAGTTCTAAGAAGACCGAGCAGATCGGCTGTAAGGACATCTATCGAAAGATCCTCATCTGGAGCAGTTGATGTAGTTTTTCCTGTGAGACAGTTAGTACATATACGTAGATCGCATACGATGAAGGTTTACCATGGCGTCGCGCATCTAGAGATAGGATCCCTAGTTCGCCCTTGGTCATATCCGATACCTCTTTCGCAAAGCAAGCAAAAGTGAGTCCTGAATATCCTGCACCGTGGTGGCAAACCATCAAAGTCCCTGATGCCAACTTTGGAGGTGTGTGATACACGCGAATATCGAGATTTGCGGAAGGCACAGACACCTGTATGGCTTCGGTGAAGAACTCAGATGCAGATATCGGCGAGAACGCAGCATTTGGAGTCTTTTTTGATTTATTTCGCCGTGCGGTGTGCGCTGGCCTTGAGTGAATGGTATAAGCGAATGATTAGTAGTGTAGAACGCCTTGATGAATGAACTCGCAATGCAGGTGGCCCCATGCCAGTTGGCAGAAGACCTATTATATTTGTAGCCTCATCTTGCTCATCGTCCTCGTCGCTGGGAGGAAGAGATGGCAGCTTTGCTATACGAGCGCTGATTGCTGAACGGTACAAGTCAGACATGGCAGGAGAAAAGAGTACATAAATCCTAACCCTAGGGAAGGGCCACATTATGTTCTCGCGCGGAGTCTCAGTTAAAATCTTACACCGTCTAGTGCATTACTGGGCAAACGTCTTGCGGACGGGCACCACCAACGGAAAGCAGTCTCAATTCTTTACAATATGGCTACTCTAGTATTGGGAAGGGCTTACAAGCCTATTTTTTCAACGTGTCTCTCGCGGACTCTAGCGACTGCAACGCCAAAAGCTAAATCAACCACCAAACCCGACCCAAGTACCCATTTCAAGATCACTCTTCGTCGTTCAGCGATTGCTTTAGGGGAGAAAAAGAAGGAAACGCTGGTTTCGCTGGGCATACATCGACGGATGCAGACCGTATACCATCGACATTGTCCGGAGGTTGCCGGAAAGATATTGAAGGTCAAGGAGTTGGTCGAAGTGGAAAATGTGCCAGCACATATGGTCCGTACGCAGTCAGAACAGAGGCTAGAGAGGAGGCCACCCAGAGGTTATGTGGTGCGAACGACAAAGCTAGCAGAATTACCTTGGGAGTCGTAGTTGCACAATAGGTGTGTTTCAGGTTTTACACTCACCCAAGTCGCTTTGCTCATGCGTCATACTATTGTAGGACCGTAACTTGGGTTTCTCGAGATAACATATGTGGCTGGTTTTGCTTACAAGATCCATGCCACTTCCACTATTGAGCCAATATTACGTTGTTGCATTTATAGTAGCAAAGCACATTCACGGCTCATCTCCCACTCCACTTGCAGGATTCTTGAACTACGTGAAAGGCCTTAGCAAAGGCAAGGGCAAGTGCCATACTACCAACTTTAGATAATGATCACGTTACTTTGGTGATTTTTGCATATCTTGAAAGTTGGAAGACTGTCATGGCTCTTTTGACCATAGTCCATTTTATTCACTACTTTGTACAGCAGTCATTGGTCTCTCTATGACATTGGCGAAAAACAGTGAGGGGCTTTTGCGATGAAGGTCTGCAGAAAACCCTCAGCTTTCCTAAAAATCATTTCTATCTCAAAGTAAGCACCTCCTGACATCGAATCTTACTCGTCCTATCTTATCTTTAAATCACGGCTTATCATCCTGCACGTGCGAACCAAGCCAGGACTGTGATCCCCGCACGCCTTCAAATGACCACCGGAACAACATACATCGAGGCAGATTCCTTCTACCGATATCTATATATTTCCGCTAACGTTAGGACAAACAGCCAGGCCTACTCCCAGTTCCCTATCCGGCTGACATATCTACTTACATCTACCAACTTCAAGGACGAGAGGCATCCCGCCAGGCAAGTCAAATACTTCCACAGAGATTACCATAAACTTCATTTCTGAATTCACCAAAAGTTTCAGAGCGACTATTAGCACGGTCAAGCAATCAAACTCAAGATCCCGCAGTTATTTTATAGGTCTATCATAACGGGCTCTCCGATGGTCATTTAGATCTGCAAGCTCCGATCCATGGCTGCGAAGGAGTCTCCATATCCGAGGTTTTACAATACGGTAAGCACGTTATCGGTTCGGACGACTCGGTAGTCAGTGACCTCAGGTTTAACTGCAGTAATTTTTTTATCATGGTGTGTTATTAAATCGTGTCTTTTCTGGTTACCTGCCGAGTCGAGTGCTGAGTGCTACTCATTTTTAGTGGCCTGGCTGTAAAACCCATCTAAAACGGTTCGCCAACAGAGACTCGCTTAAGAAAGTTGTCTTGCTTCCTACGAAAATTTCAAAGCAAGTCGCCAATATGTCAGGCATTTCGAACGTGCTTTAATTACTAACGGCAATGTCCAGAAAATGAACTCGGGCAGGCCACAAATCATCTACAAAGGATTCCCCATCGGGAGTGGGAGAGGGAAAAATGTTCGGAGTCTTCGATTGGTCCATATTTCCTCTGCAGATGTGAATGATTGGCAGGCTGAGGTAGTGATGGCGGGTGGAAATCTGTACGCTACTCCCAGTCATTGAGCAAAAGGGCGCAATTCCAAATGTGGCTTATTCTGAATGTCTCCGCTTTTTTTGTTGTATTACAAGTGACCTAATGTACCTTGAATCCACGAACCATTGATCTTACTTTCCTTCCAGTTAGTTTTTACCATGTTTTCTTGCGTTCTCAACCTTTCGATGAGAGCGGTCTTTGAAAAAAAGGTCGGATATTGCCGAGAAAACGACTGTACAGTGCCACATATAAAAGGTTTCTTGTTCGTGGACTTTTCTTTTTGTGACTTGTTGAACCGCAAGTATTCTCATGTCCCCGAATTGCAGGCTGATCTTCATCGCCGTGTTGATCTATTGCTGAATGAATTGGACTCACTGTCGACTTGTCTAGGAGTTAAACCCCGTATCATCGTGCGGGTTGTCGCTGCTCGTGTCAGTTTGATGTGCAATCCAAGTTCCTGGGTGAGACTCGTGTTACAATCCGAATTTTGTCCCATTGGGCGGTCTTGTACTGCTTATGATTGCATTGTACCAGCTATATTGCTCGGCTCTATCGAAGCCTCTCAAATCGCCCTTCAGGGCAGTGATTTGGTGAGGTCAATGTGTAGCCAATATGAATGATCGCATCCCCTCGGGCTCATCTCCTCGAAATATGTGTCGTATGAGATTCATGTTCTTCATTTGTTCTATAGGGGTACATATTTTTATGTCGAAAAATTAGGGCGACGTACAAAAGCGCTTGACAAGTGTAAAATAATGGCATTTTTTTTGTTCTTGTACTCGTACCTCTTGCTTTGTTTTGGGTTATTTTCACCAATTTTCGGTGCTGGACGAACGATTATTGCAACGCATCGGCACAATAAGCTCTGAGAAATTCGGAATGCTCATTTTGGTGGTGGTTCAAACTAAGCGATTTTGAACGAATATAGGTGAGTGAGATATGCTTCAAGTATCATGCTCTTCTACTCACACCAGGCCATTATTATAGGATCGATATTCCCATCATTAGCTAACCGCTGAAGTAACGTGGAAAAGCATATCAGCCATGAGACTGAAATGTGCAATGCGTTGATGAACTTTGTGGGACGAACTTTGAGGTCCCATCGACATCCACATTACTCTCTATACTACCGAAGCATAAATAAAACGCGTTAGTTTATGCGAGACCCACGATAGCGGGGCGGAGGTGAGTGAGATTCTCCTATAAAATGATAGAAACTATTGAGCAGGATTCTGTACGCGTCAGTCTCCCATCCGAACTCCCCACGTGCGAGTTTCTCAGAGGCAAAAACCATGGTGTCTTCCACGAAACCAATTATCCCTTCGGTGCTGTCTTTATTGCTTCTTGCAATACACGGTGTGGCCTCATCAGTTGGCGCTCTGGCGGGTAATGCTAGTGCACCCATTGTTAACCTTGGTTATGCACAGTACCAGGGTGCACTTGATTACACCACCAATATCACGAGTTTCCTAGCCCTTCGTTATGCCGCACCACCTCTCGGCGAGTTTTCTTTATTGGATTCAGTAGAAGGTCGATATTAACGTCAACCTACAGGCGAATTACGTTTTCAGGCTCCTCAACCTCCCCTCAATGAAACTGGTGTTCAGCAGGCCACTACCAATCCGGACATGTGTTACCAGACAAACTATGGAAATGCTTCCATGAGCCCTTTCTCCCTTTATGGATACAACAAGCGCGACACAACGATCCCGTCTGCCTCTGAGGATTGTTTGTTTTTGAAGTAAATCAGTCTCAGTGCTTTATATATAGCTGTGTCTAATAGGAATCCATCATCAGTGTCTTTGTCCCAGGAAGTCTACCAGCGGAACCTCTAGCATCAGGTGGCCTTCCAGTGGTTTTATGGATACATGGTGGAGGGTGTGTACTTAGTTCCAGGGACGTAATTCTTTGCTAACATATTTACCAGATATGAAGCTGGATACGCTGCTCAGTACGACGGTGCTGACCTCGTTATGAACTCGCATAACGGTGTCATTGCGATAGTTATACAATATCGCCTGGGTGCCTTCGGTACGTTCGTACCTTGGTTATTCATCTAAGTTCCTGCGATTCATAGTTTTTTTTATACCAGGTTTCCTTTCTAGCGATGAAGTGAAAGCAGGAGGTGCTTTGAACGCTGGCTTACGTACGTTATCCAGTACAAATGGACTCTGCTCTTGTTCTTGATGCATTTACTCAGTGGATCAAAACTATGCTCTTCAATGGGTACAAAAATACGTACGTATTTCATCAGAATGAAGCTTGTATGTCTCACACTGGTCGTGTTACATTGTAGATTGCGACGTTCGGTGGCGATCCGGCTCAAGTAACAATATGGGGAGAGTCTGCTGGTATGTATACCCTCGATGCCAATGCGTGGTGCTCTTGACTTTGTGATAAAGGAGCGGGATCTGTCTATCAACACATCGTTGCCAACCAAGGAAACACTCAACCACCATTGTTCCGGGCAGCCATGACTAGTTCAACTTTCATGCCCTCGCAGTACTACTATAATGATCGCATTCCTACTGTAAGCATTCTGATTTCACGTGCTCACTCACTCAGAAATGATAATTTTACTCCAGATGTTGTATAATGAAGTAGTGTCTTACGCTGGGTGTGTATCTTATGTTTGTCGCGAAACTATGATACATGAAGCTAATTTAGCATTTGTAGTTGTTCGTCGAGCACTGATACACTAGCCTGCCTGCGGACCGTGAATGCTACTACATTGGAGACGGTCAACTACAATCTCGCTGAGAATGCTTTCTACGGAACCTATATTTTCGTTCCCGTAGTCGATGGTACTTTCATTGTCGAGCGGCCAAGTGTCACGTTGGCCAAAGGACTCACCAATGGCGTAGGGTCATTCTCACCTAACAGTCGAGGTTGTGCGCTCAATGTATCTTAGGAGATGTTGTTGTCCGTGGTTAACTCTCACGAAGGGAACAGTTTTGTCAACCTCAATGAATCATTGAGCGTCACCGAATACGTGTCCAATCTATTCCCCGATATGACTCCCCTGCAAGTCCAAGAAGCGGCATACATGTATAATAACACTGGTACTGCATTAGAGCAGGCGTTCGGTGTCTATGGGGATTGTACGTATATTGATATTGATGCTTAGACTTGAACGCTGAACTTGTATTTAAGCTATAATCGTTTGCCCTACTTATTTCCTTCTCCAAACATTTGCTGGACGATCATACAAGGTCGGATCCACTTGTACTACCTTTTGGCCACCTGGATAATTGACCATGATTTTAGGGTTTGTTTGCAATTCCACCTGGGTACCACGGCAACGATATTGCTTACTATTTCAACAAGTGAGTTAAACAAACAATTATTACGACAACCCCTCAAACTTCTTTTGCTTCTATAAGCCCTGCTCCGCCATACAACAATACACAGTTCATTGGCGCGTTCTCGGAATCTTTTATGTCTTTCGTCATGTCTCTCAACGTTAATGCCAAATTCGATCCTACAAACATTACGCCCTATTGGGACGAGTACTACATTGGCGAGACTGAGGTGCTCTTCAATGAGACCGAAGCAGGTGTGCCGCTCGTGGTTCCATTCCATTCTGACCCCGCATTACTCGAGCGTTGCGCGTACGTTCTTCCGTGAAAACTCTTCATTGAGCATATCATACTCACGAGTTCATTACAGGTTTTGGCACAGCGTTACAGAAATGACAGCTCAGTAGCTAATATACGCTTACATTTTTTTGTGTGTTCTCAGTAGGTTCTGACTAATACGAGTGATGGGTTTGAGGCATAAAGCTTTACTTATAATTTGAAGTATGGAAAATAGAGGTGCTTATACCTCGCGGTTAGAAGCAAGCTCTTGTCCGGTCATCTAGTAGGGAAATAAGATAAGTCGAAGACATACATTCCGACTCGGGGTTCCATTCCTGGCGACGTAATGCAGGCACAACGGTCGAGTAAGTGGCTATTGGCACTCAACGAATTTGGTCTGATAATTCACTTCGCCCTACTCTAACTCTATTGTTAGGTACTGATTTCTAATTCTCCGTACGAATCAATAGGCCTTGCCTAATGTGGACTTCGCCAGTGTGGTAATAATCCTGAAGTTATTCTGTTTTTAAATCGAGCTCGTGCACGACACGGCCCGCTGAGAGCGCCTATGTTGCTCTTCGATCAACCACTCAAAAATAGTGGGTTAAGATCGTCCTCCAACTTTTGGCTTGTACTCACGCCGGATCAATAGTATAGCATCAATATTTCCATCAGTCCCATATTCTTTCGACCGTGGAAAAGCCAACATACCACGAGACTCTTCATCCATCGTGTTTATACGCTCATGTGGGATGAAATGCGGACATCCTCGACGAGTGCTACATTGCCGAAACATATATAAATTCACTTGGTTTATGCTGCCGGCATCCCACACGGCCACGAGTAATGAGCATGAGCAGGTCAGCAGGTGAAGCTCTTGTATAAAAGATGACGAGATATACTGTCAAGCGAAGAGCTGAGGCTTTCTCGATATCCCAAACAACCTGTTCACGCGTGGAGTGTACGGACAAAACCTATGATGTTTTCTATAAGGTCTCTCTTGCCCTTAGTACTCTCCTGCCTGCTCGTGGGGTATGGATGGGCTACACCAGTCGGCACTCTGGCTGGCAACGCTTCTTCGCCCATCGTTGATCTTGGTTATGCGCAATACCAAGGGACGCTAGATACAAGCACGAATATCACGAGTTTCTTGAGCATCCGTTATGCTGCACCGCCCATTGGTAAGCTGTCTCGGTCTTGACCGTGTTCAGTGGATATTATTCACTTATCTACAACCATAGGCGAATTGAGATGGCAGGCTCCACAGCCACCTCTAGCAACGTCTGGTATTCAGCAAGCCACAGAAAACCCGAACATGTGTTATCAGACAGGTTTCGGAGAAAACACTACAGCCCCTGTGTCAATTTATGGATATAACAAGCGAGATACAACATCCACGACCCCCATAGCATCTGAAGACTGTTTGTTTTTGAAGTATGTGCCTCAAAGCAAAAACTTGAAGTGAAAATGCTGAGTCAATTCGGTTCTTTCGTTTAGCGTGTTCACGCCAGGCAGCTTACCGACTGAAGCGTCTGCTTCTGGTGGTCTTCCTGTGGTTGTATGGATACATGGAGGAGGGTACGTAGATTTTATTTTCTTTAGAGGACCGCTGTGACCTAAGGTATTGCAGTTATGTAGCTGGATATGCTGCCGAGTTTGATGGTGCAGATCTCGTCATGGACTCCCACAGTGGTGTGGTCGCTGTGATTATGCAGTACCGTCTAGGTGCATTTGGTACGCATCACCGTCAATTCCTATCACCGGTTGAGACTAACTCTTTTGACGTGTGTAATTGTAGGCTTTTTGTCTGGTGATGAAGTCAAAGCCAACGGTGCTTTAAATGCGGGCCTTTGTACGTTTTCTCAAGTGTTGTCTGCTCCACCTTAAGAATTGACCTCACATCCTACTACAAGTGGATCAGACTTATGCTCTTGAATGGGTGCAGAAAAATGTATGTATCTCTGTCTAGATTGCAGGTGTACTTTTCGCAACAGCTATGATGATTATAGATTGCCTTATTTGGCGGAGACCCAGCTAAAGTCACGATTTGGGGTGAATCTGCAGGTATGTCTTCACATATATGACGCTTTATTCCAGTACTCATAAATATCGCTACAGGAGCTGGATCAGTGCTACAGCACATAGTTGCTAACGAGGGGAACACGCAACCACCCTTGTTCCGAGGCGCTATCACCAGTTCCACTTTCTTACCCTCGCAGTACTACTACAACGATCGCGTCCCTCAAGTAAGCATGATAATGTGATTTGGTACCCCTAACTGACGACGCATGACAGTCACTATATGAACAGGTAGTGTCAATATCAGGGTGCGTATTTAATCACGTTGATTGTGATAAGCGTCCTCGCTACTCCTATATTCGTTTTAATTTTTTACCAATTATGCAGCTGCTCATCCAGCAACGACTCTCTGGCATGTTTGCGCACAGTAGATGCAAACACCATCCAGACAATCAATTATGACCTCGCTGGCACTGGTTTCTATGGAACATATCTATTTGTTCCTGTAGTTGACGGTACTTTCATCGTCGAGCGGCCAAGTGTGACGTTGGCGAAGGGATTAGCCAATGGGGTAAAGTTTGCCACTCATTTCTTGTCCCGCGGACTCATTTGCATCCATCTAGGAAATGTTGTTAACTGTGGGCAACTCGCATGAAGGCCATAACTTTGTCAATCTCAATGAAACATTGACCATCACCGACTACGTGGCACAGCTGTATCCTGATATGACTTCTTTGCAAGTGCAAGAAGCGGCTTATTTGTATAATAACACGGGTGATGCATTAGATCAGGCAATTGGTGTCATGGGAGATTGTATTGTTTTTTCAATCAGACTTGACCGAAGTACTTCAACTTATACTTATTCCAGCTATCTTCGTTTGCCCTACGTACTATCTACTTCAAACATTTGCAGGTAGATCTTGGAAGGTAGGTCAATTTATTAAACTTAGTCGAGTACCTTTTGAAAACTGACTTGCGAGTAGGGGATATTTGCTATTCCACCTGGATACCACGGCAACGACGTTGCTTACTACTTCAACAAGTAAGTTGACCTTTCAAATCCCAAAGCCGCAATTTATCAGTATATCTTTGCAAGCCCTGCTCCGCCATATAACAACACGCAATTCATTACTGCGTTCTCGGAGTCCTTCCTATCATTCGTAATGTCTCTCGATGTCAATACCAAGTTTGATCCAACAAATATCACCCCGTACTGGGACGAGTACTACATAGGCGAAACCGAGATGCTCTTCAATGAGACTGAAGCGGGTGTACCGCTTGTGGTACCCGTGAAGACGAAGCCAGAACTGCTCGAGCGCTGCGCGTACGTCTTTATAGCAAACATTTGTTTCATATTCCAAGTTTATGCTCACGACTATTTTAAAGATATTGGCACACTATCACGGAGATGACAGCACAGTAGCTGCGAGAAAACTCATGTTCTCAATCATTATGTGTCTATCATTGCGCTTGTACCTTGTCATCAGCTGTTTTGTCACATCTCTATAATCCCTGGTCTCCGTACAATCTCCTGAAGTTGGTATTACAGAGGTGCTCGGTGTTAGATCCCGTTTCAGAGATGCCATTGTTGATGAAAGTAGGAAGCATGGATCGCAAGGGTTATAATTTACGCTGTCATAATCGTTTTCGGTGAGTGGCGTGAGGGAGCAACGTTCGTAGCGAAACGTGATGACACGAATCACTAAAATCAACCTTGGTGTTAGTTTTATCAGTGTCACACCACGATAGCGTAGATATTCAACAAGTACTTGCAGGCTAACATTCTTCGTTTTACGTTATTTGTTTCAGTCATGGTAAAAACCGCCGCATCAACCTGAGCCTCCACAACGGAGTCCGTCTGCCCTGCCATGACGATGAGTAATACGGGACCTGACCAATACACTGACCAAAGTTACTTGTTACAACTGCGATGCATTATTGAAGTTAACTCCATTTTGTTCAGGGTCATCACTCAGCGCTGAGCTCTTGAGTCGCACCCGATGGCACAATGTCTCTACAAGAAGTTGCATCCGTGTCAATGATCACCGAATACACTTTCCAAAACCACCAACTACCTTGAATCGTTCCCTTCATTCAAGTCTATAACTGAAATTTATTAGTTACAATGACCTCTTCAAAATTTTGGTTGTCCCTGATTTATCTACTTTTTTCGACACCGATCGTCAGCTCTACCAGCAATGTGTCTGGCCCTGTTGTCGACCTCGGTTATGCGCAATACCAAGGAATGCTGGATCCTGAAACCAAGATCACAAGTTTCTTGGGTATGCGGTATGCTTCCCCGCCCGTAGGTAAGTTTGTCATGCCCAAGGCAAATTACCTTCGATATTCACACAGAGTTACAGGCGGTTTGCGCTGGCAGGCCCCTCAGGCTCCTCCTGCTGTGTCTGACATTCAACATGCCACTGTCAATCCTAACATGTGTTACCAGACGAATTTTGGGAATAGCACCACGAACCCCTTTCCTGTCAATGGACACCATAACTTGAAGCGCGATGCTGTTTCGACGACCCCAATCGCTTCTGAGGATTGCCTATTCTTGAAGTATGTTTTTACTAGAATTCGGGTATGTAGGGGGTCTTGATCATCATCAGCGTACATGTCCCGGGTGACTTGCCATCTGAACCGCCCGCGTCTTCGTCTAATGGGCTTCCTGTGGTTGTATGGATACACGGAGGAGGGTACGTAACCCCAAAGGATACTTAATTTCGTCGTACTAGACAACTATGCAGATATGAGTATGGATATGCTGCTCAGTATGATGGCGCGGATCTCGTCACTGAGTCACACAATGCGGTTGTAGCGGTGGTGATACAATATCGTTTGGGTGTATTCGGTACTTCATCTTTGCGATTTTGTCATATCTCGTATACTGATTGCCTTGTTAGGTTTCCTGTCTAGCAACGAGGTGAAAGGGAGTGGAGCTTTGAATGCCGGTCTGCGTATGTTTGGCCTTCAACTTCTAATGTCGAAGAATGTCAATAATTTGTTCATCAGTGGATCAAGCTTACGCTCTTCAATGGGTCCAGAAAAATGTGCGTATCCCAAACAGAAATCTGTAGATCGCGCCCCGATGCATGCTCGTCACAGATTGCTGCCTTTGGTGGAGACCCAGCGAAGGTAACGATATGGGGAGAATCTGCCGGTAATTGCGACATATTACATTGTTCATCTCTCAGACTTACACAACTGTGTTTGATGTATATAGGGGCTGGATCAGTTCTTCAACACATCGTAGCACACCAAGGAAACACTCAGCCTCCTTTGTTCAGAGGGGCCATCACCAGCTCGACTTACTTGCCCCCACAGTACTATTACAATGATAGCATTCCCCAGGTTCGTTTTGACATATACATGTTCCCTATGCTTCAATCTGACGATTGAACACCAGACAATGTATAGCGATGTCGTATCATATTCAGGGTAAGCAACTAGCTGGTTGGTTTCTAAGATATAGTGGCTTATTATCTGCGTACTTGAAGATGCTCGTCGAGCAATGACACGCTTGCTTGCCTGCGAAGCGTGGACGTTGATGTCCTGCAGACTATTAACTTCAACTTAGCTGAGTCTGGTTTCTACGGAACATTTATATTCGTTCCCGTGGTCGATGGTACTTTCATCGTCGAACGACCGACTGTGACTCTAAGCAAAGGGCTCGCCAATGGTGTATGTTTTATTTTCTGGTGTCTTTCATAGGTTGCTCACCCGTACTTAGGACATGTTGCTGTCTGTTGGTAACTCGCACGAGGGCAACACGTTTGTGAACACCAATGAAACGTTGACGGTCATTAACTACATTTCGCAGTTATTCCCTGATATGACCTCCTCACAAATGCAAGAGGCGGCATCCCTCTACAACGACTCAGGCAGTGCGTTAGATCAGGCAATTGATATCATGGGAGACTGTACGCACATTTTGCTTGAACTGGAACCGCTCTGACTCGACAGCCTTGTAGCAATATTTGTTTGTCCTACATACTATTTACTTGAGACGTTCGCAGGCCGCTCGTCAAAGGTCGGTCAAAGCTACGGATGGTTCATATTATGATCAGACATTCAAAACCTGTCTCTTGTTCTAGGGGATCTTCGCCATTCCACCTGCATATCACGGCCAGGATGTTTCGTACTATTTCAACATGGTGTGAGTTATTAGCCATGTCACAGTTCTTATTATGCATACAGGCTCACCTGCTTAAAGCACCGCAGAAGGAACTCCGGCTCCCCCGTCCTATAACAACACCGTGTTCAAAACGGCGTTCTCTGAGTCTTTCCTATCATTCGTCGTCTCTCTCGATGTCAATGTCAAGTTCGATCCGAGTAATATCACACCCTACTGGGCCGAGTACGCTGTTGACGGGACAGAGATGCTCTTCAACAAGACCGAAACGGATGAGCCAGTCGTAAAGCCTGTGAAGACGGACCCGAAATTGCTCGAGCGGTGCGCGTACGTTACAGCTCCTGTCATCTGATTTATGGCGAAGTGATGCTGAGTTGCGGCATGTTTATCTTTTTGCAGATACTGGCATAGTGTCGCGGAAATGACCGCTCAGTAGCTTTGAAGATTCATACAAGTTACTTGTATGAAAAGGTCCCAAGGTTCTTGACTAATTGAATATAGACTTGATGCATTAATGTGATTTGTTCTTGACAGCACCATGATCCGAGTAAGAATGTGGTGCAAAAGTTTGTCTTTTCTTATGTAAGGCTCAGAACGGAGCGGAACATGATGCATGTTTGATCACCAACAGACAGCAACAGCCTTCAAAAATTTTAAAGTTTTCCAAAACCCAAAGCGTCATGACAATATTATTTTATATGGTGCAGAACCCTTTAAGTTTATTGCGCGAAAGCTAGGACGAAATTTGCTAATTATACAGAGCGACAGTAGAGCAAAGATTTAATCGCGAAGCTGAGAGATTGAAGAAATTTTTAGAGTAATGTATGGACGCAATGGTAGAATTAGACCACTGTATGCGCACAGCGTAAAGGAGAATTGCACGTGGGTAACGCAAACTAAAGAGAATACAGTAATGGCAAGAATCTAGAAATGAGAGTTGACGAAAGGGCCGGGGTTCAAGTTACCTTGCGAAACAAGAGTCAGATAAGACCAGAACCATATGCGTTTTGATGCTTTCTTTTTTGTTGGTGAACGACTATCTTGATTTGCATGTATCTACTTCCTCTTTGGCAATTCGTTGGGCAAGTAAGTCGCAAGCCAGATAGCCCCGCATGACATTGCAAAGAGAATGGCATACACTGCATTGCCTCCCATAAGTTTATGTTGTGCAGAGAGCGCAAAGAGGGAAGTAGACATTGTGGGACCGAAGGCACGTGCGACGGAAGCCGTCGTCTGCCCAATCCCATTTACAGCTCCGAGGGAACGCCTGTTCGGAGCTGCTGATGTTACGAACATCAACGCGCAACCTGTCAAATTTTTGGAAGTAAGCCATCAATACGTTTGCGACTGTCATATTTGCATGCATAGAATAACTGACCATAAGACATCTCCATGAGGGCTTGGAGCATCAGTTGACACATCAACAACGCCCAGGATAGAGGGCCGATTCCCCACTGGCGCACTGTGAAGCTCATCACGGGGAAGAGCGCAAGAATAGGAAGGAAGCATGCAATCGCAGCTACAAAGACGCGCTTAGCCCCAAATCTCTCCACTACTTTAGCAAAGATGCTCATTTGGACAAGTCCATTCGCAAGACCATAAAAGCCAAGTATGGTTCCAATAGTGGCAGGAGGGAACCCAATACCTCCATGCGTAGTGGGAGTAGAGTAGAACAAAGGCTGGAGTGCGAGAAGTGCGATTTCCAGGAGCGCCATAATGGCGTAATTCGCGATTGGAATTGAGACGGATGAAAGGGTCAGAAGTGTGCGAATGGGAACTGGTTCTTCGAATTCTTCAGCCTTGTAGGACGGAACGCGGCGAACCTGTCTTTCTCTGGAGGCCTGTTCTTGTTCTTGTTCTGATGCATTACCATGCAGCGAAGGATATTCTGACTCTATTGACGAATACCCCGTTTCTACTGAAGCATGATCAGGCTTGTCTACTTCGCGTTTTCCTGGCAGCGTCTAGGGAAAGACAACATTATATTCCCACATTCTCACGAGGTATGTTAGCCGCAATACGTACCTCTTTTAAGAAGAGGACTATAACAAGAAACGTAAGACTTGTGAAACAGGCCGTTGCAGCACATGGAAGAAAGTAAGGATACTCCTTCCAGAATGTCCCGGAGAATAACACAGGAAAGCGCTCCTGAGGACGAGCCAAGTTTCCACCCATGAAAGGTCTGAATGAATACGTTTCGCATTAGGGAGCGCTATACGGCGAAGGTAGACGAAACACTTACCCAAAAGCAGCTCCAGCACACCATACGATTGGTATCAGTGCAAATGCTTGCGCCATGTTTGTCGAGTCTGTTAATTCGCCCATCATACTTTTCATGACTCCAGAGTTGCCATTTAGCATGCCACAGATGCATCGACTGCATATATGCATCAGAATAGTGGGGCAAAAAGAAGAAAATTTGAGACAAACCTTACAACAAGAGTCCAGAATGTTCGTGACAAGCCAAAGCAGACCATGGATAGTCCAAGTCCGAAAAGTCCAATCAATATGACTGGTTTTCTACCAATACGGTCAGAGAGACGGTTCCATTGCAGGACAGTTAAGGCCTGCGTCACAAAGAACAAAGATTCCTAATAGGGTAAAAGAAGGTTGAGATGCTACCCCACGCGTCTTAAGTTAACGTACTATAAGACCAGCATAATACCCGACTTTCGACTCGTCGCCTCCTGTGACGCCCAACTCTCGTATGAGCTAGGGAAGAACACGAGATGAGGGTTTGAGGAAAGACTTTGACGCGTTAATACACGTACCTGGTTGATGAAAGGATATATACTTTGAGATGCGAGTGGTTCAGCGAGCTGCAGCAACAGAAGAATTCCTATTTGTAGTTTTGGGAGAGGCGTGCGCTGTTTTCTATGTCTTTTTCCTTGCAGGAGAGGTGCATCTTCGTCGACGATGTGGTTGTTTTGGGTATCAGTGAAAGTGCCAGGCATACCGGTGGGTCCGTGCAGCCTAAATCCAAGAGAGAAAGAGAGAAGGGATTGGGTAAAGAGAATGTGGAGAGTGAGTATATGCGTCCACCGCTGTGGGGTGACTATTTATTTGAAACAAGTAACGCCCGCTCGTGATTTCCGACATACTTATTATACATAAACCGAATATCTAGAATTTACCCCAAAAGAACGTAGAAAATGTAGATCGAGTCTTTCTATATCTGGCTACTCCGCACTGTGAATCTCAGCGGCCCAGCCACAATTTCCTCATGTCACGTCACAACCAGTCTCCCGAACTTCAATGTCATTCACATGATAATAAACTATTAGCACGCTTTCTGCTTTGCGCAGGAGACGAATAGCAAGGCGAGAGCTGCAACTAACCACTGCATAATCTCAGGTCGCACATCAGAAGCATAGCATCAATCAGTCTCAATTTTGACTGATATGGCGTTTGGCGCCAACTCAAATTACCGAACTAATGCCACCACTTACTCTTGACACGTTCGAGGAGAAAGATGGTGTCCTCGGCCTTACTTTATTCTGTGATGCAAACGTGCAAGGCATGACCCCAATCTATATCTGTCAATCGCAAAATATTACCGGTACGTGGTACCGAGACTGATTTCTCAGCCAAATGGCATCCTGGAAGATATCGATGCTATAGAGAGGCGAAAGAACTTAAAACAGTCTATAAGGTGAGCCTTATACACAGTATCTCAATATTTGGCAGTGTCCTGAACTTCACGCCGCAATGTGCGACGTGCGTGGAGCTTTAGCAGAATTTTCCAATATGACGTAATTGGACGGTACCGCCCAAACTATCACGGATATCCCGGGTATATTCAAGTTTACCGATCGTCTTCTTGCTTCTCTCTCTTGATTGCAATTGAATTTGGCGTGTCTAACAATGTCTTTTCTTGAGGCTAGCCCCGGAACTTGTAGACATGAATATCATGAGACAACTTTCAAAGTGGATATGGTTTCACTGATTGTTCGCGACACCATGTCCAACTGCCAGTGTCTCTGAAGTGGATCCGTCGCATTTTCAAGTGTTCTTTTGTGCTAACTAATTCTCATGTATTTTCCAGGTGACCTTGAAGCTCTTCGAGAAGCGGATTACCCTACACTTCTTTCCAGGGTATTCACAAATGCCCCTCTATACGAATGCACGCCATGCATGTGACAAGCGCCAGCATCTCCTATGTCCTCGGTCAATCACTGACACAAAGTCCAACAGTACTCAACTGTGGAAATCGCGCGAAGTCTGACCGTCACAAAAATGAAGGGCCCTACAATGTGAAAACAACAATAGTTGCAGACTGATAGGGGATAAGAGAACAAATTTAGAGTGAGGAAGCGGTTGAAGCTATATGACTATCGGGACCTCGTGTCACTTCAGGCCACAGTATCGCCGACACGATCTTCAACGAATATGCTGAGCAAGACCCCCTCATCCATTCAGTGGTGCTGATTGACCCCCCAAATCACAGGTATTCAGTTCATAGCTGGCGAGTGCATACACACTTACTAGTATGATTTGTGCAAGCTGTCCAGTCGATAAGTCTGACGAGGCCACACCTCACTGTGGATCTTCTGTGGGACGTAATTGAAGACATTTGCCCTTCGAAACGATGGATGGAACACTGCAGAACATATTCATTCCATAACAATTAATTCGATTTTCGCTGATAGGGAGCCCATTGGTCGACTTCTTTTCCGAAACCGCGGGTTTACGAGTCCAGCTCCCAAACATTTTGCTCGACTTCAGACCTTTTAAACATATTTCGACCTCGAAGGGTCACGTACCTAAATCGCAAATATATAGTTTACAGTAAATAAAGGTGAGTAACAGTCTTATTATTGTCACGTCATATCGCTATCATTTCCACCACTCCCCAGAAGGCTATACCTCATCACGTCGAACTTAATATCTCCTTTGCACGAACCAGGCCATTGTTGAAAGCGGGGTGGGATATTACTTCGTTGTTATCGGTAACAGCTGATACTCCTCCAGTGAATCCATTTTCCTTGGCGGCGCTGACTGTGACGTAGGTGGGGCTTGGGGTTTGTAGTGGTAGCGTAGTTGAGTGAGGAGGAGTACTGATGTCTAAACGCGGAGCAGCAATGTCAGGAAGACAGTTCGCTTCGATCACAAAGTTTGGGATCATATGACGCACGCATACGCTCACGAGACAGACATTCATGAAATAACCTCCGATGTCTAGAAGAAAGTGGTTAGACATTGCACTGTCCAATTGACGCGGGGTCCACCACTCACCAATGAAAGCGCCTAGAAAAACCATCAAGAATCAAGCATCAAGCCGATTACCATATGTTCATATCAAACTAGCTTACTCACCAAAAGGTGGAGCATCTGGCATGCTTGCTCGGATCTGGGGTAAAGCGAAAAGGACTGCGAAAACTCATCAGGATGCTGTGCTTGTGCTACAATTTTGATGACGGTAATGAGGTTGACTCACTTGTTGTGGAGCCCAATAATAACCCCGAATCAATCTTCTGTCGGAATAGGACAATGATGGTCATCCATAAAACGGTCAATGACATCATCCCTACAAAGTCATGATCTGAACAAAGCTGAGGCGAACGAATGCGTTAGTTACACTTACAATTTGTTATGAGGATGATAACGACAAATGCTTTGACGGGTAGCTGGCGGTCGAGAGATAACGTCAAAGAATATAATAGGTCTTCTTGCCCTGGCAATGATATCGCCAAAAAGTTCGCGCGTCCTACCCAATTCACCACTGTGCCATACCCTCTGGCATTTGCTATTGGAATGGTCGAGTTATCATTTGTATTGATGGCGAGGAGTGAAACGTAAGTATTAAACCTGCAGTCTTTCAGCAGAAGTCATTAAGGATCAGAGTGGTGATGAAGACACCTACAAGTCGAAGGGATAGTACAGCGTGGAAGATTTCTTATCTTGAATGTATGGGAGGAATGGATCCAAAGGCAAGTCAGTGTCGAATTCCGAAGTAGGTAAAGAGCTGCGGAGTAGATAAGTCATACTCTGACGGTCAAACTTGAATGAAAACGAAATATATCACGTTCGTCCAGGTATATACGACGTTGGAGGAGGATTTGTTATTGAGGTCGGATCATATTGACCAGCAGGTGTAGTCGTATTCCAAGATGATGTAGGCACTCTACGGGTAATGATTGAAAATCATGTGTGCGTGACAAGCGTTGGTTCAAATAGTACTGACGTATTGAGATAAAGACTCAAAGGAACGCTCAGACCATTCTGAACACACGAGTCATTCCCTCCAAACGTGTAGGATGCGCCGCATGCTCCTATTATTGACCAATGGATCTGAAAATATCCCAATGATACATATCAGATTGATAAGACATCAGGTAGTCCCACTTACCGACATGGTTTGCGCAGTAGTGTCTATGGCATAAATGTTGGCCAGCCTTATCCAACACGTTAACAGTCAAGACATATCCCAACGCAGAGATAAGACTCACAAGGCAACCTATGTAATCAGTAAGCATCCTGATTCAACTGACTGAGGATCCCAAACTCACCCCTTTCAGGGAATTGTCTGTATCACCAGCCCACAGGACGTCAATATTGACTTTGGACGAGAAGTTGGCGGCGACATAAGCAGTTGTGATCTTTGCGGATATGATTGCGAGGACCATAACTGCTAGAATCATAGAGATCCAGGGCCCATAGCCCATAATTCGAGGCATGGCCTTCTGTACTGATGCTGGTAATTTCATGGTGGGGGGCGGTTTTGTTAGGGTGAAAGCTGGGTTGTGCAAAGAGCTTTTCACTAGGTGCGGGGATCCTTCCGTTGGCGTTTACAGGCGCTAGGGGCCACAGAAAGTATATCCATTCGTAGTCATACAGCCCTGAAAGACTCATTGGCACGCTAACTCGTTATATCGTATGTATTGCATTCTTGCATTCAATAATCTGATTGTGCCTGATCTGTTGAGCGGCTGTACGACAAAAAATGAGGACGTACTTACTGCAGTAACGTGAGGTCCTGTAACGGCAACAAAACACGTTTACAGGACGAAATAAATGGCCAGGCACAAGCGACAGGTAATCATAACGTGGAGTACCTGCTTGGAAGGTTGCTGCAATGTTTGCTAGTAGCCTACCTTTACCCTGACGAGTATTCTGTACTCATCCATAAGCTCGAGTCGGAAACCTTATCTACAATTTCAATTTCAGCGGAGGTATCTCCAGTAGGGAACAAGTTGCAATACCCCCGTTCAAGAAAATGTTCCCGCTTTTGTTCTCCTCTGGTCAAATCACTTATACAAAAGAAATGTCCAACTGATGGTGGCGGTGCCAGAAATGGTCAGTTTCAGCCTCCACGACCGTGACTGTGCGTAACGAAGGAGACTAATAATAAACATAGCACGACAGGTATGATGGTGGGATAGAACAGTTGTGCATGCTACCTACACATATTTTGGATGCAGAAGAAGTTGACATCATTTAGAATCGAAATGTGACGGTGCTGTCTCGTCGTATGGGCCTGTTGGCAACGGGAGTGCAGACATTGTGACCAGAGGTCGATAGTGATAACGAAGTTGGGAGAATAGCAGGATGGACATCTTTTTCAGAAGATGGAAAGATATGTTAGTAGATGGAAAACGAAAACAGCATGTCTGACATCCTGATGGACTCACGCAAGCGCTGACAAGCCAGACGTTCATGAAATATCCTCCGATATCTAAGTAGCATATAAGAAAATATAGATCATATAAAGTGCCATGTGAGCTTACCAATGAACCCGCCTAGTCATGTATCATCAGTGAGATGTCAATGGGGAATGCATGAAAACAAGACACACCAAATGGGGGAGAGTCAGGCATACTTGCACGTATCTGAGGCAGTGCAAATAGGACTTGATGACAGTGGTAGATTAAGGCCATAACCTAGCCATCTGATTGTCGTGAGGCTCACCTGCAGTAGATGATAGGATGATCCCTGTATCCACCTGTGCCTTAAAAAGGACGAGAATCGTCATCCATAAGATGGTAAGCGACAAGATCCCTGTATTGCGTAGCCAAGTCAGGCTTGGGTTTGGATTACAAAATGATAGGCCTTACAATTGGTGAGGATGAGGAGGACCACAAAAGACTTCACCATTCTATGACGTTGAACGGTAAGCACAACACTATATTTTGTACCATCTCTTGTAGTGTTTGCGTAAAAAGTGTTGTGTCCCACCCAGTTAACCATAGTACCGTAGCCTACAACTCCGGCGATTGCAAGGGTCGAGTCATCATCCGGATCTATGGCAAGGAGCGAAACGTAGGTCTGGAATCTGAAGCGTGGAAATGAGCAAGGTAAGCAACCAGAAAGACAAATGTGTGAGAACGAGGCAAATTACTGGTCAAATGGATAAAACAAAATTGATATTTGTTTATCCTTGGTATATGGAAGGAACGGATCCATTGGTAAAACTGAGTCAAAATCATAGGAAGGTACAGACCTGATAGCTCATTAGTAAACTTTCAGGAGCGAGTGTTAAGCTTCGACTCACGATCTGCCCTCAATGTAGTTTACTGCAGGAGGGTTTTGCAATACGGATGCATCGTAAGAACCTATAGGAGTCGTTGCATTCCAGTTTGAAGTTGCATTCCTGATGAAGACAATCAAATTACAGCATAAGGGAGGAATGTTTTGTTATTTACTCGTTGAGATACAGGTCCATTGATTTTGCGAGAGAATTTTGAATGCAACTATTGTTTGAGGCATTTGTATATGCTTGGCCGCAAGCCCCTACGATGGACCAGTGTACCTACAAGCTCGTCAAGAATCAAGTTCTTGAATAGATCTCAGCGTAAAACACTTACCGATAATGTCTGATCGTTCACATTCAAGTTATACATATCTGCTAATCTGCAAGTCAGATGTATTCAGTTTGGGCAGGTTCCCTTAGTTTTCATCGATTGCTCACAAAACCACCTGTAAAGTTCATATTTGAGTGTGTTTTCTAGCTTTTTGAGCCTTACTTACACCAGGCGAATCACTTGATACTCCAAACTGCTGAAGAGCTGTATCCATTGTAATTGAGTATGAGAAGTTGGAAGCGATGTAGATACTGGTGAGTTTAATGGATACAGCCACCAGAGCTATCATCATGCAAAGGAGAATAGCAAAAGGGTCAAATCTGAAAATAAACGGTAGGGGGGATAACATAGATAACGAACGAGGCAGCCTTATCGGAGACGGCAGATAGTTGAGGGGCATGGTGGTTATGGTGTGAGGGTATCGCGCTGCACAATCGTTGGCAAGTGTTATACGTACTGTATAACTATATTGATGATTATGGAGGGACAATTTAGGACACTTATTTGCGTACTTCCTTGGCATATTAAACCTGAATCCGGCAAGGCGTCTCAGTGTGGTCAGACTCCTGATTGAACATTTGTATACAAACCTGAGAATACTCCTGGCGGTGTTTTATACAGCTTCTCCAGGGAAAATTGACACTGATGCGCCACATATCAGACCTTACTGTCACATTGTAAACCCCTTCGTCACTTTTGTAGTTTCTCGAGATTCCTTTTCGGACCACCTTTGAATTTCCCTAAAAATGCTGGAACGAGCCTGTCAATGAGCCTGGGACGAATCAGATGAAGTGATATATGGGCCGGAGTGTCAGCGTCTGTCAGTGAACCTAAGTACTTTTAAGCGGCACTTTCCAGAAGATAATGAATGGGTCAAGCTGACATTTCCAAATGATCTATTTGACCGAGTCTAGCTGGATAGGCGCTGAATAGGCTCAGTGACTGGTCCCCGACCCTGAAAAGATCTGAGCATTAGCAAAGGGTTCTACTTATCGAGCGCACATCACGAAACAGGATATCTTCTCTGGTCAAATCACTTACACAGAAGAAACAGCCAACTGATGGTGGCGGTGGTCAGAAATGGTCGGTTTCAGCCTCCGCGACGGTGAACCTCAGCACACATTTGTATGCACTACTCAGGCATGTGCGGCTAGTCTCAATCTCTCGCCATCCTCTCTCCCCGCTGCGTTCAGCATGTCCTTCCTCCTCAATCTCTAACTTCAGTCGGACCTGTTGGCAGCTGCCCAGTCGTGCATTCTCGAGCATCTCAGACGCTCCTAATGATCTTTTCAACTATTCATCGGGACGCTGGCTGTAAGTCTTGTACATCTTGTTCTCTAACATACATGTCTAATCCGTAATCTCGCACATTCAGCGTCAACAATGATCTTCGCCTCGCAGAGCGCAGACGTGAGTTCGACGTCAACGAGCTTTGTCGACGTGCGGCGCAGTCTGTTGGTCGGACTTCGCAAGATATCGACACATTTGTGAAGCTCGCCGAGGGCGGCTTCAACCGGACTTTCCTTATCACCATGCATGGTGGCTTCGAGATGGTGGCCCGCATCCCGTACCCCGTCACGGTCTCTAAGCTCTACGCTATTGCTAGTGAAGTGGCCACAATGCGTTTCCTCCGATCCTCTGGGCTGCCTGTTCCCGAGGTTTACGATTACTCTCCTTCGTCGGACAATGTTGCGAAGACGGAATACATTTTTATGGAGTTGATCAGAGGTACAAAGCTCAGCGACGTGTGGATGGAGCTGGAGGAACCGGATATCGTTTCGGTCTTGCGTCAACCTGTTCAACTCGAATCTCGAATGATGTTGATTCCTTTTCCGGCCGGTGGAAGCCTTTACTATACCAATGACCTGGAGAAGGTGGAAGGGGTCCATGTACGCCACTCTCTGCCTTTTCTTTTGTTGAACGAACTTTCTGGAACTAATCAAGACTATAGACGAAAACGCCAAGGCAGTGCTCGTAGCAGCAGCTCTCAAGGAGCTGGCATATTTGGAAAAGTTTGGTCGACCGCTACTACCGTTCCAGCGTGGAAGAAGGGAGGCTTATGGGTACAAGGGGCAGTCACCTTCGGATCACATCAAGAATCTCGAACGCTACCTTGTCATCGCACCCTCGCTCGCCTCCAAGGACTCAGCCCTCCATCATTTTCGATCTCCAGCCGAGCAACATCATCGTGTCGACGTCGTCAGACTCTAACCAGCTGAAAATCGTGGGCCTGCTCGACTGGCAACATGCCTCGATCCTACCCAATTTCTCTTCGCTGGTGTACGAGGTTGCTTGCAAAACTACGATGACCCGGTCTCGCAGGCTCTCACCCCACCCTCACTGCCAGCGAACATGGACAAACTGGATCAATCCGAGCACAGCCATGCAATGGGACTCTATCACCGCGGCCTCGTCCACTTCCACTACGTCAAGAACACGGAGCAGTACAACAAGCTCCATCATGATGCATTGTCCGACCTCGTGTCCATGTTCATCTACCGCCTTTTCAACCAAGCTGGTGCTCCATGGGAAGGTGAGACTCACGCGCTGAAGACTACGCTAATAGAGGCAATGGAGATGTGGGGGATGCTCACAGGGGAAGGTGTGCCGTGTCCAGTCGCGTTCGAACCCGAGGACCTACGCAAGACGAAGGAGCTGAGCGCAAAGCTGCAAGTAGCGGACGAGAATTTTGAGGGGTGCTGAGGCACGGTTGGCTTCGAGACGGAGACCTGGGTGTCCAACGAACACTACGAGATGGCCATGGCCCTCGCTGAGCTGCTAAAGCTGAGGGTGTTGATGGAGATCCCGGAGGAGGAAGTCCGGGCTAAGACTGAGGCAAATTGGTTCTTGAACGATATGGACGAAAAGGATTACATGTAGTGAATTGATTGAAATATTCCACGATGTTGTTATTTTATCTAGTGCCATGGTATACGTGTCCAGTCTACCGTTCTTCGATTTTCGAATCCTGCTGGAGGAAAACTGCTCAAACTTATCGACGCCACATGCACTACTATTAATTCTCAATGCAAACTCATAGATTTTGTATATTTCTCCAACACATTGTTATATGACATTGAATACGACATTGAATACTGTACATGTCATACAACAATAAACAAATGCAAGGGTTATAGCTAAAAAACAAGAACAGCAAGTACATTGACATAAAAAGCAAAAGGAAATGATCAGTCCGACGTCGATGTCTCATGTTCAAATACGAACTCATATATCTCTTCGAGACACCTTCGATCCTTCGAATCCAGTTGCTGCCTCGACACAGCGTTATATATGTCCCTTGACCTTGCGTTATGAGCGGCCTTGTTACCTTCAAACCGGAGAGCATTGGTAATGCAAAGGAATTCGATAGATTCACCAGAAAGTGAATGGGACGATGATGATTCCCGAATTACCTGGGCAACTTCAGCACGGAGGGCTGCAGTATTTTTATCATCACGAAAAGTGCGCCAGTCTTTGGAGTGGTTGAGTTCTGCGATTTTTTCTCGTGCAAAATCGACGAGCACGCGTAGTTGGACAGGAGTATAGTGCAAAACGAACTGATAGGCAAACAATTTTAGTAGGCAAATACAAAATACACGGCAAGGCCTACCTCTCTAAGTTCTTTTTGGGACTGATGAAAAATAATTAAATTATATCGCGGAAAATTTATAGACAGCATGCAACATACATATTTAAGCTCATCCGTGACCTTCTCCAAATTTTCTTGGGCCGCCTTGTGTTCTTCAATCTCCCGATCCAACTTTTCTTCGGCCGCCTTGCGTTCTTCAATCTCCTGATCCAATCTTTCTTTGACGACCCGATGCCTTTCTTCTGAAGCACGATGCCTTTCTTCTGAAGCACGATGCTTTTCTTCTGAAGCACGATAGACGACCCGATGCCTTTCTTCTGAAGCACGATACTTTTCTTCTGAAGCACGATACTTTTCTTCTGAAGCACGATACTTTTCTTCTGAAGCACGATGCTTTTTTTCCGAGGCCTGATACATCTCATCTAGGACCTTGCGCTCTTGAGTCTCCTCATCCAGCCTTTCCATTACGTCCTCAAAACGACCTTGGAACGATTCAATCTTCTTCATCAAGAGATCAAGTCGCTCATGATTGTCGACAGGCTGGGCTTGGGTTCCAGTCGTGTCAGTAGCATTGTCGACTGTTGTCATGCCCTTTTTGTTCAATGCTGACAGGAATGACATGGGCAACTGAGTATCAATCGGCTCCTGGTCAAATTAAACAATAACATACATGATTTCTGCGCCGAGTCTTTGTCCTTTGAGGCGGCCATCTCATCAACTCTTTTCTGCAGCTCTTTATTTTCTTGGGTTAGAATGTTACGTTCTGCCTTCATATTATATATTTTTGAAAGGCTCGTGATCTCGAGTCCGTCTTCGAAGGCTTTGCCTTCCCGGTTATCCGGAGGGGTGATCAAGACAAACATTTGGTCGTGTCTGGGCAAATCTTTCACTTTGATTGTTGTGGGATCGGGATGAGGACCTGCATTCGCAAAAGAGAAAGTAGGAGTATCGCAATATATGAGATTCAACAAAACTCACCTTCCGAACTATAAAAATATTTTGTGGAGGCCCCGAGGTCAGCAAATGCGCTTATGGGGAGGTCGAAGGTGAGTGACAAGTGTGCGGTGGCCTGCGAGCACAGCTCATCTAGAGCATCCTTTAAAGGTAACGAATTCTGACTAATAAGCTGCTTTTGGCTTTCCTTCCAATTGACCGTGTCTCCCCTCGCGCTGAATGCTTTGTGGGCAAATATAGCCCTTAAGTTAGGAAGTCGATTTTCAGTATCGTTTTGTTTCATGTTGGCGGTCGTATGTCTGACGATATCCTGTTTTTTCTTGCCCTTATAAGCCTTTCTCTCCTTACAGCTTCTGAAAAGCATGTAGGTCCTCGTGTATCACCAGCTGCAACTCCGCTGACGTGACTCGATTCTTTTGTTATGTTTGTTGTCCTGTCTCCGTTCTTCTGACAGTACATCCCATTTGGGAATGTCGCACTCAGGTCTGCGTTAGAACGCATCAAAGAGGTCGATGTAATACCATATCTGTGCGTGGCATTCTGCTTGTAGTAAAATCACTGATTCACCTCTTCAACCCTCAAACCAGCTGCTATCGATCGGTGATAATATTCCATTTTCTAATATATTGCTGTGCGTGTTCGTGCCACTTCAAGGGAAAATGGCTTCGGGTGCTTTCATGTCACACTCAAGAAACACCCCAGTATCACGCGTCAACAAGCCCAAGAGCGTGTTCTGATGTTACTAGGCCTTTCTGGGCTCGGATTTCAACTATCTACACGAATCCTATCACTCATTTTAACAAGACAGACCCGAAGGTCAACTTCGTCTCTTGATTAGGCTCTTTAGTGACCCGGAACTTCATCGCACAGCTATCATGCTGTAATTTCAGAAGGTCTGAATCGTTTTTAGAGAAGGAGGGCAGGACGCACCGTTGAAGGAGATCTTGAACCGGCCGTTTCCTTCTATCATGCATGCGGCGTCCGTATCATACTGTTTACTGTATCCGATGTGAGTGGCCCAGGCTGTGTGCACTAAGAGCGTGGAGACCTACAGGCACTATTTAACTGGTCCTCGAAGAAGCCTGTCAAGAATCAGAATGACTCGTTAAGCGTGGTATATGGTGAGCCTCAAGCTATCTGCGAGCGGTTCGTTATCGCCTCTGTAAGCAGGTCCCATTTCGTGCCGTTCAAATTTCGGAATAACATCGGTGTAAAGGTGTAGGTAGTAGTATCTCTGAGAAGCTGAGACGTGGATGGTAGATATGAGGGCGAGTACACGTAATATGAGAGACGGAGGGACTTTTGGTAGGAGGCGAATTGCCTACTGTTTATGCCGGATGAGCACTTCGTGGGCGAAAGATCGAATTTTCAGCGCATTGTTGAGTAAAAGCTGATTCTTCATTTTGTGTTTTCTTAGTTTCAGCGGATCCTGGTATAGCGCGGCACTTCCGTCTGTTTACAGATATCTTGCACTTCTCCTGCCCCAACTTTAATTTCCCACTCTCTTCTGGCAGTTTGGAATATCGAGATTGGTGATGCGCGAGTAGGACGCGTACACGGAGGCGGGGTAGGATATGATATCCCCACGACGAATACGAGAAAAACCATCGGACGGCCAGGCATCCTATCTCCCATCTTCCCTGTGCACCATGTTTATTACACACCTCACCAATTTTGAAGTCCCCCTTCCACTATGTGCTCAAATGACACTGGCGCAAGTTTTGCGCGTTGTAAATATTGTCCTTGGTATTCTTTTACTAATCAAGCTGCAAGACTTACGAAGATTTAGAAAGAGAAATTTCATGTAGTCTCTCGTGGACGGCATTGGCGAGGATGTTATGAGCAAGGTCCTGGCAGACTCGAAACAAGATCATTGTCAGTGGCAATCATATTGCGATCACACAACGCAAGCACTCATATGAGGTGGACTAGATCGCCGGAATAAATCGACACTCACTGGCATGACTCACATATCATATATGCATGCAAGGTCACGGTTCAATTCATGATGTTAACCTCATCCTCGTCATTTGGTCCACTTTCTATGTCCTTCTGAAACAACCCATTCGCGTTCATGAATCTAGTTCATGTCGAGATATCAAAGCATCGCACCGATCTCCATCAAAGAAGGACAAGCAATGCATAAGTACAGTTCATGATAGAGAGGGAGTCGTGAGGTCGTCATCATCAATAGTCTAGCAAAACTAGGTCGTCGGTCGTGATAAAATGTCAAATGTGAGGTATCGCAAATGTCAAAGAGAGGTATCGCCAAGAATGCAAAAAAAGCAAACAAAAAATAAAACTCAAGCCAGAAATGAAGAAAGGTAATAAAAAGCGAAAAATGTCCACAACTAAATCAAGCATTCACAAAATTTCATCACAGCAAGTCCGCCCTAATCCTATCCCACACTTCCCGTTCTAGTCCGTCGTGCCACGGCATCCCAGCACCTGAAGACGGCGTCACCCCGTCGCTCTCATCACCCGGAATAGTCGTCCTACTCACCTCCGTCTCCTCAGACCCAGTCGTTGTCGTAGTCGCAGTAGAAGTACCGACAGTCCCAACAGATCGTATCGTAGGAGGATGATTCGTTGAGAGTGCGAATGACGGCATGGGCCCGAGAACGGATACTCGTTGGGCGTTGTCAGCTTCGTCGCCCTCCTCGATATCTGTCCTACCAAAAGCCGACAAGGCGGGAGATATGGCACCTCCAGCAGCTCTTCGCCCGTGTGACGATAGAGAGCCTGTCATCAACGAACCCCCGCTGCTCGCTGAGAGCATTTGCGAATGAGCAGAGGGCCTTGAGGACGTCGAGCCTGATAAACCTCGCCGCGAAGCAGGCGCCGATTCAGATGAACGTCCAGAATAGGGGCTCAAGTGTGAGTGCATCGAGTGAAGTGAACCTTGTTCGGACATCAATGGTTCACCCTGGTGTACAACCTGAGGCTAAAGTAAAGTAATACAGGTAAGCGCGAACTGATAAGCATCACAAAATAAATCGATTGCCACTTACAACCCCGAACGTAGTCCGCCTTTGACTTGGATTAGGCCCACTCCCACTCCCACTCCCACTCCCACTGTCATTCTCACTCCCATTACTTCCGCTCGAGTTACCAGCAAGAGACCTCCAGCTATCTCCAGCCGTAGGAGGTTCAGCATCTAAGACATCGATTGTAATACCCGCATCGTTTGAGGAGGCCGACAAAGAATCACGCCACGTTCGGGGGTTTGCCAACGGAACGAGGCCAGGGGGTAAGGGAGTGTTGTTACTAGACGCACCAAACGCTGGGGGTGGAGCAGGGACATCTAATACATCGACTCCTTGTGGATAGTTATCGCTAGAACGGTATCTAGTAGTTTCATAAGGATCGTCATAGGCAGGTGGAGCCGCACTAGGAAGTGGTGCGCTGTGTCCTTGAGGGCGTTGACCTGCAGGTGTGAGCACGCGAGGAGGTAGTGATACTGGAGTGATAGGGGTTCCGGTCCGTGATACAGCATCATGATATATAGTATTTCCAGAAACAGCGCTCTTTGTGCTAACGCTAGACATAGGGCGTTCGCCTTCAGTGTTCAAGCCAAGACCACGCTTGAGGTCACTACCCAACAGCGCACGTCCAGCTTCGAGGTCATGGTCAGATTGTGCACGTCCTGCCAAGGAGGATTTTGAACGGGAGCTGCCTCTCGGAGAACTTGTATCAATGTTCTTAAACCAGCTCAATCGTCCCAAGCGCGCGAGACCGCTAAGCCCAAGACTACTCCTCCAGCTGCTAGGTCCAGGCGCTGGGTCAGCATGAGTGTGTGATGATGAATCATCGTCTCCTGGGGATCGCGGGCCAAGTTCTTGCACTCGAACTCGACGAGCAGTCAATATCTTGGAATCTTCGATCTCACTGCCAGGGTAAGACACAGACCGCACAGACTTTTCTTTTTCGGGTGCAACAGACTTTTCGGAACGTCTTCGTGAGGATGCACGGTCAGGATCGATACGCGGGGGAGGAAGGAGGGGGGAATAATGTTCAGGAGACGAACGTCCTGAACTAGTGCGAGAATCAGAATGTGGGTGCGATCGACGCTCAGTTTCTTGTCGCTCGTTATCGAGACGAACAAGCTCTCCAGGTGCGACAATGTGGCCACGCATATCGCTGCTAGGTCTGGATGGCATATCGTTCTCAAACGCAGTGCCAATACGTTCGGCACCGGTTAACAAAACGCCATAGTCAGTGATAATCGTCGAGTCAGTGCCATTTGAATCGCCAGAGCCTGAGGTTCCTCTGTATGGAGGTGCTGCACCCGGAGGAAGGGGAGGTGGAGGGGAAACGAGTCTTGCGCTTGTATCGTTTTGGCGCGTGCCGTCAGTGGCACTGGCACTTCGTTGGAGGAACGAGTCTACTTCCTCTCCACTGCCACGCGGGGAGCCTTCGCCAGGAGGTCGATCGCCTGCAATATTAGGCTCAAGGATCTCCCAGCCTGTCCAAATGGGCGTCTGGTAACCGCCGTTACGACGGCGTGCCCTCCAGCGGATAAGAGCGATAAGAACAAGCAACAATAAGATTGAGCCAACTATAGCTCCGAGTATGGCACCTATAAGGGCGCCTTTAGATATAGTGGTGGAAGAAGAAAAAGGATATTGTGTCGTAGATGCTGAAGTAGATGCAGAGGTGGAAGTAGAAGTAGAAGAAAAGGATGAAGAAAAGGAAGATGATGATGACGAAGGTAGCGCAGACGTAGAGGAGGATGTCGCAGATGCGGTTGTAGCTGTAGACGAGAATGTGGGTGTTGGTGCTGGAGACGACAGTCCACCGTAGGTCCAAGCTCCGTCGGTTCCAAGAGGAATCTGGATGAAACGGTCCTTGTCAGTCGAACCACACACAAAGCAGATCAGAGCGAAATAGGAGCAAAGAAGCTATTGGCCATCCAACGTAGGGACCATTCTCGACACCAGAATAACACTACCCCACGTGTAGCCGAACAAGCTACGCGTCACACAGGCAAACTTCACATGACAACGCAAACAATCTCGAAACTAAAATCGAGGCAGAAAGAACTCACACTTGGACCATAGTAGGTCAACGGCAACTGCAACAGCGTCGAGCTCGTCTCCACTGGAGTGCCACCCGCATTCGTGATGATCGTCGTCGAGTAAGACAGCCAAGATGGAAGCACTTGTGTTTCCATCGTGTCAGATAGTCGTTTGTTTAGAATTTTGGATATTCGCTAAGAACGCAGGTCGTGAGTAGAGAATGTGGAAGACTCTGTCAAAAGGAAGCGGTGGTGGGTACGACATGAGCGCTTGGAGAGATATGAATGTGGGGATGTTGAGCTTACAGCAGGAGTCTCGTATTGATCGCAGGAGAGATATCGTTTGCGTAAGTTCGTTTAGATGATGGGGGACGTGTTTAAGGAGGAATGAGGGAAAGGCGGACGAAATTGAAGAGTAAGGAAGAGGGTTACGCGTGGGAAAGAACAGAACAAGTTGATGCCTCGATATTACTTTCTTTTTGGCGAATCGCGGTTGAACTGTCACGTGTGTTTTTAATGGAAGCACCTGACCCGCACAAATTAGGAAGGTGTCGTGCTTCAAGCAACTCAAGCATTCGCGGACATGCAGTTAGCCATCGCAGATGTTGATGCAAACGGTGATAGCATTAAGCTATAACGATCACAAATGACACGAGATAAGAACACTGCATCAGGTCATGAGTATCCCAAAACTAACATTCGTCCCACCAGGAATAGCAAAACATCAGTGACACATCTTCAGAGCACTGAAAAATAAACACCAAAGCACAATCGACAGCACAAACCAGAGAAAATCAATGCGACCAACTACTCCCTCAATATCATACCTTTCCCTTACCAACAAGGTCAAATGTCAAGTTCTGCCGTACCTCTTTGAGCGTCTCACGCCCTTCTTCCAGCCTTTGTTCATGGTCCGAAAGGTGTTTGTGGAAACCAGAATAAAGCATTGCTCGTTGCCTGCGTACACCTCATCAATATGCATCAGTGTGTCATGTGAAGATGGAACGAACGTCAAATGGTCCTTGACCTGTGCATTAAAGTAAGGTATGACTGTCAAGCTTCGCACAAGGAATCACTCACCAAGTCAAGAACCTCGCGATACTCCTCCACCAATCCTACACCAATCGATTAATTGTAATGTTCAGTCGATCTCGAATATATAACATGCGAATACCAACCATCTGCCCCACGAAGCCATTCATCTCTAGTGCATTCAGTCCACCTCTTAATTCCCGCTTCGTACATCTCATCAATTTTGGCCTCGTCGATGTTGCTAAATAGTGTTTGAATTCCCTGTGCAGGCTGTTCTGGAAAGCATTGCTGTTCAGCCAGATGGACAACGTCCTCGCCGTGCTCTTGCTCCATGCGATGAGTTTCGCTAGAAGACGCGCCATAGTCCATCTAATGAATCGACCATCGCGTCAGAGTTACTGCAACACCCATACTACATTTACCTTGACATTCGCTTCATGACGACCGACATCGTTGTCTTTGTACCGCTTGAAAGGGCCGGCATATTCTTCTTCACCATCGCCATTGAAATCTTGGATGCGTCTTTTTGCCCTTCTCAAAGTTGGCCTGACATCTGGATCACTATGATGTTCGCTAAGATGGTCCTCGCGATGATCAAGTCTATGATCTTCCTCTCGTTGGTCGTCGCGTTCTTCTTGAATGCTAGATAGCGATCGAACTGAGCGCGAGCGCGCTTTGAGAAGATTCCCTGCGGCGGCGGCATGTGAATCGACATGTCTATCTATGTCCATCGAGAACCTATGACCAGGAGGCGAGTTTAAATATTGTTCACGTACGTCGTCGCCAGACATTGCAAGGATTGCAGAAGCGCTATATCCTGGAACTGGAGATACCACCGTCGGACGGTTAGAAGCGAGATCAGGGGACAAGCCAGAGGTCGTGAGAAAGCCAGTGAGAGAACCTCCAGTGGATATATGCGCGTCCTTCAGTCCATGAACAGAAATACCGGGTCCAGAAATGTTTCCTGAGCCTATACTGACTTCGGACATGGACCTTGGCGAGGGATATGCAGAGTTGGACTGGAGAGGCGAAGAAGGGCGCGCATGTGCAAAGGACTTGGTGTTGGGAGGGAGACCAGAAAGGCTGTTGCGCACTTGATTTGTGTTGGACGGCAGAGGGATCGGAGTCATGTCTGGACGCAAAATGCCTTGAAAGGACCTCCGAGCAGATGTATGATACTCGACCTGATCCACGTTGAACGATGGTTCTTGAAATCCCCGAACGTTATCAACACCTCCATCGGCTCTGGTGTTGTTTTTATCCTTTTTGAAAAAAGCGGAGAAACCATTATTCTTTCCAGTGTTGTTAGTAAGTCCCATGGCATCGCGGTCTTGTTTCTGAATGGAATGCGATGGCCAGACGTGTGTATCATCGGGAGGATGAGCACTAGCCTGGTCTGGACGCGTCGTTGCGCGCGATGCAGATCTCTGGGGCACAAAAGCCTGACGAGCACTCATGGTGGTAAAGCTTGAAGCCTGAATATACGAAGGCCAAAGTGATTCTATGTAGTACCGCTCAGTTTGAAAGCCAGATCAGCGAGGAAAGGCCGGCATCTTTCGGCATGCATCCCACGTCGAGAGGGATATGTTGGATCTACAAGGACCGGCACGTGAGAGAAGAAGGTGTTGCTGCATATAGAAGCGCATAATGTATGATATCTATAACCACACCAGCCAGAATGTATGTCAGCCAGTACCGAATGTCGTCGTGCCCGCTGCAACAACCGGCTGTATTCGATGAAAGTGCAGTGCTCGAGGACATTATGGCAGCGGGCAGACCCGGCTTCGCTAGGAATTTGCCGGCATACACTCCGTCGATGAAAAATCCACTTACACCCGCAAACTCATTCCGAGCTCTTAAGCTTAAGTGCACTCAGCCGTCTTTCTTGTCTCCACCTTTCTCCGCTTGCCCACTGTTATTCTTTCCTGATGCTGGTCACAAAGGTCGCTCGTCCTGCACACGCTGCATTCCGTCGTTCTCTCGCTCCCCTTTCTACCTGGTCTGCTGTTCCTGCTGGCCCACCGGACCCCATTCTCGGTACGCTTGTCTCGCTTGTTCGACCCTTCTTGCTGCAGTCCTTCTTATCTTACCGTACCAGGCATCACCGAGGCTTTCAAGGCCGACAAAGATGCTCGCAAAATCAACCTCGGTGTCGGTGCTTACAGAGATGAAAATGGAAAGCCTTATGTCCTCAACGCCGTAAAGAAGGTCTGCTCATATTGCTATATATCTCAAACCATTGGTTTCTCATTTAGACCTAATTATAGGCGGAAGAGTTCCTGACAGCCGCTAAAAACGACAAAGAGTACCTCCCTATCACCGGTCTCGCAGACTTCACTAAAAACGCTGCAAAACTCGCCTATGGCGCTGAGAGCAAGCCGCTCAATGAGAACGCGGTGAGCTTTCTATTCGGATGTTCATAACTTCGCTACCGCTCACTTTTGGTTCGCTTTTTCGCAGATTGCCATCACTCAATCCATCTCTGGAACAGGCGCCCTCAGAATCGGTGGTGCATTCCTCGCAAGGCACTACCCCCACTCCAAGATCATCTACCTGCCCGTACCCTCATGGGGTAACCACACCCCCATCTTCAAGGACTCTGGTCTCGAAGTTAGAGGTTACAGATACTTTGACAAGAAAACCGTAGGATTGGACTTTAACGGCCTTAAAGAGGACTTGCAGGTGCGTTTTCCTCCGCTCTTGTATTAACAGGACACGTAGTAATAGCGGTAATAGAATGCCCCAGAGGGCGCTATCGTCCTTCTCCACGCGTGTGCGCACAATCCAACAGGTGTCGACCCTACCCAAGCCCAGTGGGCCCAGATATCCGACATCGTCAAGGAGAAGAAGCTCTTCCCCTTCTTCGACATGGCCTACCAGGGCTTCGCCTCCGGCTCCACGACCCGCGATGCCTTCGCCGTGCGACACTTCGTCCAAGAGGGCCACCAAATCGCCCTCTCCCAGTCGTTCGCAAAGAACATGGGACTGTACGGTGAGCGTGTAGGCGCGTTCTCGCTGACGACCACAAATGCGGAAGAGAAGGCTCGCGTGGAGAGTCAGCTAAAGATCATCGTGCGCCCGATGTACTCCAACCCACCGCTCCACGGTGCGCGCATCGCCAACACGATTCTCTCGCGCCCAGAGCTGTACCAGGAATGGGAGGGCGAGGTGTTGACGATGGCCGAGCGTATCATTAGCATGCGTGAGAAGCTGTACGACAGTTTGACAAAAGAGCACAGCACGCCCGGGGAGTGGGGACACATCAAGAGCCAGATTGGCATGTTCAGGTACGTTGTGACAGTTTTGTGGCTCTGTAAATGTGATATGAACTGACTGGTATGGGTGTATAGTTTCACTGGATTGAAGGCTGAGCATTGCAAGGCGTTGGCTGAAAAGGCTCACGTGTATATGACGATGGATGGTCGTATTTCTATGGCTGGGTTGAACGGTAATAATATCGAGTACTTCGCGCAGAGTGTGGATGCTGCTGTTCGGGGCACTCTGTAATGATTCGTGATGTAATCTCGTTTAGAATTTGGCATTGCGCCATATAGTTATTCTCATACGTGAAAAGCAAATATGTTGAGTGCTTCATATCGGCTCATGACGAATATCCAACTTGACAAAGTAGGTAGTGGTCTTCACAATCTGCAACAATTGCTGAAGTTTTGCCAGTGATGTTGATAATTGATAATCGTACAGTTGCAGGTAAACGTGACGAGAGCATATAGTACGCAAAGCCATTTTGGATGTGGCTGGAACAGACCGTGATATTTCAAGCCCGCGGCAGTCTAAGCGGGCCTTGAATCGTCTCGCGCCGCTTGTTGTGGCTTGAACCATTATATATTATACTTCAAGTTACAGCGCTCGAGTTGTGCTAGGCGCACGCCAACATTTTTTACTCTGTCATAAACATTCTAAATTGACCGCAGAATAAGAACCGCAGCATAGCCTATCATCTTTTCATACGACGTATGCCTTGGCCGTCGGAACGTGTACTTGATCTGCTTACCCAAAAAGCATCTGGTTCCTTCATTTTTGCTTCTACGTTCATCAAATTCGTTAGTGAAGCAGGGGGCATGGCACATCAGAGACTCCTAACAGCCTTGAAATCGCATCAAGGCCTTGACCCTCTATATACTCAGGTGTTCTCGCACGCTACTCACCCTGATAATGCGCGTGGAGACGTGGTCGACCTCATGCATGTTGTCGGGGCTATCTTGACTATCGCACATCCATTACCCCTATCTAATCTCGCTTTCTTGTTTCAAGTGGAATTACCGGACTTTATGCGAATACTCCTTCGTATTCAATCCGTGTTGCTAATACCCGATGACGATCGCGAGCCTGTTTACTTGCTTCATACTTCGTTACGCGACTACATGACAACTCAATCTCGTTCGGGTGTCTTTTTCATTGACCTTACTGCACATCATGTTTTAATTGCTTTAAAATTCTTGAGACTCTTTCTCAGGGACCTACAGCACCTTTACGAGTACAAGCCTCAAGGGTATACCCGTATGCAACGTCGTCAAATCGTTCAGCCAGGTTTGACTCTACCTCAGGCATACATTCGTCTTTTCTCTTTTCATTGATGCTTAGTCTCTCCGGGTTTCCTCGTGATGCACTACGTCCTTGGCTAGAAACTATCCTTTCTTATAGAAGATTCCGATATCCCAGAGCTACAAGGAATAATTATGAAAGAAGTGCAGGTCAGTTTGGGTTCTTTAATAGTAACCTGTCTAACCATGTATGTGTCAGAAATTGGAGTCTTGTCCATGGGATATCTTCTCGAGCTTTAAAACAATAGGTGGTTGTATAAAGTTGCGACCTTAATTTCCCGTACTACCATGACACGGTGCGATTTGAAGGTACTCTGCACCGTGACGTGGACATCACTGGCAGTTGGTGCGTAATCAATCTGAAGTAAATGTAAGAGAAGTGTATTAATCATACGGTCTTTACTACCGGCATATCATGCAACCCGCGATGTTAATTCTTTCCAATCTGTAACTTATTTAGGGTGTAAGTGGTCATAATGTACCGTAGCGATTAACAGAATTTGCTTGTACATTCTAACTTGAAGCATCTAAAAACAAGGAAACATCAGTAACAAATCAGAGAGGGAGGAACTTCACGTACCCGCTAAAGTGAGAAGATATAATGTATTCCATCACCTGCCCACTTACGTGCTAAACATATAGCGACAGGACTTACCTACTACGAGTTACAGAGAACGATATTAGCGCAAACAGAGTGCATGATCAAGCTCAGCACGCGGCAGAAAACAAGAGCCTGCCGGCTTCAGAAGGCACGGATTAACTTGCTGAAGCTTAGTTGGGTAATATCCACGTCATGGTAGCATTTGGTGTCTTGCTGAATTGTCGGGTTTCCAGCTGCGGGCATAGTACAATTCCTATACCCTTATTTGTGCTCCGTTGGGCTACTGAAACAATATTATTACTCATCTTATATTGTACGTTCTTAAAATTTGTCTTGAATTTTCCGATCGCATCCGTAACTGATGGTCCCTAGCATCCGTTTTCGAGTTATGATGTCTTGCTTTTGTTTGTTCTTACATATAGGCTATCGCTCGACAAATTCTGATAAAAGCGGAAGCGTTATACCTTGAATAATCAGCCTATTCCAATTAGCTCCATAGCTCTTGTCATTATGTTTCTAACGAAATCCGTTTGGCCAGTATAGGTTCACAATCTGCTTCTCACTGGCTTTGTGGAGGTATTTGCCAGTGATCTGGTCTTTATCCTCCTTGGTGTTCTCCCAGTTAAGTTGATAGTTGACCTGGGTTATCTTTTATCACTCTGCGGGTGAAATGGCGTTTAATGACCTATCTACTACATCAGGTTTGCAGAATTGTACGTTCCTCTAGTCACTCTGCCGCTCGTTCACCTCGCTCACTGAACATATTTTAGTTTACAATTCGATCGGTCCCCACTTGTCTCGCTATTTTCTGTCGAATGAAACTGGGGTACTATGTATGGTCGTCAACGGACGCCTTGGCGACGACATCCTACAATGAGTATTTCAATTTGAAATTGATCGATGTCAAAAGATCCTTTATCCAATGCAAAATCCGAGTCATCAGCTTGGTCATCAGCAATATTTTTCTTTTAGCTCGATATCACATGCAATCAATGCTATTTGATGGAATGGAGTCGGTCTTAAAACCTATAAATGTAAGGCGTCCACTCAAATTTCGTGTTATCCTCTGGCTAGGTTCATCATTTCCAGATATCCCCCTCCGAGCGTCAAGGTATGTCACCGCCAGTAGCAGTTCCAGGATTTAACAAAACGGCTTTTTCACTTAGCTCAGTGGTCCTCGTTCCTATGGCAAGACGTAGCTGTCGTCAGGATGCAGAGCCAGTCCAGGTAGAGTTTATGCAACGTTCAAAAGCGAAAAATGCTAACAAGGAGTCAGTTACAGGCCCAAGTGAACGTGAGCGATACCCACACAAAAATGCAGGTCGATAATGATCCAACGAGTTCTTCCGATCCACTCATATATCGCCTTCCAAACGAGATATTCATCCTCGTCTTCAAATATACCATCCGCCCTGAACGGCGTGACATCTGGCCAAATGGTGAATTCACCATATCCCATGTCTCTCGTCGGTGGAGAGCTCTTGCCACTAATACCCCGTCGCTCTGGTGCAACGTACGGCTCTCGACCACCAAATCATCCCATCTGGCCGACCTATACCTCGCTCGATCCCGAAACCTACTGTTGGATGTTTCTGCGGTGCTCAGGTTAACCCACAGACCCTGTGGGTTCTGCTTGGAACAGCAGATGATTGAGGGACTCGATCACAACGAGCAAGCTAAGGCGAAATGTCTCGCCATCACGAATCAAGTCGTCTCTCTTGCCCATCGGTGGCGCCGTTTCGAACTCGTCGTAGACCAGAAAATTGCGCTCTTCGTCTTCCCGCTATTCAACACTATCCGTGTCCCCGCCCTCGAAAAATTCGTACTCTCCGTCAAAGAGCAGACTGGGTACAGATTCATCGCTGACGGTGATGTGACTAACAATGACGCTGCAAAAGCCAAGTGGTTCTCCGGTGGCGCTCCAAAGCTGACGAGCATCTCAGTGTCTGAGCGAGATCTGCAAACGGTCAACTTCTTGCCCTTGTTCGACAACCTGACCACGTTCACCATATCCGGGCCCCCAGCTCCGCGCCTGCCCCCGATGACATTCAACGACCTCTACACCATCTTGCTCCACCTCCCTTTCTTATCTGAGCTCGTCCTCGACAAAGTCTTCTTCCACCCCCTGTTTCCAACCGGCGAAAGGTTCACAGACTGTACAGCCCAGTTCCCCATGCTCCGTTTTCTCTCGTTGAGCATCCCGTGTTGCACCTCCTTCGTTGTCATCTCCGCATTTTCCGTCATAGTCGCTCCGGAGCTCCAACATCTCTCACTGAGGTCGCAAGAGAGTCCAATGAGTGATAAAAGGACTGAGTTGCAGCAATACCTAACCACTCACCCCCCACCATACCCCATTTTACGTTCCCTTCTCCTCGACTGTCCATTTGAGAAAGCACAAGATGCGTGTGCACTCATGCACGCCTTTCCGAGTGTGCAAGTCGTTTCGCTGACGCGAATGAGCGAGCATGTAGTGTGTAAGGCGTTGACGACGTGTCCATCACGTATGGCGTCCTGTCGAGCTCATCAGCCGCAGAAATTATGGCCGCACCTGCACACGCTCGTCCTGGAAGATTGGAGCTCAGCCCGCGTTGCGTCGTTGATCAAGATGTTGCATCATCGCAAAGCGATTGGGATGCCCATACCTGAACTCAAGATTCGGAAGGCGGACGATACGAATATTTTCACTGAGGATGTCACTGAAGGGCAGAGGAGGGAGTTGGAGTTGATTGTGGATGTGGAGGTAGTGTGACGGTACGCCTTTGGTGTGTGTTTTAGCCTCGTATCTTGTGATATGCCGTTTCCGGATAGGATGATAAGCCATGATACCACATAGATATATTTATTCTCCATAATTTCTGCCCCCCCTTGGTATGTTGCGATATTCGATTGTTGATCCTTCGTCATCGACTTCTCCATGTCTGCCTTATGACCCTCGTATCATACCCAAGTTCTAGTATACTGTAACGAGCGTATCACAACCTGCTTATCCATGGAATGGTGTTTGTTCAAGTCGTGATGAATTCATCTGACAACCTAACTTGGGAACATTTGCAAGGAAAGCAACGATACTCAGCGGTCAGCCCCAATGAAAATCGGATCGAGTAGGATCGAGTCAATCGAGTATGAGCCCCAGTCGGAAACGACGAAATATATACCGAATCACATCGAATTTCGCCGGATGCGCTTCGAAAGGAAGGGCTATTGATTTGGCCTCGAGTCTTTGACTTTCCCGCGGCCACTTGTACTAGCACAAACAATATGTTAGTGGTAAAGAAAGGACATCTGAAAGATACTTACTTACCTTGGTCTTCACTTTGAGTTGATCGTGTTGCTCCTCACAGTTTTGCACTATCCATCAAAATCCCTTGTTAAGTGAGTGCAGACCTGTCCGATACATGGGAAATACCAAAGTTAGTAAAGATTGTGGTCGAGATGGTGGTACAGAACAAAGGAAGGATGGAATCGAACATGGTGCAAAATGTGACCAAATATATGGGCATGTGATTATGCAAGCAGTGAATGCATGATTGCACTGCACAGTGGTGCATGTGTGCATGAATGTGCGACACTGTAGTGCATTGCTTTGTGTACAATTGATCACACGCAATTGCAGACTCCAAACCAGTCGACATATGTGTATGCTATATCCTAGTGCTTGTGATTACATAATTATCCGAGACTTTACCGAAACTTGAGTTGAGCATAACACATATGGCCGACTGGCAAAACTTGTAGTGGCACCAGATTTTGGTTTATTTGCACCACCGAAGATTGCCACCGAATCTGACATCTTTCGGTCGGCTAAAGTCAAAAACAGAAATGTGATCGTGACTTTTTCTTTTCTTGGACAGAGCTTATTTTGTATGCAGTCCGGACGCTTCGAGACACCAAGTTCCGATGAAGCCAGCAGTCTCGTGAAAGAAAGATTTGGCATCACTCCATGTCGTTTTCAAGTCCTATCATCCCAGATGCAGTTGAAGAACAAACATGTCTTCACAATTGCACCCACAGGTTCTGGAAAAACCCTCACATTCTGGATACCACTTCTCTTTAATAATGAAGGAATCATTATCTTGATCACTCCACTATGAAATGGTGCAACGTTGATACATCGTTGGAACATCGTGTTCAAGTGTACTACTCCTACTCTTCTGTCCAAGAAAAAGTCACGGTCACATTTCTGTTTTTGACTTTAGCCGACCGAAAGATGTCAGATTCGGTGGCAATCTTCGGTGGTGCAAATAAACCAAAATCTGGTGCCACTACAAGTTTTGCCAGTCGGCCATATGTGTTATGCTCAACTCAAGTTTCGGTAAAGTCTCGGATAATTATGTAATCACAAGCACTAGGATATAGCATACACATATGTCGACTGGTTTGGAGTCTGACGCAATTGCAGCATTCTGTTGATTCAAGTCGCGTCTCGAAACCGTGAGAAAACTTTATGATTAGATTAGATTCGATGTAAACGGTCTGATTTGACAGGATTCTATCTAATTCGGCATATATTTTGTTCTTTCCGACTGGGTATGAGCAACGATAGCAGTTCACCTCGATTGGACTAGAAGAATGAGACTACTTTCTACAATACTTAGACAGAACAAGAGAGACATGTAAATATGTATTTTATCAATGAATGAAAATCAATTTCGATAGATTTCGCTCAAAAAGATTACTGATCTATATAAATACAAAGACTCAGTGTTCTGGGGAACAACTCATGTATTGAAGTAAGTACCTATATAAATACAAAGACTGGGAAGTCTAATGAGCTAGGTACACTTGATAGAAACTAAGTAAATATCTCACCTCAGTGTTCTGGGGAACAACTGAGGTGATTACTGTCACGACTTGAACAAGAGCGCTAGTTTCTTTTTCATTTTCTTTAAATATCTGATCACATGACAGATATAATATGTTAAGCTGCTGCTATTAGCGCGGATAACATAATACTTAGTTATATCAGATCACGTGACCACCACGTGACAAAGAGCCTAGAACCATTACAAAGAACAGCAGTCAGCGCCTCATGGCTACTGCATGTTATATCAGTCAGCGCCTCATGGCTGACTTTCAGAAACGTATATATAGTGAACACCTATGTACATATTTTCCTTAGTTGTTGATTACTTCTCAATCGATTACTTGTGACGCTACTTGTCGATTTAAGGTCTTCATCCCTCCGTTAGTTCGGTATAGGGGATAAGGCTTTTACACAATCAACAACTACCACAAGTACCGTCCATGAACGTAACAGCAACAATCCTAACCACCATCACCGTCATCATCATCATCATCTTCCTCATCCTAGCCCTACTCAAATGTTCAATCCAAACTACCACTACCCTCCCACTTCATCACATCCCCACTCGCCCCAACACCATTTTATCCTTCTTTCCCGCCAACGTATCACCCTCATCCTCCCAAGACTCTTTTGTCACCATCCCCCTCTAGTTACACTTTTATATCATCATAATCTCTTTGGTGTGGAACCACTGGGATTTTCTCGGTTTTACGTAATTTCATCCTTCGGATTCCTCTGACCAGGCCGCGCATTTGCGTCCCCCAGTTGGGAGAAGAACTGACAGCTTAATAAGCGGGTTACATTGGGACAACCGTTCGGACCCCAATTTATTACGATACTTTTTACATAAAATTCATAAAATACAAAAATAGTTACCTTACATACATAGTCAGTGGTGGACAGAAGAGGACCACCTTGACTCAAAGAGAAAAGATAGACTACTAAGATCTTAGAAAGTGGTGTATCGATCCAGCTTATCACTGGTGAATTCCTTTCTATGCTTAGTAGAGAATTATACATTTGGCTAAGAGAGCAACGCGTCTACTCCCAAGATTACGTATTTAGAGGACAATTTCCTCTGCCAGAAATAACAACAATCAGAATCCCATCCCCCGTGATTAAATCCGAAACTCCCCCTCCTCCCCAACTCAAATTTGATGTCAAACCTAGAATATCGAGATCTGCCCGAGCCATCCAACAGCACGGACAGCGCCTTCACCAGGGAAATGATGGACTCATTACCCAGAATAGAAACTCCCCCCCCCGAAAGAAGCGCAATTGGAAGCATTCGTAAAACAAGAAGTGGAAAAGGCAGTAAGAGCAACACGAATGCTTTACCAATCGCAATTAGACGAGGCACTCGAAGAAGTGAGCGTCTTAGAAAGAAAGTTAAAGAAGCAACCGCCACCACCTCCAGAAAGAACGGAGAGAAGTAGAACGGCATTGGAGAAGCCAGAAAACTTCTCCGGAGATAAGAAAAAGTACAGGGCCTTTAGAGAGTCCTTACTTCTACATTTCGAAGATGATGCCATCTACTTCAAAGACGACAGAAAAAAGATAAGCTTTGTGCTATCTTTTATGAAAGAAGGAGAAGCCGCGGCCTTTCGGACCGACTGGCTGGAAAACCGGGTCGACGCTCAACAAATGGGGCTCGACATCACAAACACATACGGAAGCTGGCCGTATTTCGCAGACAAAATGGAAGAAAGATTCAAGGACAGCTTTGAAAAAGAAGCTGCCAAGAATGAAATATTGACCCTAAAACAGGGCAATGAAACCGCCCAAGCCTTTTTTGAAAGGTTTGAAGAAAAGAAAAGATGGGCGGGATACACAAATAGGATAAATGAAGAGTTCCTAATATCTCTACTCAGAAGAAATATGAATAAGCCGCTAGTAGATAGGGTGATCTACGGTGGGCATATTCCTAGAGATTACCAAGAGTGGAAAAGAGAACTCATCAGAATGGACTATATTTGGAGAGAAAGAGAAAAAGAGAAGAAAGGTTCCGAAAACGGAAAGAAATCCTATTTGGAACAAAAGAAAGAAGGAGAAAAGAAAAGAGACGGAACCGGGTATACTTATACCGGTAACGGAGAACGAATGGAGGTGGATAAAGCGAAGTTCCGCACCGAGGGACGATGTTACCGATGCGGAGAGAAGGGACATAGAAGCTTCGAGTGCAAAGACGCACAAAAAAAGAAGCCGCAATTTAATGTCCGAGAATTCTTAGAAAAAATGACGAAAGAAGAAAGGGAAAAACTCCTAGAGGGTTTTTAAAAAGGCCAGCGGTACCGCATCGACCGACTGAGCCTAAAGACGTTTCGAATCGATTTCTTCCTTTGACTGTAGATACGTATGACTCAGAATTGTTAAGCTGCAGCTTTAGCGCGGATGACAATAAAACTATTTCCACCCAGACAAAGAAAGAAATCCGAAACAAAAAAGATGCAACTAGAGTAAAAGCGGCGCAGAGTGATGAGACATCCGCAGTTCTGACGGCGGGCAAATCGCTAGAAAGTGCAGCATTTACGATAGATACTAAGATTCCTACACCCGATGCGGCGAACTCTACGGAGGAAAACGCAGCAGAGACTGTAGAAGAAAAGGTCAGGAACCCCTTTAAAAAAACCTAGAACAGAAGTTTGGACCCCAGAGTGGGTGATAGACAGGCTAAGAGACCAAAAGGAAGAAAGATCCATTGGGATTCTGAGTGCCTGGACACATAAAAAAAGAGCGAGAGAAGTAACCCGGGAAACGATAAAAGAAATCAACCGGTTACCAAAAGTAGAAGCGATACAAGTGATCATAGAAATTGCCTCCCCAAAAAAGTACATCAGGGGCACCCAAGGCAATCAAATGAACGTAAAATGTAAGCTTACTATGTTAGATACTCTCCAAACAGAAACAGTCGAAGCACTATTGGATAGTGGATGCACGGGGAGTTG